GAGTGAGACTCGGCGTGAACGGCATACGAGCGCGGTGCCCAGGCGTTGCAATCGTGGCGCGTACCAATCAGCGTGGAGCGTGGAAGTGGACCTTCGGAGGTACGGTTCGTAGGCAGGCTATCATCATTTAGCCAAGTCTGCAGACGGCATTGATGATGCCAGCGCGTCGCAATTTTGCCTCGACCAGTGGGTGATGTATGGATGAGATGATGGTGGAGGTGGAGGTGAAGAAGATGAGGCACATCTCTAGTCTACCACGCCATGCTCGATCACTCGATGCTGACGAAAGCGTTGGCGTTGGCATGCCACAGATCTAGACGCTCACGGAATCCTTTGGAGCCATTATCAACCTCGCGTCCACTTATTAGTCCTCGCACTCGCCCCGCCGCCGTCTGCGCTGCCACTCGCGCCGACCGACGGACTGCTGTCGCGGGCTCTCGGAGGCAGCGTGCACCCCTCCTCACCGCCATGAGAAGTGTCTGTGATATCCTGACCGCACTGCGCACGGCTGTCTCAGCTCCGCCGTCCGCCGACATCAACCAGGGTGTCCCTCAACGCTGCACGTGTGCAACAAGTGTGGGGTCGCCAGAGAGCTGCAGCCACGAACCAAGATCTTGGAAAGCGGTTGAGCCATTTTATCCGTCCGCAGTCGTGTTGTGCATAACTTGCATTCCTTTAACTGCGGGCAGCCTGGACACTTTCCCAATGCATCTGCACCTCCGCCGCTCCAGCTGCAACCAAATCGCGCTCACGCACATGTACCTCTGTATGCCGGGACCGAGAGGCTGAACATGCCGACCTTGCTCATCGCAAATGCTGGCCAGCGTGGTCTCAGGCGAGCTTGCCGACTCGTCAGAAGCACAGCTCCGGATGCAGTTGCGAGAGCTTAGATGCCGCCATCTCCATGCACCGTGTTGCTGTTGCACGCCCGCTGCTCGAGCACTGCGGGCGACGAACCTTCCCAGCGGTGAGATGTCGCCATTGCTGTCCTTGTCCGCAATGCTTCGATAACGACGAAATGCAGTCTCCGCGGTAGTGCGATTTGTGTTGTGTTGTGGTTGTGGTGTTTGACGACGTTCATCAGAAGCACGTGAAGTCCAGCGCAAGTTACGGATTTCGGGCAGTCACGGTCACGGTTGCTGTGATGCACACGGAAGTGGTCGCGACTTCCTCGCACCTGCTCGCGTCTAACCACAGCATGCGCCATGTACGGTGTCCCACGTGGACCAAGTCGTTATCGAGTTGCTCATCGGCGTTTCAGCAGACGAGCATGACTTGCGAGAGCCTTCATGGCTGTGTGGTAAAGTCCGGACTCTGCCACATGCCCCGAGTCTCAGCTGCATTGCAGCTATTTCGACCGGGGCAGCTTCTATTGCTGTCGTCTGACTTGGAGCTTATTATTCACCTCTTCGTAGAGAAGGCTTGCGATGCTCACTTAGGGCCAGACCCCGCCACGCTCCGAACGATGCCGCTGCAGCCTGCTATCCCGGACGACTCTCGTGCAGTAGACAGCACGCACTTGGAAAAGGGACCGAATTTGATGCCTTGCCACTTTCAACAAGCTCTCCTGGTGCCCGCAGAGCTCGCAGTGCATCTTCCAGCCAAGCTCTACCTTGCATGGCCGCGGAATGATCAACGAACAGATACCGCAAAGAACCGACTCCGAAAAATACCACGCCATGACCTCGTGGCAACGACGATGCTGCCCAGTACTGTCCTGCGTCCCACGACTTCGAGCCTCAATCTAGCTCTGGTAGAGATTTGCGACAGGAGGAGAGCTTCCATGCCAGGAAGCGAAGCAGCCCAGAGCTTTTCCTTTCCAGACATCAAGTACTGACACCTGTTGATCAAGCTCAGATGGATCAATGCAAGCTTGCACTACGAATTGTCAGATGGCCTACACTTGATGCGTCAGCTGCGTTGTTTGGCTCGACAGGTTGTGCGCTCTGTCAAGTCCGCTCTTGAAAGCCGCAATTCGCTGCTGCGTAATACCAGGACTCTGCTTCAAAGCGGAAGACAGCGGCGAACGTGGTTTACAAATTGTCCCGCGTGTCCAGTGCTCGCAGCGATGTTTCTACCGCAACGCTGTCCCGGTCATGCTCGGTCAGGCCGTAGAGTGCAGACCACAGGCTCTTCTTGCACTTCCGCTCGCAAGCGCGATTGAAAGAGAACTGAGACAGATGTCAGGTCCTCAAGGAGATGTGTTCCTGCGATCGGCACAATTACTCTGACGTCGAAATCACGGATGGCGATCTCCGCTTGTCTCCTCGAAGAAGCTACTTGGCACAATAGCATGCGGTCATCAGCATTGTTGAGGTAAGTGGACCAACGTTATATTTGACAAATCTGTCTTTAGCCATTGCAGAACAGGTGTTCGCCCGAAATGGCTTTGTCTCCATCCATTGTCCGAGAAATTGGGTTCGAATTGCCGCGCAATGTTCTAGAGCTTTCAACTCTAGGCATTGCCGGAGGGCAACAAAGAATACGCATGAAGCCTCGAGCAGCCTTCTTTGGATCCGGACGGTAACTCTTGACGCGCACCATGTGGCAGTCGTCCACACTCGTCACTGATGAAAGGACGCAGAATTTATACTTATCAAAATTCATCTGCTGAGTTGGCGATGTGTACTACGGCCACAGAAACTCAATATGCGGTCGTTACAGTCGTTGTTGCTCCTAGCTGGAGTGGCAGTCGCACTGACGCCTGAACAGTGGCGCTCGCAGTCAATCTACCAGGTTCTCACAGACCGTTTCGCACTGACCAACGGGTCAACTACACAGCCTTGCGGATGGGGTAACTACTGTGGAGGAACGTGGCAAGGCATTGTAAACAAGCTAGATTATATCAAGGGAATGGGGTTCACAGCAGTGTGGATCTCACCGGTAGTGGAGAACATCCCTAACTCGAGATATGGGCAGCCATACCACGGGTGAGTTTCCACGACACACATTGTGGATAGCACTTCTAACAACGTTAGATACTGGGCACAAAACATTTACGCTTTGAATACGAATTATGGAACTCAAGACGATCTCAAAGCTCTCTCTGCTGCGCTGCATGCCAGGGGAATGGCAAGTATCAGGAGTGCAGAGTCGCATGCTGGTGCTGACGTGTGACTAGTACCTTATGGTGGATGTAGTTGCCAATCACATGGCATCAAGCGAGCCTCCGTCAGCTGTCAAATACGACCACCTCTACCCATTCAATGATGCCAAGTACTATCACCCTTATTGCCCTCTTGACTACAGCAACAAAACAAGTGTCGAGCAATGCTGGATGGGAGATACAGTCGTGCCTTTGCCCGACTTGAGGACTGAAGATGCTGCTGTTCAGCAGAGATTCCAGTCATGGATCACACAGCTTGTATCAAACTACTCCATTGACGGCCTGCGTCTTGACAGCGCTATGCAGACCGATCAGCAGTTCTGGCCAGGTTTCGTGTCAGCTTCTGGAGTTTACGCGATAGGCGAAGTCCTCGATGGCAACCCAAACACTCTTTGCAAATGGCAAAACTACATGCCAGGAGCACTCAACTATCCAGTCTACTACTGGCTTATCCGAGCTTTCTCATCCAATACTGCTACCATGAACGAGTTGGCGAACAACATTCAGTGGCTCAACGCGACATGCCAAGATACCACACTGCTCGGCAACTTCATCGAGAATCACGATCAAGCGCGATTCCCATCCATCACGAAAGATATCGGGCTGACCAAGAACGTCATTGCATTCACAGTGCTCAACGATGGAATTCCAGTCGTCTATCAGGGGCAAGAGCAAGGATTCTCAGGAGCTACTGATCCCTACAACCGCGAGCCGCTCTGGACTTCGTTCTACAGCACAAAGTCAACACTGTATACATTCTACTCGGCACTCAATGGTGCAAGACGTTTGGCAATCAACAAGGACAGCACATATGCCAGCTCCAAATCGACTGTTTGGTACTCAGACGCACAAACGATCGTGACCAGGAAAGGCGCCTCAAACGCCTACCTCATCTCCTTGTTCACAAATCGTGGCGCCGGCAACAATGGCAACATTATTTTGCCAGCGGCGAAGACTGGCATCCAGCCAGGCACGAAATTCACCGATCTTTTGAGCTGTGAAGTCTTCTCCGCAGACACCTCGGGCAATCTCGCCATTTCCATCACCAATGGTCTACCAAGAGCTCTGTACATAACTTCAGCCTTAACCGGCAGCGACACCTGCGCGTACACGAACACCGCTCTCGCCTCAACACCCAATCCAGTCCGAGTCCCAACAGCAACGACCGCCTCTCGAATCATCAGCTCCACAGCCCGCCCTCAATCATGCCAAACAGCTAGCACTGTCTCCGTCACCTTCAACCAGAAAGTCACAGCCAAATGGCTCGAAAGCATTTCCGTAGTAGGCTCAATTCCTCAACTTGGCAACTGGAACCCTCCACAAGGTTTCAATTTATCGGCAGCGGGTTATACTTCCACGTCGCCAATCTGGAGTGGTACAATCAAACTTTCTGCTGGCACGTTTTTTGAATACAAGTTCATCAAGTATAATTCTACTAGTAATACTGCTCTGACATGGGAGGCGGATCCTAACAGGAAGTATACTGTTCCGAGGAGTTGTGCGACGAGTGTGGTTGTGCCTGGAAGTTGGCAGGGATAAGTTGAGAGACTGTGTTGAGGGAAAAAGCTTTGGCTGTTGGTTAATTTGTACTTGTATGTATTTGGTTCTTGTATATAATGTATAACTCTTGTCGACCACTATACACCTGATCGCGCGATATTATCAGTGATGGAACGTCTGGGCACGATCGACGGTGGTCATCTTCCTGCACCCTGCCATGCAAAGCTGTGGTGCTTCTATGATGTTTCTGGTCAGCTTTTTTGTACTCCCATTCATGCCCTGATTTGTTCTTCGCGTAGCATGCATTCTCAAATACCCTGCTGTGCAACGACAGACCCATGTGGATCCGATGGTGACACCGCACTTGCCAAGCCTGGAGAATAACTTCGCACGTGCTGAGTACCGAAGTGGTAAGAACATATCACCGCGCGTGTGGTCTGTTCGCAGAACTGGGTTTCAAAGTAACAAGATCTGGTGCTGGAAGCTGGATACTCTGTGACAGTAGGCCAAGGAGTCGAAACTTTCGTAGCACAACGAAGCTCGTAGCCTCGTACTGATCTAGGATCGGGCGGCTGCCGGCATAAGTTGATAAATAAACAATGCTGGAACAGCTGTAGGTCGCACGCATAATAGGCGCCGATTGGGCTATAATGTGGTCAATGTGCCCGCACCCAGGTTGAGCCCGCATTCTTTTGCCGGATATCTCGTTTGTTATCGTCGTCTATTGAGGTTCGTGGCGTACGGGGCCTCCACCATGTCGGAGTGTAGCATGGAAACGCAGAAGAGGTTGCAAAACTTAGCCATTGCATTGCCCACATGCTTGCTGTCACTAGCTTTGGCCTGCGCTGTGCTGCTTCATGTCAATCGGCGAAGAATTGTCACCCGGTTATACCACAAGTGGAATAGTCCTGTCGACAGAGGCTCCGGAGAGAATCGTCCAGACACGAAGCATTGGTCCGAGGTAGCCTTTTCATCGGAGACGAACAGCCGGCCGAGCTGTGTGCTGCCAGACGTCGATGTCTCTCCTTCGAACAAGCCGGATCCCTACCACCCCGTCACCCGTCAGGAGCCAAGCAGAACTGTTGGCACCCCGAACTTTCCTGGCCCAAGGCAGCTGCTCGCCGGACGCCAAAACCCTGTCGAGCGTTTAAATTCGTCCGAGAAGTCGTTTCTTGGTCATAGACCTCGGTGCGCTACCCCAGACACGCCTCTCAGCCGCAAAGATCAGCTTGCGCACAGGGCCAGACTCATACAAGATACTCATGTCAGGCTGGGTTCGATCTCGCCGGAGCCGCCTCTGGTCGAGAGTCCTCAAGCCGTAGCCGACGCCATGCACGACTACAGTGGCTGCGACACGCATATCAACGGGATTGACGCTGTGGAACAGCAAGTGAAGCCGACCAAAGAACGACCAAGAAGCTTCTCCAGACCACTTTCGAAATCCAGCCGTCCAACTTCTCCTTACGGACGGCCTATCTCGCCTACCGGATCGATTCGTTTGGTTGACAGGGGCTCGAAGGATATGGAAGTGGCGAGGAGATGCATGAGTGATGCGATCGGAACGAGGCTTGACGAAGTCTTTGTGCCCGAGTGGGAGCCGGTGGTGGACGAAACGCGGTGGGCAACGAAGTGAGCAGGCAGGCGGCTGCAGTATCGATGCTAGAAGGCTCAGTCAGTCAGCACCGTGGCTGTGGCGTGCAGGAAGTAGAGGTAGTCACTGTATGGTTGATGTTGTTGCCGCTTACTTTGCCAGTCCGCGCTTCATTTGACGGTCGAAGAACGGCATTGTGCCAACTGAAGTCAAGGCCGTTGAGATTGGTTGTTGCCTCAGTTCGAGCGTGCCCACTAGGTCTGTGCTTCGCACTTGACGTTTTGTTTACTCCTCCGAGCTCAATAGCTTCCTCGTCAGCTTCCGACACAACAACCACCCGGAACCGTCGCTTTAGCAAGAGAACAGACAGCCACCACGATGTCTCTCGCGCAATCGATGTGGGCCACAGGACCCGCGAGCAGAGCCCCTGCTGTACGCGCTGTAAGTGCGATCCTCGCTCCTCCTCGACCGCCATTGACTGACTTGCTTGTAGCCAGCAGCACCCCTCAAGCCGCGTAGTAGCGCTGTCAGCATCACCGCTCCTCCATCAATGGCCGCTCCAACGGCAACGGCACCCGCTACTCTGCCTCGCGCAGCCGCTGTCAATTTGGCAGTGACCAACACCCCCAGCACCGCCCCTGTGCGCGCGCCAAGTCCCATGGCGAACAACCCGAACTTGCCGCAGCTCTACAACCCGCACTCTGCTGCACTGGCCGATGCTAAAGCTGCGGCTGCCATGTTCAGAACCAGCGGAGGTGCAAAGGGGGAGTTCGCGGCTCGCAAAGCCCAGCCTCGCGGTCGTGCAGAGTTCGAACAAGAACGCCCGTCAGTGCCACGCTCCAGCGCCGTGCCGTCTACCTCTTTCTCCTTCTCGCGTCCTCCACCAGCAGCACCGGTTCGCATCACACCAGCTCCATCTGCTCCGCGCAAAGACGATGACTTCGTCCAGCAAGCACTAGCCAAGATGTTGGCTCAAGATAAGAACCAGCACGCTGCGCCAGAGCCGACCGCCGACACTGACCAGTCTTCGTTGACAAGCAAGAAACACGGTCGCCAGGAAGAGAGCCGTGCTGCTGTTGCGGGCCGTGCTGCAGACATGGCCGTGCAGGAGAAGACCAAGGAGAGCTTGGCGAAGGATGAGACCAGCCCCAACCTTCCACCACACAAGCGTGTCAAGGGCGCAGATGCTGTAGCCGGCTTATCAACGGCCGCTGAAGCGCGTGTCCCCTCTCCATCGAATTTGGTCTCTCCAGTCGCTCCTCCAAAGAATTGGGGTCAAACGATGGAGTCTTTCAAGAAGAATCTTCTCGACAAGGCTACCGCGGCCGATGGCACTGCTTCATCAAGCGGTCCCCCACTTTCAGCTCAGTACGACACGGCTAGAGCTACTGTCAATGCCACCATCGCTCCTGCTGATCCGAGCAATTCAGAACACAACACCGCTGCTGTCAAGGTTGAGCGCGCCTTTGCTGCTCAAATGGAAGAGGCAGCCAAGCGCCAAGAGGAGGATACGGGCAAAGCTGTCCTCCAGCAGAGCGAGACGGTCGTATCTCAGCCCAAGGTCACCGGAATGAGCGAGGCCGAGTATGGAAGCAAGGCAGCCAAGCTGCTCATTGAAAAGGAGCGCATCAAGAAGGAGCGCGAGAAGCTGGATCAGGCTGAGGAGGACATCAACTCTCGCCTCGAGGCCCTGACGAAGACGTTTCTGGGGGCTTAGCGAGCCCGTGGACTTGTATACTGAGCCTTCTACGGTGGTATTGGGCGTTGACGGTGGCTGTATTGACGGCAAGCACTGTGAGAGAGTGCAATACGTGAGCGTCTTTTGTAGCCAACAAGTATGAGAATCAAGCTTCGCATCGCATGCTCTCACGACTCGCTTTGACTTGATGCCGCGGAATGCGTGCATTGGCCCCGATGTCCAGCCCTCGAGTGAATGGAGCACTATCAGGAATCGAGGACTTAACGGTGACAATGTGTTCAAAAATAGTGCTTCTCGTTGCATTTCCTCGCGATTCGACAGCATCGAAGCAACGGAATATCTGAATTGGTGGTGAGCTGCAGCCTTTGAGTGAATGGAGAGCGTCAAAATTGGAGGCCATATTAGGTAAAAGTGTTCGAAAATGGTATTTCGCGTCGGATTTTCTCGGGATGTGATCGCATCTAGGACACTGAAGGGGCGGATTGGTAGAGAGCTGCAGCCCAGAAGTGAATAGAGAGCGTCGGAAATTAGGGCAACAGCAGGTGAAAGCTTTCGAAAATTGTATTCCGCGTTAAGCTTTCTCGGAATTTTATGGCATCTAGGCCACAGAATGTGCGGGTTGGACGCAAGCTGCAGCCCTAAGGTGAACAGAGAGCGTCGGTGACCAAGGCTGTAATTAGTCAAAGTGTTCGAAAATGGCGTTTCGCGTTGCGTTTTCTCGTAGCTCGAGAGCATTTGAGCCACGGAACGTACGGCTCTCCCGTGAGCTACAGCCTAGGAGTGAATAGAGAGCGTCGGTAGTAGACGCTATAGCAGGTGAAAGTGTTCAAAAGTCGCGTTTTGTATTGCATTTTCTTATAACCCGAGGGCGTTCAAGCCACCAAATAAACGGACTTTCTGGTGGACCACAGTCTAAGAGTGAATGGAGAGCGTCGGCAATTGCAGCCTTGGTAGCTGAAAAGCATAAGAGGAGCATATTTTGCAGTACTCTCTCTCGTAGTTCGATTGAATGCATGCCGCGAGGTATACAATTTCCTTTGCGAGGTACCGGTCTGAGTTGAGCAGAGAGTCCATAGCAAAAGCCTTTAATAAGCAGAAAGAGCATGGAAAATCTTTGCTTAGTGTCGTTATCTCTAGTAACTCGGTCGAGTCCGAGCTGCGAGATATGCAAATTGTGCGCAGAATCCAGTAGTCGGTCCAACAGAGAGTATTAGGAATAGATGTCTTAAGAATCGAAAGAGACAGAAAATCTATGTTTTGCGCTAATTGCTCCTGTTACTGGACCGACTCAATGCCGTTGCATATTAGGATCTATCGTGGTATCCAGTACCCGAGTAAGTGGAGAATATACGAAATAAAGACGATTGGGAGGCGGATTTCATTTTTAAGTCATGTGTTGCACTTCATGCTCCTGTAGCTTGGTTTAGTGGATGCCACTTGTACCGAAAAACTGCGGTGCTATCGGGACCTCGAGTGAACGGAGAGAACAAAAAGTTGGTGCGCGGAAGCGAAAAAGTGTATAAGACCCCATGTTCGGCATTGTGTCTCTCGCGAAATGAATGCATTGCTGCCACTGATATGAAAGATCCTCCCAGGCATTCAGTCCTTAGCTGAATAGAGAGAGGATGAGACATGGGCCTTAAGCAGCCATAAAGTTTGAGATTATCGATGTTCGGCATCGCGTCTCTGGCAAACTGAACGAATTGCCGCTGCTGCGCTTGGAAAGTTGCCATGAGACCCAGTCCTCAGTTGCGTAGAGAGTGCGAGAAATGTTGCTGAGGGGCTGATAAAAAGCGAGAATTTCCTGGCTTAGCGTGGCGTCTCTCGTAAATCGGCCGACTCGCTGCTGCTGCGCTTGGAAATCCGCCGTGTTATCCAGTGTTCAAGTGCATAGAGACTGCGCGAAATAGGATTTGAATAGTCATAAACGTCTTTGAAGGTTCATATTCTGCATTGCATCTCCCGTGAGTTGACTAAATGGCCGCCGCTGCGCTTGGGATTTTGCCGTGGTACCTAGTGCTCATTTCCATGGAGACCGCAAGAAATGGTACTGATAGATTGAAAAAGAACGAGAATTTTCCGTTCCAGCATCGCATCTCTCGTGGCTTAATCAGGACAATGCTCTTCAATGTGGAAACCAGCTGCGATGTCGAGTCTTGCGTCGGATAGAGAAGCCGGGTCTATGAGCATTCAAGGAGTCACGGAGTCTGGACATATCTAAGGGTCGACATCGTGTCTCTGGTCAAGTTGTTGGATTGCTGGCGCTTAATATCAGGTTTGGCCGTGGTGTCTTGTCCTTGGCTGGCTGGAGAACGAGACGAATTGGCAAATGGGGATACCATAAATTCTGAGTAATCGTATGTTGGGCATCGCATCCCTCGTAAATCGATCGGAGTCCTGCCGCGCAATGTCAAACTTGGCTGTGATGTCTCGTTCTTTGCCGGACGGAGAAGGCAAGAAGTGGCCAGTCAAAAGGACGAGCAAAGCCCTGCATGCTCGCGGATCTCGAACGAACCGCTGGCACCAAATCAGGAAAGTGGCCGCGATATCTAGGGTTCAACTCAACAGAGTCGTGGCTGACCGTATGCCTCTCCTCCCTGATCTGCTCAGTCGATGTCGCCAGATAAGACAGCTTTCTAGGATTTCTGATCCTGAATGAACGGAGAATGGTTGTACAGTATATCCTTCCCTTCGATCAAGCCAACACGGCGCTTCCAGGTGTAATGATCTGCCAGGACGTCCATTTGTTGAGTAACGGAGAGTGGCTATTCATTGTGTCCTTCGTTTTGATTCAGCCAAAACTGCGCTTCCATATGTAATGATCTGCCATGATGGCCAATGGTTGACCAACGGAGAGCGCTGTTATTCATTTCCTTCATGTCCAACCAGCTACCACGGTGCCTCCGGATTGAAGGATTTAGCAAGACATCTATTCCTTGACTAATGGAGATTGATCGTCAACTATGCCACTCCTCTGCAACCTGCCGCAACGGCGCCCACAAAGGTAATGATTCGCCATGATTTTCGTTCATTGATTCACGGAGAGTGGTCGTGTATTAGGTCTTTCTTCTCGAATTTGCTGTTTCGATGCCGCCAGGTGCTGGGACTTGTGGTGACGTCTGCTCCTTGACTGACAGAGAGTGGTCGTTGATTATATTCCTTTTCTCCTTGTATCGCTGATCCAGGGCCGCCGGATACGACAATTTGCCGTGATGTACAGTTCTTGACTGAAGGAGAGCATTTGTTGGTCACGTTCCTTTCTCCTTGGAGGTATCGATACAGTGCCATCCATAAGACAGTTTGCCGTAACTTTGAGCCCTCGGATGAACCGAGAATCATCGCCGATCCTCCGTTATTCCTCTCGAATATGCTACCACGATGCCATTCCAGGTAGAAGTGCATCGAGATCCGGACTCGTGGCCGAAGAGAGTGGTGGCAAGATTATATTCGACACCGCTCTGGCGGAGATGTTCTGAAGCTCAGCTTTGTAGCTCTAGCGCGGCGTTCGCTCTGCTCGACCGTGTTACGTCAAGGGCGTCCTAGACCAGGATACATCAGGTTGCATGCTTCAAGTCCGGCAGAATAAGCGTCGGCTCAGCTGAAGACCTCCCTAACGACACGAGCGCTGTTTGGTCCGCGCTCTGTAGGCGCGCTCTGAGTGGAACAACGCATGCTCTGAGGAGTCAGCAAGACGCTTAGAATAAGTCCCGGGATTGATAGCTGAGCTGGCGTTGTTAGTAAGTCAGTGTGGCGTCAAGCCACGTTCTCGCGTACCTCCACAATCGTTAACAATACAGGTTGCACTGGACTATCGCCTTGATGTGTCATCGAGGGCGGCAGATGGCTCATCGCGACGTAGTATGCTCGCAATTCCAACCTTCAAGCCGGACGTTAATAGACGGACAAGTTCTTCGCCATGAAAGCGCATAATAACTGTCGCAGAAGCTGCGTACCATGCACCGTAAACCAAAGAACTGCTTCTTCACCACCCTCGACACCAACTCAACAGGAAGCCGTGAGCAAGCGGGAGAAACTCCAGTCATCAAAATGCCAGCATCCATAGACAGCCGACCACCAGGCATCGGTGATCCCGCTCGCCGCCACATCGTCAACAAAGTGGGAGGCGAAGACGTAAACTGGCTCAAATATGGCTACGAGACCAATGGCGAATACTCCGAAATCGAATGCACTTGCGAGCCAGGCGGTGGCCCACCTCTGCACTACCACGCAACATACACCGAGACATTCACTTCTCTCGAAGGTGAACTTATCCTGCAAATCGGCGACGAAGAGCCCAAAGTTGTCGAAGTCGGATCATCACATACGGTAGAGAAGGGCGTCGTGCATCGCTTCTCTGCGGGCCCAAAAGGAGCAAAGATGAACGTGCGACTCGAACCCGCTAGTGCAGGGTTCGAGAAGAGTCTGTATGTTTTCTTTGGCTTGGCGAATGATGGTTTGCTGGGGAAGGATCTCATGCCTTTGAATATGTTGCATACGCTTTTGTTGGGGTATTGGGGCGATATGGGGTTCCCTGGTGTTGTGGGTGGGATTATGAATACCGTGCAGACGGTAGGAGCAACTTATGCCAGGTGGACGGGTGTGGAAGCGGAGCTGCTGGAGAAGTATTGGAAGTAGAACTGGCGTTGCGGAGGCGATGTGGCGTATATCCCTTGGCCGTACGGTATTTTAGCGTCGAATTGGTTTTTGTCATGTCCCGGAACTCTTTGCTTCGAGAAACAAAAGCTGCAAGTGTACCGTTTGCTGGGATGGGCATTGACAAACCTAGCACCTCATAAAGATCCAGTATCCCTCCTTGCCTGACGTGCGCAACGCAACCATGCCTGCAAAGGATACGCCCGGTTCTGCTGTCACGCCAGTCAATCCCCGACCGAGCAGCATGAGGGAAAGCGAGAATGATTTCGCCCCTTCAACATTCTACTGGAGTCGGTCACGCTACACTGGCGCTCTCGGCTTCAATCTTTTCGCTTTCGTCCTTCCTGCTCTGTACGGGACTCTCAGCAAGCTCTGGGTCGCCAATATCGATAGCAGCCTAGTTGTCACCACGGATGTCTACACATACATCGGGGTCGTCTCCGAAGTCCTCAACGAAGGTCTTCCACGTGCGGCCTGGCTCATTATCGGCGACAAGTCGAATCGTTCTCTGGAAAGCCGCCTCAGTCTCTCTCATACTTTGATCGTCTTCCAAGCCATTCTCGGACTTCTCATGTCGATCGTCTTCGCCACAGCTGCAAAGCAGTTCGCAGAAGTCTTTGTTCCCGAGAATGTTCGCGAGGCTTCGTTGACATACGTCAGAATCTCTGCGTTCTCGGCTTTGGCGTCCGCGCTGGAAACTTCAGTAGCTACGGCTACGAGGGCGATGGATCAACCAGATGTGCCTCTGGTGACCAGCTCTGCGAAGTTTGGAATCAACATCGTCTTGGATCTAATCTTGATCTCGAAGTTCCATGTCCCTGGTGTCGAACCGTCAGTCAACACTCAGGCAACCACACAGCTGGCGTGCAATCTCGCAGCGTCATTTCTTGGCTTGGCGTACTTCTTGTGGTTGGGTAAAAGAAGACTACGCAGGCTCTCGCTGATGGGAGGGGTCACGCAACCAATCAAACCAACCTTTAAAGCTTTGTTGATACTTGCACGTCCTGGCGCGTGGACATTCGCAGAATCTGCAATCCGCAATGCTCTCTATCTTTGGCTCGTGAGCGGCATTGTTACAATGGGTTCAGATTACGCCACCGCCTGGGGCGTCTTCAACACCATCCGGTGGGGACTCATCATGGTTCCCGTTCAAGCCCTCGAGGCAACCACTCTGGCTTTTGTCGGGCACGCCTGGGGCGAGTGGCGATTGTTCACTGGGATCCAGACGCAGAAGCCAAAAGCCACTCGTCAAGAGCTGAGGCCAATCTTCAAGCCAATCTGGAGGTCCTGCTTCATCGCACTGGCAGTCGAGGTGCCCATGTGCCTCTTTCTCTCCTTTTATGGTGCTCGCAGGTTCGCGTATTATCTTTCTGATTCCGAACCAGTGTCGTTGATCACACAGAGGATGTGGAAGTCGGTTGATTGGTGCTACATCTGCTATGCGATCTCGACACAACTTGCTGCAATTCTACTGGCCACTCGACCTCGCTGGTACTTGTATCAGTCTTTGGCCAGCAATCTATTGTGGGTTCTGCCCTGGGCGATTGTGGTCACAAAAGTGAATCTCAATCCAGAAAATGCCTGGACCTATCATTCTGTTGTTTTTGGAGGGAGTTTGGTCTTTAGCTTAGGCGTGATTATTGCAACAGTTTCAGCGTGGACGTGGGCATTGTTGAAGGGAAGAATGACGCTGCGCCGGCTTGATCGCTGAGATCGTGGCAAATAACACCGAGCTCAGGGCCTGTACAACCACGGTACAGGCAATCAAGTGGCGGAAACCTAAGTCTCTGCCAGGTCACAAGCTCAATGCGAAAGGCTGACATTGATGACCTCTCAAGTGCTGTTCCCAGAACAGTCTGTATTCATGTAGCACTGCGGTTCATTGGAACGAAATCAGGCCGTTCACCATGATCCTTTGACGACTTTCTTGACCACGTCTTGCAGCGTGACCTTGGACATCTGCACAAAGTCCTCCAGGTGTGGCTTCTTGCCTCTCGCGATGAAATTTGCTCCATACTTGGCGACCCAGACTTCAGCAACAATTGTTCGTAATGCCGCCTGCCTGTCCTGGTTTTCGGTCTGATCCAAACGCTTGTGAGCCTCAGCAACGGCCTCGCTTCCATTGACAGGATCTAGAACTTTGTACTTGACACCCTGCTGCGCTTCAAGCTCGGCAACAATCTCTTGTTGCGTTGCAGAGAAAGCTTCAACGTACACGCGCAGATTTGCGGTTTGCTTTGGATGCTTCAGGCATTCCAAAACCGCATGCGCGGCATAGGGTAGCGTTGTCAATGTAGGTGCATGATTGCCGCCATCCCAGTATGATACTGTGTGGTCGGTCGGATCGATGTCAAGAAAGTTGGTTTCCAATGCCCACTCAAGCCATACACCGCAAGCCACGCCTGTCCAGCTAAATTGGGGATGTTCTTTCGCCTTCTCCTCAAGATACTCCGCAACCCTAGTCTTGCTTGCAAAGACAGGAGACAGCCAGGTGGTGAGTGGGTCTGCGTAATCGAACGCGTGTTCGCTTGGGAAGAAGCGTGCGACTCCGGCCTCGATTGCAGCGTCAATGACCTTGTATTGGACGTCCAGTGCGCCACCTGCATATCCCACGGCAGAAATAACAGCGTGTTGGCCTTTCAGTAGATCGACCAGCTCTGCGTGAGGTAGATCATCAGATACGCGAAGGTCCTTGACAGAAGACGGATATTGTGACTTGGAGCTTCTACGGGAGAGTACGGCGACTTCGAACGCCGGATCGGCAACAAGAGCGTCAAGAATGAAGCGCCCTATGTTGTCACCACCGGCGCCAAAAACGGTGATCTTTTGTTGTTCGGGCATTGTCTTGCAGCGGAGAGGTGAAAGGTGTTGGTAGCAAGCCTGTCGTTGGCGGGACGTAGCAGTCAACGTAGACCGAATTTATAACTTTTTGAGCTCATTGACTGAGCTAGGTAGGTGAGGTGATGTTGATCTTGCGCTTTGTAATATCTTCTACAACCTTCGAACCTGCTCATCGAGGAGACGTTCCTGCAGTGCGCAGTCGAGCCAGCAGATGACTGGCCGGGCAGTTGCAGTTGTGAACGGCAACTGCCCCAATTGCTGACATGCAGCCTTGGCTGTAGCGCAGGCATTGTGAAGAAGCTGTATGGCTCCTATTTCGGCATGTGGTCTCAGCCTGCTTGCTTGGAGAGGTGAGCAATGGTTGACCACAGCTCAGGTTTCCTGCTTCCTCGTCTGCTCCTCAATGTGCTTCAGCAATCCTTCGCCGCACCGCACGACTTGTTCATACGCGGTCGTGAAGCCTTCATTGCCTCCGTAGTACGGATCGCCGATTTCCTCCTTCTTGCTCTTACCGCCGAACTCGCCATACAAATGCACCTTCTTCAATGCTTCCTCATCCAGCAGACCTCTTTTCCCGGCTCTTTTGACCATGTCTCTCAAATCATCGTAGTTGTCTCGGTCCATGGCCAGCAAGTAGTCAAACTCCTGGAAATCCTCTGGCACTCTCACCTTCCTGGCTGCGTGCTGGTAGTCGCTGATTCCGTTCTGTCGGAGCACTCGCATGGTGCGGGAGTCTGGACTGTCGCCTGCATGATACGCACCAGTACCACATGAGTCGACCTCTCTGATCAACGGATTTTGGCTGGGTGTACCAAAGCTGGTGAGATTGCGGAACACTCCCTCGGCCATGGTGGAGCGACAGATGTTGCCCAGACATACGAAGAGCACAGAAGCGCCAGGAGCGGCATCGGCCTCAGTATCGCGCGTCATGGTGATTTCTGATTATGCGACGCGTCGGAAAGCGGATAGTAGTGGGTGATGTTGGACAGGTCACCAACAAGCTCACACAGAACCTTTCGATGCAATCTAGCCAAGACCAGCCCTTGGGATTCTCGAAGGACTCTACGCGGGAGTCTAACTCACGGCCACAACGAACCATCAACCAAACGCGTGACCTCACAGCCTAAACGAGCACAGAAAATGTCTTCAGCTGAGTACGCGACAGCGTTCCCACCGTGATTATGTCACTTGGCATATTTTTCGTGGCCGCCTGTGCTATTTCGAGCTCTGGCCGCCTTCATACCTACGCCAAGCTTGCTTACCCCATCGTCGCCTCTGGTCTGAGCCCCTGCTGTGGCGTCGAGCTAAGATCTCCCGCCTGGATTGGTCCGCCGCTGTGCATCAGGAGATCTCAGGGCTGATCAGCAGGAGCTGGGAGCTACCAGCGGCGTACGATGTATTCGAGAGCAAATGCAGCGACAGATTGGCGGAATGTTGTGGATGGCAGGTACAGCAGAATGGAGCAATCAATGGACGCAGACGGAGACGCCGCGGCAGATCGGCGGAGCACCCTGGAGGTGGGAGGAGCCAGGCAAGCAGGTGAAACGCGATGCGTAAGGTTCGTGTGGCTGTGGGCGGGCGATGTTTTTGGCTTGCCATGTCACCTCTTGGGATGCGAACGGTCAGCAGATGCGTGAGAAGAGCACGCATTGGCGCGGCCTGCTAGTCGTAGAACAGGTCGCCAGCTACACATCAAACCACCCTGTCCATCTTGTCCTTTGCGCAAGTCTGCACTCGTTCTGCCAGGATAATTCTCAGGTGTTGCTGTGACGATCTGACAGTGTTGACACGGCTCCACAGCTTGAAGCATCTTGAAACTGGGTACCTGCGTGCCCGCTCCACGACGCAATCATCGCAGGCGCAGTCACTCGGCCTTCAGCCTGTCGTGTCCTGTCCTCCCACCAGGCCATCGCCTCCCTCGTCGCACTGCAATCTCGTCGCGCGCGTGATCACCGCAAACGCACATTCGCAACACGCTCAGTTTCGGCGCATTGACGGGGGCAAGGCATCGAGGTCAGGATGAGCTACAATCCGCTAGGTATGTCAAACCGCCATGGTCGGGGGCCAGTTTGAAGAGCTTTGCCGGAGAAGAGTCGCGCGTGTCTGAAGTCTACACGCATTCCACGCGCAGCCTTCGCACCGGACGCGCGACGCCAAACTGCTGGGTCGCCGTTGCAGCACCACATCTTGCGCCTGAACCCCTCCAGACACCACGTCCCAGGCAAACGATTCCTGCCACTGACATTTTCTTCCTCAAGGCGGCTACGGCCAGTCTGGACACCCCAGAGACGACGACCGCAGTCCGAGTCCGCATCCCAACAACCCCTTCATGGATCGTCATCACTCTCCAGACCCGCGCTATGGCCAGCAAGGCTACCAACTCGATGACCGCCCATACCATGAACCGCTCGATATTCCAGTGGGCCCCGGTCCAGCTTCATTCGCTGCGAATCCATACGCTGCTGCGGCCTCCAGCGACCGACTAGCCGCCCAGCCGACATACGAAGTAACGAATATGCCAAACACGTACGGGCATGGCCAAGCGTACGATGACGATCATCAACGAGGGTACACTCCCAATCCATTTCAGCAGTCTGCGCAGCAAGGAAGAGGAGAGTACAATTTGAGCCCGCAGCACGAGCACACGGACTACATTCACGATCCAAACGCATACGATGCGCCACAACATCCTTATTATCAAGACGAGTCGGATGATAGGCCAATGCTGCACCCAGACACTTCATACGGACCAGATCCGCACCAGATGGGCCCGCAAGATTCTTCTCATGAAGATCTGGAGTCCGGTTACAACGATCCTCCGCCAGTCAAGGCACCTATCAGGCGATGGAAGACCGTGAAGGAAGTGCAGCTGTACAACGGCAATTTGGTACTCGATTGTCCCATACCTCCCAGGTTGCTGAATCAGGTGCAGCACGCGCAGCCGCCAGAAAGAGATGAATTCACACATATGCGATACAGTGCGGCAACTTGCGACCCTAGCGAGTTTCTCTCCAAGCGCTTCACATTGAGACAGCGTCTGTTCGCAAAGCCACGTCACACTGAACTGTTCATTGTGATCACCATGTACAACGAGGAGGACGAGTTGTTAGCGCGAACACTCATTGGCGTGATCAAGAACATCGAGTACATGAACTCCCGAACGTCCTCGAAGATGTGGGGAAAGGAGGCTTGGAAGAAGATTGTGGTCTGCATTGTGTCTGATGGACGTGCGAAGATCAATCCGAGAACACGATCTGTCCTCGCTGGTATGGGTATCTACCAAGATGGCATTGCGAAACAGCAAGTGAACGGCGAGGATGTGACTGCACATATTTACGAGTACACGACACAAATGACACTGGAAATCAAGAAGGGCGTCGTCCAAGTCAAGAAAGGCAATACCCCGGTGCAAGTGCTGTTCTGTTTGAAGGAGAAGAATCAGAAGAAGATCAATTCACACAGATGGTTCTTCCAAGCATTCGGAGAGGTGCTGCAGCCCAACATTTGTGTTCTGCTCGATGCTGGAACTCGACCCGGGAAAAGCAGTATTTACGATCTCTGGAAAGCATTCGATCGCGAGCCCATGTGCGCAGGCGCCTGTGGTGAGATCAAAGCTATGTTGGAGCACGGCAAGAACCTCATCAATCCTCTGGTTGCAGCACAGAACTTTGAGTACAAGATGAGCAACATTCTGGATAAGCCGCTGGAGAGTGCGTTTGGCTTCATTACCGTCCTTCCCGGTGCTTTCTCGGCCTATCGTTACGTGGCGTTGCAAAACGACAAGACTGGTCAAGGCCCTCTGGAAAAGTACTTTGCTGGTGAGAAGATGCATGGTGCGAACGCTGGCATCTTTACCGCGAACATGTACCTGGCAGAAGATCGAATCTTGTGTTGGGAACTGGTTAGCAAGAGGAATTGCTCCTGGATCCTGCAGTATGTGAAGTCGGCCACGGGTGAGACAGACGTCCCTACGGAAATGGCCGACTTCATTCTCCAACGACGAAGATGGCTGAACGGATCTTTCTTTGCAGCTGTCTACGCGCTCTCTCACTTCTACCAAATCTGGCGCAGTCGACACTCATTCATGCGGAAATTCTTCTTCATCATTGAGTTCATTTATCAGGCTTTCAACATGCTCTTTGCATGGTTCGCAATCGTAAGTCTCCATCTGAACGTCGTAACATACTCGAGCTAACGTGGTTGTAGGGCAACTTCTTCTTGGTCTTCAGGATTCTGGTATCGTCACTTTCCGACAAGTCGCTCCTCGGCACTGCTGGTCTCGTTCTTTCTGTCGTCTTCGAATGGATGTATCTCGCGATTCTGGTCACTTGTTTCGTGCTGGCTCTGGGAAATCGGCCTCAAGGAAACAACAGGTACTACATGGCTCAAGTGTACTTCTGGGCAATCTTGATGGCGTACCTGCTCTTCGCTTCAGTGTTCATCACGGTGAAGTCGATCCAGGCGCAGATTGCTCTGAACAATGGCTTCAGCTTGGACATGCTCTTCACTAACAAGCTCTTCTTCACGCTCATCATCTCGATGGCGTCGACATGGGTGCTCTATCTGGTGGCGTCCTTCCTGTTCTTCGACCCTTGGCATATGTTCACGTCTTTCATTCAGTACCTCCTCCTGACGCCAACCTACCTCAACATCCTCAACGTCTACGCTTTCTGCAACACTCACGACATTACGTGGGGAACGAAAGGTGACGACAAGCCGGAGAAGCTGCCAGCCGCGAACCTCAAGCCAGGCGGCAAGGTGGATGTGGCAATACCGACAGACGATGCCGATCTTAATACTCAATACGAAGAAGAGTTGCGCGCGTTTGCAGTCAGGTATGAGCCACCGAAGAAAATCATCACAGCTGAGCAAAAGCATGAAGACTACTACAAAGGCTTCCGATCTGCAGTCGTGCTCGCTTGGATGTTCTGCAACCTGGCTCTTGCAGCTATCGTGCTCAACGCAGGAGGCATGGATCGCATCACAGTCAGCGAAGAGAGAGATGCGGAAACAGTGGAGGACGAGCGTTCCACAATCTACATGGCAGTTGTCTTGTATTCTGTGGCAGGTCTTGCTGCCGTTCGCTTTATTGGTGCGTGTTGGTTCTTGGTCACCCGCATGTTCCGCGGTGTATGAGCGGTATTTGGACATTGGAGAAGGGCGTTCAGGTTGGGATTGTGTGGTGCTCTTGTGATACCCTCATTGCATATGAGCGTACGTTTTGATATGACAAACAGCCGCACAGACAGGCAGATAGGCTACTTCACGAATTCATTGTTGAACTTGTACTTCATTGCTCTCATCGCCATCGTTCCCTGACCCCGTGGTAGTCGGTGAACCAGCAGTAGGTACTGTCTGAATCCTGCTCGTAGGCATGGTGGTCACAATGCACGCCGCACGCGCCGGAGCAACATACTCTCGCCGCAGCATCACTTTCGCGCGACTTGCCCTCAATTGACAAACGCTGCCTGGTGGTTCCTGCTGAAGCTGCTCACTTCACAACTCACTTCCAACGGTCGGCAGGCGGCAGAGTGGCACTAGCTTTTCAGGCATTGACGAACTTTCTGCCCCAAAACAAACTTGACCCCTTCCACTTGTTTCTTCCCGCACCACCACCGACTTCCACCAGAAGTCAACTCAAACAACACGCGCTTCTTCTTGTTTGACCAGCACTACCACCCTACACCGCGCTCATGATGGGCGCTACCACATGGGATACAACGGCTCGTGAGCTCACCCTCCTGTCGCCATTGGTTCTTCGAGCAGTACTGACATTCGAACAGCAGCTGCCGACAACAGCTGGAAGACGGACGGCGGCGGCAACGACGGCGGATGGGAGGCTGACGGCGGCGCTTCCTTGGACAACAACGGTGGCTTCACGGAGGCCAACACCTCAATGCATGCCAATGGCGACTTTGAGGGTGGTGCCAGCAATGACGGCTGCCGCATGTAAGACCTTCATCGCCGCCCCTACCTGCCATGAGACCCAGCTAACAGTGCACAGTTGCGGTGCAGACAGCCACTTTGCACGCGACTGCCCTGACAAGCCAGAAGGAGGCGGTCACGGCGGTGGTTGCTTCAACTGCGGCGAGGAGGGTCACAACAAGGCCGAGTGCCCGAACCCACGCGTCGAGCGCGAGTTCACCGGTACTTGTCGTGTGTGCGAGCAAGAAGGCCATCGCGCCGCCGAGTGCCCATTGCGACCACCTCAGAAGTGCCGTGCTTGCGGTGTTGAGGGCCACAACGCTTCTGAATGCGAGGCCAACCGCATCCACGGCCTCTTCGCACAGCTCAATGTGCAGGACAAGTCAGCCGAGGAGTCTTGGGCCGACATTGAGACCGCCGACAAGGAGAAGGATGTCGACGAGATCAAGAAGGTTCGTGACGCACCCATCACTGCGCTCTGACGTTCCTCGCTGACACTCTTTCAGGGCATCTTCGCTTACGCCAAAGCCTTCCCAGAGCTCACGCTCGAGGAGCTGGAGAAGTCTTTCCGCGACGGTGACATGAACATCCACCTGATCGCCAAGGAGCAAGAGGTCCCGGGATCCTACACTATTGTCAACTTTCAAGGCAAGAAGGACCTGAAGTATGTGGTCTCCTTCCAGTTGGCAGCCAAGCCGAAGCGCGCCAAGTTTGCCGAGGGCTGGCCATCCTCACCGGAGGAGAACATGACGCGACTGGCCGAGGCGGGTTTCGTGATGGACAGCTTCGTGAAGAAGTGCACCAACTGCAGCGAGTTCGGACATGGATCCAAGGAGTGCGAGCAAGAGAAGCAGGATGGAGCTCGGGTGGTGATCACTTGCGCCAATTGCAACGAAGAGGGACACCGTGCTCGCGATTGCCCAGAGCCACGCAAGAGTGGTAATAGGGGCTGCAAGAACTGCGGCAGTGAGGAGCATATGGTCAAGGAGGTGACTACCTCGACAACATCACCCCTGGCGAGCATTGACTGACAGCCTTTTTAGTGCCCCGAGCCTCGCATGGACCTCGAGTGCAACTTGTGCGGCAAGAATGGCCACATGTCTCGCGAGTGCCCGGACAAGCCACCAGAGGTCTGCCGCAACTGCGGCGAGGAGGGCCATCGCAAGAATGAGTGCACGAATGAGCGTAGATTTCAGTGCCGCAATTGCGATGAGTGGGGCCACACTGGCCGCGAGTGCCCGTAAGTCCTCCCTCCCGACTAACACCTTCACCCGCTAACACTGTCACAGAGAGCCTCGTAACATGGCCAAGGTACAATGCCGCAACTGCGACGAGATGGGCCATGCCAGCAAGGAGTGCCCGCTGCCAACGGACTGGTCTCGGGTCGAGTGCTCGAAGTGCAAGCAGAAGGGGCACAGCTACAAGCGTTGCACTAACCCTGCTGCTGACGAGGCCGACGACTTTGGCGCTGGTGGTGGCGCTGATGCTGCTGCTGGAGGCTGGGAGGATGGTGCCGGCGGCTTTGGTGCTGCTGCTGCGCCTTCTGGTGGCGATGGAGGTTGGGAGGACAATTCCTCAGCTCCAGTCGGCTCCTCGGGTGGAGGCTGGTAGAGCAGTATGCTTGAGCCTTTGAGGTCTTGGGGCTGCAACACCATTACGGCGTCAGCGGAGGATGCTCGTCCATGCGTCCGACTGGCCAACTTTGACACGATGCGACCAGCACTGAAAGAAGAGGGCTTCAGATAGAGGTCTAAAAGTCACGAAATGAAATCGTACCGCTCGTCGCCCCCTTCCCATATTCTTATGTGCTTTTTAAGTTTTTCATCCTCTCGCAATTTTCGAGTCGCGTTTGATGCTGCTTGCTGACCGCGCTGCAGAGAATTGAAGGCCCGTCCTTCACGTCGTGCAAATCGCCCATTCCCAGAATTTCAACTCTTTTTTCAAAGCCTCTTTTCCTATTATAAAAGAAGTACAAGGAACAGGTCTTACCTCGAAGACGTCTAAGCCTCATCATTGCAGTGCTGATATCGCTGCATTCTTGGCGCAGAGCTCTGTTTCGAACACAAATTTTGGTGAGGCATACACCAGACTGCGCCTTTCAACAGCTCATCGATATGTAGATCGGCTCCAGTGCTCGCAGGACATCATGGCAGAAATCTCGATCTGCCCGTCGCCGATGTGCGATTGATCGGAAAGCAGAGCCGTCGTGGAAATTGTTCCATTGCCATGGCCCACCTGTGCACCGCCGCTCGGTTGCGACATGGCCGTAAAGGATCGCATGGAGACAGAATTTGGAGACACTCGACGTCATGGAGCATGGAATCGGAGCCGGTGAGACGCTAGTATGGAATCTCTGCCTTTTTGCGTTTCGCACGTGTCTTGTCGCGCTCTTTTTTGGCGGAGGATGGACTCATCGCGTTCCTCGAGAGTGTGAGATGGGGCCAAACCTGCGCGACCTGATCGACTCGTGGCTTTCGTCTCGCCGATGAATTTCTCGTCCAGCTGTGGATCTTGGCCGCGATACTCATCCCCACGCGGGCCTCCAGACTGGAGTCGCAGTGAGCTGATGGGGTTCGTGACCGAGCTAAGGCCAGACGCCCGGAGCCGCCGGCATACTCTTTCTGGTCACCCGGAATCCATATCTGCGACCACACTTGTTGCTGGGGGTCTGGGAAAACTCTCTTCATTCGCTCGCTTGACTGTGATCATGATCAAGCACGCGAACAAAGCCCGAGGGACCACATGCAAAGGCCCATGGGCAGTGGGCAATGGTCTGTTGTCGTGCTCTTGGCCACACTCCAGTATCCACTTTCCGTATGGATGGCAAAGGTAAGAGCTCGGATGTTTGAATACCGGGTCTTGGTTCCCTTCTTATTATTTCTTCTATCTCTTCTCAAGCTCTGTGGACTTGGAAATTCTCTCCAAGAGTTGATTAGGTTGTGACAGTCTTGGTCTCAGTCGGTCTTTCCTGAAACCTGTCCGAGGTGAATAGCAAGAGACCGCCAAGATGTTTGGTGGGACTAGGTTTTATGGCCTTCGAGGCACGAAGCTCAATGTCGCCATTGGTGTGATCGCCGGGTTGGATTTCTTGCTGTAAGTCAGGCAGGATCAGCCCAAACAGGAGAGATTCAATCACTGATATGGTACAGATTCGGATACGATCAAGGTGTCATGTATGAGACTCAAGCATCGCTGAACTGGACCACTTCTAACACGAGCTAGGGGCGGCTTGTTGACTTTAGAGTCCTTTGTGGCAGTATTTCCTGAGATCGATACCCGAGGAGAATCTGGAACGAGCAACCGAGCAACAACACAAGGAATCTCGATCGCCTCGTACAATTTGGGCTGTTTCCTCGGAGCAGTTGTTTGCATTTGGCTTGGACAATATCTCGGACGTAGGCGAACGATCTTCCTCGGGAGTGCGATCATGGTCGTTGGGGCTGTCCTGCAGACGGCAGCCTTTGGACTGACCCAGTTGATCATCGGACGTATCATCACTGGTATTGGAAATGGTCTTAACGTAAGTCATCGACGCTAAGTAGCACGGCATTTGCTAATACGTCACTACCAGACATCTACTGTGCCGACATGGCAGAGTGAGACTTCGAAAAGTCACAAGCGCGGACAGATGGTGATGATTGAGGGCGCTCTTATCACGGGGGGCATCATGATCAGTTGTAGGTCCCCCTTTGACGAGGCACTGCGATCTCTACAATCGAAGCATTGTGCTACGAGGTCTCAACACACGTCCAGTGGCTGACACAAAGACAGACTGGATCGATTTTGGTTTCTCCTTCCTCGAGCCAAGCACAATTACCTGGCGTTTCCCAATCGGGTTTCAGATCTTCTTCGCTCTCATCATTCTGGTGTTTATCCTCGGACTCCCGGAATCCCCAAGATGGCTGATTCTGAAAGGACGCGAAGATGAAGCAGTGACTGTGCTCTCGGCTTTGAGCGATCTTCCTCCAGATGACGAATACATCATCAGCGAGTTCTCTGCTATCAAGGAATCTGTGCTTGAGACTGCTGCGGGCACGTTCAGTGAAGTGTTCACGATGGGCAAGGATCGCAACTTTCACCGCGCTGCACTCGGATATGTCAACCAGGTTTTCCAACAGGTGATTCTATACTACTTTCCTTTTCAATGCACAACAACATGAACTGACGATTCTAGATCTCTGGAATCAATTTGATCACGTACTACGCCGCAACGATCTATGAAAACGAGATTGGTTTATCGCCTTTCCTCTCACGCATTCTGGCTGCTTGCAACGGAACGGAATACTTCCTTGCCTCTTGGATACCAGTGTTTCTGATTGAGAAGGTTGGTCGTCGACCTCTCATGCTTTTCGGCGCGGTCGGCATGTCGCTCTCCATGGTCGTTCTGGCTGCTGCGACCTCAGTCGGAGGGAGTGGGCCTGGAGTCGTCGCAGCTGTCTTCTTGTTCATATTCAACACATTTTGTAAGTTCCTTTCGCGCGCGCCGACAATACCAAGACCCTATCAACATCTTCGTGTTACACGCATTATGAACATCTGCTAACTGCAATTGATGTTTAGTCGCCATTGGGTGGCTTGGAATGACTTGGCTGTATCCAAGTGAAATTGTACCGCTGAGGATCAGAGCACCTTCATCGGCACTTTCGACTTCTGCTAATTGGTGAGATGCCCGAAACAGCATTCAAAACCTCGTGATTGATAACCAGCTAACGTATTGCAGGATCTTCAACTTCATGGTCGTCATGGTCACGCCTGTTGCATTTGACACTATCGGTTACAAGACATACATCATCTTCGCGGTGATCAACGCCTTCATTGTACCATGCGTATACTTTTTGTTCGTGACTCCGAAGAATCACCAACCAGATTCACGAGACTAACACATATTCGCAGCTACCCCGAAACAGCCTATCGATCGCTCGAAGAGATGGATGAGATCTTCCACAAGACGACCGGTGTCTTTGACGTTGTTAGCATTGCTCGTCCAGCCAACACACCGCATCGGTATGATAAGAATGGTCGTCTTCTCATCAGCTATCTCGAGACGGAGGAGCACAGGAGACGAGCAAGTGCTACGCAGCCTGGGGTCAAGGGTGTCAATGAGATTGAGAACAAGGAGCGATCGACGCATGATGAAGCGTACAAGACGGAAGGCGGTTTTGCTGCAAGTGAGAAGAGCTTGTAGTGTGGATTCATCCGATGAGGCTTTGGACTCGCAGTCGAATGCTATCCTTCAGATATGAATGCGAATCAGAATTCAGTGAAATTGAAGACCGAAACAGACGCAGGTCTCAAAGCTCCAAGTTACTGCAAGGCCACGCAGGAGCACCAAGTCCCCGGCATCACAACTCTGCCGTGACTGTTGATCACAGTGTCGTTCTTCCAGGAACAATAGAAATTATGATAGAACTATGGCGTACTTGTGGGAGAGAGGTCTACCTCAGCAGATTGGCAATCGGCGCCGATAGCAGGATCAATGGAAAGTTCGGTATGGAAGATACCTATGGCAGCTTCCGTCTCTGTTGCTCTCAGCAAAGAACCATCTTTTGGTAGCATCCTTGCATATTGACTCATGCTACATGCATGCGGTGCATAAGTGATATTCTGAGAGCATTTTGCGTCCACTGGGCGCCAGCTCTAGTTGTTCACGATCTCTGCCGAATATATGAGGAAGCTGGGGAAGTATTGAGCAAGCAAGCAACTGTGCCCGCTGTGTGTTGTGGTGCGCTCGATCCTTGCAGTCGTCGTTTTCCACGTGCCCTGATCGTCGTACTCGAGGGGATTCTGCTCTCGAAACTTCAAGCTGAAGTTGTCATCGCCCACCTCTTAACATCGTCTTCTGAGCTGCAGGTGTCCATGAATGTGAAGTATAGCAGCTGCCAGAGGCGCGCACTCTGATCTGGATCAAGAGCTGGCAAGTCGATGTCAAATATTTCCAGCATGCTGTGTGAGCTGTCCGGACAAGCTCCACTCTCAACGAAGGTTCAAGTGAGGCCTCCTCGACGGGACTTGCGTCATCCTCTACACACTGACGGTCTCACCCTCAGAGCTTCCATTACCATTGCTGCAATATTCCGGCGCAGGCAACTCCTCGCCCCCGACCCAGACTTTGCTCAATTCTTCCTCAATCTCCTGCCGCCTTTGCTTCCACTTGTCGACCAGGCTCAGCTTCTCTTTGAGCTCCTGTATTTCTCGCTCAACACTGCTCTTCTCGGTCGCAGTTCCAATCCTGTTAAACTCGTACTCGCTGGCGTCCTCGCCCAGGCCAAGTGTGAGAGTATAAGAATGATATCGTTTCAAGGAAGCTCGAGTCGAGATGGTGATTAAAGTGATGCCCTTCTTCTTGCACGTTTCGTAGAGGATACCTTCCACATCTGAGCTCACCGCAGAAGTGCCCTCATCAATGAAAGCATAGCGTGGCTCGTGGTACAGTAATCGAGCAATCGCCATGCGCTGCTTCTCACCACCGCTAAGCACATCTTGCCACATCTTCCTCGTATCCCAGCCACCTTCGCGATCAGGTATGTAGCCCAATTTGCTCTCCTCAAGGATGCCAAGAAGTTCCATCTCTGTGCGGCCGGCTTCCTTCATGTCAACCTCTGTGTGCGGGTAGATGACTTGGTCGCGAAGCGTGCCATGACTCAAGTATACTCTTTGAGGCAAGAACATGATACCGTCCTGTCCGGTGTTGCGTGGCCTTGATGTTAGACCACGGTACGTCGGCCACAAGCCAGCGACTACGCGGGCGACAGCGGACTTGCCCGCGCCATTGGGACCGGTAATGAGTAGATGATCGCCTGGCCCGACTATGAATTGCAGGTTGTCAATCAGCTCTTCGCCGCCGTTCGGATGTGCTGAAGGAGCAACAATCGGCACGTTCTCCAGCCGCACGCCGTCATAGCCTTTGTGCAATGTACCATGCACGTCTGCCAAGTTGTATAGCTCAGGAAAGCGGTCTCTTGGTTGATGGTAAGCATTCGCATGCACGCGATGAAGAGTGCTAATAAGCAGGAACACTCTGCTAGTCTGCCCTGCAAGCTCCGATAAGTCCTTGATGGCGTACATCATGCGACTTCCAGCATCAGCGAGGTTGAGCATGAGTCGCTTGTTTGTGATGAATTGTTTCGTCCGCGACCCTGTCCTGCTGTCATCAGAAACGTCCGCCGAGCCCTCGCCACTGCCAGTCGTTGAGGGTGGCTCTGGTGCAATGTGCAATCCGGGTAAAAACACAGGCAGACTGGTCACAACGAAGCCCAGCGCAGACCAGGTATACTTCAGCACAAAGTCTTCCAGCATGTTGTATCCAATCTTGACACGGTAGATGGTCTCCATCATCTTCTTCAACTCTTTGAATCCTGCGTCCAGCAAGGCATGCTCGGTAGGCCCGCCCGCATAGAAGGCCACCTCCTCGGCGTTGGCGATCAGTCTTGAGTGTAGTGCTCTGAAAGCACCCTCCTTGCGTCCTTCTGCCGCTTTTAGCTTGCCAAATGGTGGGCTGAGCCTTTTCAGCAAGATGGCTGTAGCAGCATAGTTGCTAAGCAGCCCTCCCAGTGCCAGAGGACCCAGCGATTTGTAGAGCTGATAATTGAAGGTGAAGAGATCAACCAACGGCTTCCCAAGACTGGAATACAGCTGAGCAGCATTATCGCAAAATAGAGTAAGATCCTGGCAAATGAATTGATCGGCTCCTTGGTCGATGCTGCCATCAAGGGTATGCATTTTGTAATACGACATGTTCGAGCTCAGATACAAGTCGTGAATGTACCTGGTCAACCTTGTCCGGAATGCTATGCTGATCTTGGATTGCAAGAACTTGATCATCGAGTTTGTGTAGCTTGCAACCACGCCCACAGAAAGCCATTTTCCAAGTCCAAGCAGGAAAGCTTTCCCTTGACCCGCCACGAGATCTCGCACGATCTCTCCATCCAATGTTGCCACTACGAGCGAAAGATATGTTCTCAGCAAGAGAAAGAAAGCATGGGTTGCAAGCAGTCCGGACTCTTTTGACCCCAGTCGCGGCACCGCAATCTGCATTATCGCCATGAACTGATGCACAAATGCCACATTGAGGCCAGGTTTGATATTCGTGGGCGGAGCATCTAGCGCAATCGTCCTCCCAGAGCTCCTTTGTCGTATGGGGTTCAGGAAAAAGCGTCGGTGAGCATCGAAAGTCGTCGCTTTGATCGGATGGATGACAACCTTGCTGCTGGTATCCTTGTACGGCACGTATATTGTCCGCGTGCCATCTTTGGCTTTGAGACCACTATTGCGCCGCAGAAGCCTGCTGCCGACTTCCTTCTCCTTCTTGACGCCTTTGTAGTAGCGGTACCCACCATAACCGGTTATTAGGGAGAGGGCGAAGGCGAGCGTGGCGATCAGTCGGGTTGTGCGCTGGTCAAGAGGACTTCGATTCTGCAGCTTTTCGACGCGTGCTGCCACACGAGTGTAGAGGTAGTCGATCCACTGCGAGACGCGGTCGCCGGGTCTCTGCCGGAGAGTGGACTGGTTCGCCATTGTTGTCGCGCGGGGTTTCTATGGAGGCATGCTGGATGCTACAACGTGCTTCAGCTGCCACGAGAGAGCGACAGCAACTGAACGAGGCCGCCACTGTCAGCGCTTGAGAGCATGTGAAGGTCTGATGACATGTGATCTCACAGGACTCGAAGTTGGCGGCATGTGAAATGTGCCAAGACCGAGGTGTGGAGCTGCGAGATCGTGAAAGAGCACAAGGATGTTTGACAAGGATGACAATATGCACAGGGATGTTCCCCAGCTTCACCACGTTCTCCTTTGTGCTGTCGTCAAGTCGAGCGGCTGTCAGCAATCAGAATATTACTTGATACTCATTATTCGTTATACATATTATCACATTCTTCTTGACTAGTCTATGCCCATTACTCCGCCACTGGAATCACCACCTTACACGCCATCGCTTTAGGCGCGATCAAGAACACATTTTCCACTTCCATACTCGCATCTGTCGTGCTAGGCGCCAATTTTGCACCACGGCAATTCCTGAAGAATGCTGCCGTGGCGATTCTCAACTCCATATTCGCGAGATTTGACCCGACACAGATCCTGCTCCCTGCTCCATATGGTGACCAGACTCGCTTCACATCCTCTCTCGAAGCCAGCGTGCCATCCAGCCATCGCGTGTGGTCGAATATCTCTGGATCAGTGAAGACATTTGGGTCGCGGTGCATACTCCACTCCTGTGTTGCGACTGTCGTTCCAGCGGGAATCTCATAGCCCCCAAGAATGGCACCTTCGGGTGGTGTAACACGTGGCAAAGCCGCTGGTGCAGCGCCGTAAAGGCGCAAAGTCTCCTTGACAAGAGCGCTGAGAACCGGGAGTTGCTCAAGTTGCTCGTCGCTGTATGGTTCGCTGAGCGTAGCAACTTCATCCTCAATGGCTTGCTGGACATTTCGATCGCGCAGCACTGACCATATCAAATAGGTCAGAGTCGTGGCAGTAGTGTCTGTCCCCGCGAAGAGGAAGTCTCCAGCTTCAATCACGATTTCTTCATCAGTCAACAGAGTGTCGCCCTTCTCGGCATCTGCTACCGCTTTTGCGAAAAGATTGTTTGCATCCGCATTTGCCTTGCTGTTTTCCACAGCTACTCTGCCTCTTTTAAGCAGAACTTGATTTCCGCCGAATGCGCTTTGTATCCTTGGATGAGGGATCCATCGCACAATCTGGTACAACAGTGGAAAGGCATATGCGAAGGTATTTCCACTCTCGTAGGTGATGATCTCGTCCGGTTTGCCTCGCTCCATCATCCCGAATGACTGCCCGAATGCAAGCTCTGCGACGACATCGCCAGCAAAGAGGGGCAGCCACTTGTAGATATCAACTTCGCCTGAAGAATTCTTGGCGTCGCTTTTCAGATACTGAATGAGCGACTCGGCCTGTTCCTGAATTCTACCCTCCCAATTGGAGCGAAGGTAGTTCTGGGTGAAGCCTTTGCCTAAAAGTTTCCTATGACGAGAGTGCTGCGCGGGGTCGGTCGCTTGAAACATTCCATATGGCCCTTCACCGGGCTTGGTAGGATTCAGGAACTTGTACAGATCGGTCTTGTAGAAATGAGTTCCGACTTTATGAATCTCTCTGAAGGCTGCGGGATCTGATATGAGTACTTCGTTCGGCGAAAATCGTACGTAGGGTCCATATTTCTTGTGCAATTCGTGGGCATAGTGTGCTTGTCGCTTTTGTACTGTAGATGCGAATCTCGATGGAATACCTGTGATGGAGTTGTACCATGGGCCAGGAATCTTGCGGAGAGGGGAAAGGAGGACATTGTAAAATATCTTTGCAAGTTGCACGGACAGTACAATGGCTGCAAAAGCAGATGTGAGATAGAAGTATGAGAGTCCCATGTTCGTTCACGTTGTGAGGTGTGTATTATGAGATCGCTGGACAGCAAGACGTTACCTGTTCATATATACTCATTGCTGTTCATGCATGATATTCGCACACATGGTGGTGTTTCGGTCCTCAGTGAAGACTCGAAGGAACAATAAAAAAGTCCGAAATCCCAGGGGAGGAGCACACTTGGATGATCGGCTCTGGAAATCGAGCCAGACTGTATGCTGTGTACGGGTTGTGATCTGCGTTGTCCACTAGCCGCACGGAAGGATCGACGTGGCTGCTCGCGCAAGAAACGCCATGACTTTGCTGAGATCAATGCGCTGCTCAGTACCATGAGAATGCATGGAACTCCTGTGGTATCATGAATTCGATCTGACTGTGCTGAACGGCGCTGGGAATACTGTGAATGGAATGTCTTCGAGCAAATGTGGTCGTTTCGATGCTTGTCGGTCCATGATGTCATACGCCAAGCCCACGATGAGGTCGTGCAACCGCAAACACTGATTCTAGCCCGCTGCTGCTGTGCATCTGTCGCCGGACCTTCAGTGTGCAGATATGTCCGTCTTTATGGTCTTACGTATCTGGCGGTTGAGGCAAGCTTTGGTCGATACCTTCGTACGCGTCGGCCAAATCCCCTAGCTTCAGTCTGCCGCACCTTCGGCATGCCACATACGATGGATGTCGGAGAGAAGTCGCCAGGCAGGACCCGAAGAAGATTTCAGTCCACTGAGAAGGTCCCTGCCCTATCAAGCCTGAAGACCAGATCGAGGATGAGCGTGAACCCAGGCATCCAGTTATAGCAGAGATGTCAAGACCCAAAGCCGTCCTAGCCATCCCCTTTGTCGTATGGTGTGGAATGGATAGTAGTCCCGCGCTACATCATTCAGGAACCGACACAACACATTCTCTGCTCAAGCTCATAAAGATATCTTCTGCTAGGCAACGCGTCTCACTGATCACAAGAGAGATGCGTATAAGCTCACCGCGCCCATCCCAGAACATGGCGATGGACGTGATTGGGCACCGCCAGAGATCGAAAGCATCAGTGTGAGCGTGCTCTGGGGCGAGAACAGGCCGTACACAGATTTTGATCAGATCCGCGCTCATGCTCGTGCTGTGATATCTCCAGTGCTGTGCATAGACACACCAAATGTTGATCCTTCTCTAGGCTCCTTCCTTCATCCACCTCGTTTTCGCTCTTCACCTCTTACCGCAAGCTCAGCATTTTGAACCATTGCAAGACGTCGGTTGTCGGTCTCGATTGGAGATGGTTCGCGTGTGGCCTTATTGGCAAGGTCGTGTGCGAGTTTTGCAGCTTTCCTGTGACAGAGATTTGTACGGTGTGTCGTGCTCTTCCTGGCATCCCCCACATCGTAGAGAAAGACGTCGGTTATCGCCGAATACGTCGCTTGTCTGGCATCGTCTGAGCTGACGGCTCGGATGTGCTCTCGATTCGTGAATTCGTGAAGCTCGCACAAGATTCATGAAGTCCGAGGGAGAAAGAGCAAAGCCAGGAAATTGCGTCTCGGCCTCAGGCACAGCAGGCTGAGGCTGAGAAGGCTGACCATCTTTGACCGGCAAAAGTCACTCACGACACCGTCGTAGACTCTGACTTGGCCTCTGCCTCGACTTCTTGTCGCATTCTGATGCGCTCAATTCGCTCACCAACGGCCTGTTCCCGATCCAGCCGTCGCTCCCGACGCCAGATCTCAAGCGCCAGCATCCGGAGGCTTTGATTCCCAATCCTGTTTCCACTGGTCAAGCCATCGTCTTTGACATCAAAGTAAAGCGCCCATAGCGGGTCGCCATCGACTTCCTGGACCGCTACGAAGCCTTCCCATCCTTCGAAGATGAGCCTCTTATCGGCTTTCGTGACGTCCCAAGGCCCGACCAGGTGTTGCTCCGCATCGGCACGAACGCCATATTTGACCTCATGCGTGGTACAATCAACATAAACCCAGTTCAGAAACGGAGGATCATCGGAAATCGTGGTCACCATGCCTTCGCCTTTACGAAAGCCACTTTCGTGCCAGCGTTGTGCCATATCATTATGCGGGTAGGGCATGAAGTAGCCTGCGAACAAATGCAGCTCCATGCCTCGCGCTACGCCCGTCGTGTCGACCCAGAGCTTATTGTCTTTGAGGACGATATAAGCACCGTCGAATAGAGAGCTGTACTCACTGCGCTCCAGCAGTGAGACAACAAGATTGGTTTTCCGGCCCCGTTGCTCTTCGCGTTCATTCTGCCTCTGGCCTTGACGGACCGCCTCCGTGGTGCCAATGATTGCGGGGCATGCTGCGACCGCCGCTGCGGTGGCTGCGATCAGTTGTCTATGGTGGAATGAAGGGCTCGGTTTTGCTTACTGAGTATGCCCAGGACCATGATCAAGGCGCGCGATAATCGAGACCAAGAAGTCTATGCAATCGTTCAACAGCAAAGATTGGTGTCGTAAGAGTGGACGGGCTCTGTACTGGAAGTAGCTACCAAGCCCCAAGACTGGACAGCTTTTGGCGGAGCTGCAACCGTTCCCCGGAACTCTAAAGACCTCACGCAAATCTGTGGATTGTCCCGATTGAGAGCTATAGGCCCACTTGGCCCGCATCCAGTACGACAGCACATGCGTGCCTCCAAAGAATAAGCACGGGCATTCGTCATCTACTATTGCACCCTGCGTTGTACAAGCAAGACAGCCAGCCACCAGCATAATGCCAATCACGAAAGGAGTACCTGCTCCAAACAGCAGAGTATGGAAGCTTTGTGCTACATCAACTGCCCTGAGGGGCATGGTGGCACTGTGTCTAACTGGGATGGCATCAATAGCTGTATATCTTCAGCAAGCTAAACCTTCTTACAACAATCCAATGACAATATCGCCTTTCTGTCGACAGATCAGTATAGCACGTACGGCGCAGGCCACGGTACTTACAACTCGAGCCGTAAGATGAACCTCAACGTCGAGATCTAGCTGGATACGAATCTTCAGCGAGCTCTTCTCCTCCTCTTCTTTGGAGACCTGTGGACGGGTCAGTATAGCACATGTAGTGCAGGCGCACTTCACTCACAGCGCCCTCATTATCACCTCGATTTCCTGGTCCTGGCTTTCTGCCACCGCCTAGTCCTCCCAGAGCAGAGTCCTTGCCCGCCAGAGCTCCTGCAGCACCCGTCGGGTTGTCACTTTAGGAAATTAGTCGAAGCGGCATGAAGCGAACGATAACTTGAACGAACAGTGTATCCGTTGCGGTCTTGGTAGCCTTGTCTGCCATCCTGATTGTGGAATATCAGGTTTGTTTGAAGTTGGGGAATGTCGAGGTTGAGGTGCGGATGCGGACCTACATAAAGAGCGTTGCACCACGTCAGTGATCTCCGGCTAACGTGACCTGCATTGTCCCAAAAGACATATTCTCCACCATCACAGTCGATCCTTTAGCTGCTCGGAGGTGCCGATGATGTGCTTGCATGGAGTTATGACCTTGGAGGCTTAAGCAGGACCAAACAATATGCAGATCGGATCTGGCTGAACCAAAAGTTTGGGTAAGTTTGGTTCTGCATGCTCAGAGCTCTTCGTGGCATGCAAGCATGCAGCTTCCAGCCCCCTCATCAGTGCCGTACGCAGACGGTCCTCGCTGCTAACGCACTTGGCCAATGCGTCGCATTACGATTCTGCACAGCGTAGCTATCGGCACAGGTAGCACTTTGAGCTTGCTTACCGCACTACTTTCCGTATTGAACTGCTTGCATGATCAGCCGTTGTGGGATTACGGTCTTCTCTCAGCGTCAACGTCCGGCACTTTTACAGCTCCTGGATCTCAAGATGAGCCAAGCTCCCCGCTATTATCTGATCCCGGCCACGAGCGGTCTTTGCATCCAGCCCACAAAAGACGATATTGCCACAGCAGAGATCAATGGAGAGCAAATACAACAATGGCTCGTCGAAAGAGCAGATGCGAACAAGGTCGCTTTCAAAAATGCAAGCACGGGCCATTACCTTCGCGCTCGGGGAGATTACCAAGGAGCGCGTGTCAATCAGAGGCCTGAGAAGCAGTACTGGGTGTGCGAGATTTCGAACACGCCGAATGCGTTTTGGTTGAAGTGTGATGAAGGCAGCACATATCTGTACAACCACATCGGGAGCCACAAGCCAAACAACCCCATATTCGTGAGCAAGCCTGCCAAATCATCAATGCCAGAGATGGCTTGGTACATCCCAGCATGCGATGATTGGAAGACTTCCAAGGGCCTTGAAGCATCGTCGGAGTCTCCCAGCTCAGAAGCCCAGGACCGGATCCGCGAGAAGGAGCGAGAACTAGAAATTAAGACTGCAGAGATGCAGAAGAAACTGGAAGAAGCAGAGAAGAGGGAGCGAGAAGCGTTAGAATTCGAGCAAGAGGCTCGAATCAAGCAGGAAGAACTAGCTGAAAAAGAAGTTGAGCTCGAGGCGGAGAGAAAAGCTATGAAAAAAGAGCGCGTCCAGCAGAACGGGATGGCGAAAGTGAGCGGCGATGATAGACACTGGTTGGAGCGCTTCTCCAGGCTTCAGCAGCGTCTAGAAGCTGCCCAGAAAGAGATCGAAAGGCTTCGAGTATCGTCCGGAACTGGGGACCACGACGAGGTAGAGGATCTCAGACGGGAATTGGAAGCTGCTCGAAAGGAGTCCAGAGACAGCCGAGGGGCGTATGAAGCGCTTCGTGAGTTGGTGGATGCTGGAAACACTGGTCCCGACGGCATCAAGGCTCGAAGAGTGCATAGTGCAACGAAGGAGGCCGAAGCTGCATCAGTTGGACAACGCTGGGCTCCACCTGGATTTAGAGCCGGCAGAGATTCTGCCATCACGACTGGAGACGTGAAACCTATCACTGTCAAGACGGAATTCAGCTTTCTACCCCGGCTTCAATGATGTTTGTTCATGACCTGCCTGGCTCCAACATCCTGAAAAGCGCGTGTTCCTGACTCAGTAGACTGAGTTCGGAGGGGCCCTACAGCTTCCTTTTCTGCTTGCGTCTACGACAATGACCCTCCACAATGATCTCGACACGACACAGGTCTCGGCTTGCCGTCGGCTGTGTCCAGCTGGTCGCACATTTCGTGCGAGCGAACCAGAAGATGGCAGTGCATAGCCGACGCCTGGTCTTGATCCTGTGCGCCGACGCTGAACACTCACTACCAGCCTGAAGGAGAGATTTCCACACAGGAAGAGTGGCTGAGCCTGCACAATATCGTCGCTGCTTGAGCTGCAGCAGTCCGCGAGACTTTCGCAATCATCAGGCTGGAAAGCTCACTCAGTGCCCTATCGCAGCTTGTTCTACGCCGGGGTGAACTCAGGTTCGACTCGTCTGTGAGCAATTGGCGGAGACTCATTCCAGAATTTTGGCCTGTCTCGCACTTGCTGCCTCATGACGGAACCGAGTGCGCATGCCATCCCGTGGACTTGCTCTTGACGAGTCTCTAGCTCACTCAGGATCGGACTGCGGCTTCATGGCGTTTTGAGAGTGAGTCGCTGCTACCAATTGTGCGTGAGCATAGCCACATCTAGCGACGATGCTTCAAAGCCACATTGACCTAGACTAACATCGGGACTGAAGTGGTATGGACAATTGTGCATCCGAGTATGGGCTTGGCTGAACATCGATCGGGCAGAACGTCCTGCATACAACCTCGTGATGCAGCGCACATGGCGAAGTGACGTGTCTCGTGGTGTGCTTTTCTCTCAGCGTCTTGTGCCATGCGAGAATGAAGCACTGCCTAGAACTTGACATTCGAAAATCTGTTGCGGTTTTCCGGCCTCGGCACCGAATTGGGTATGGTTCCGCAGTGGCGCTGTAAAATTAGACCCGCTAGGAACCAGAACTCACTCTCAGCCCGAGTTCACCATCCTCAATCCGTACCGCAGACCACCAATCCGGGCAAATTCGAAGGACCGGTGAGGCATCAGGATCCAGCGACCAAGGCGTCCTTCTGCAATTGAGACTCCTGAGTCGAGCAGCTTCACAGCTGCAAGCGAGATTCCGCGGGCTTTGTCCTACGCGACATCACTTGGTTCACTTCGCTTTGCCTGGCGCCTTCCTTCGCGTGGTGTCGCAGCCGAGCCACAAACGGACTCACTTTTGTGTGTACGCGCTAGTTGGCGCGCAGGGGACTATATGATGTCCTGCTGAACCCGTTGTCGTACGGACAACAACAACAACTAGAGATTTAAGATCTGCTATCTCGTCCTCGATTCACGCTCACTATCACACACAACCACAACAACATGATTGCACGAACATTGACTATCGCCTCGCTGGCCATCGCTGCCTATGCACAAACCTCTACAATAGCCGATGCTTCAGCAACCGAATCGACACCGGCAACCACGAGCGGTCCTTCTGCTGCTGACGCCGAGACGACCATCACAGCTCTCTTTGGCTCTCTCACAAGTGGATTTGCAGGCTCTGTGATCTCTGCCAATGGATGCGATACCACTCTCGCTCTTGCTTGCACAGATACCGCCATTGCACTTTGCGAGGAGGTTCCAGACCTTACGGTATGTCTTTCCCAAGCGCCACCCGCGGGAGCCCTTGAACATATGCTAACAATTTTTCCTTGTCTCAGGCCACTGTGACGATCGGTCCAACTGCATACGAATTTGTGTACGCAACATCCATCTACGGCGGCAAGGGTACTATTGCCCAGTCCTGTGATCTCGATGGCCCCTCCGGTAGCTTCACAGCAGCCACCTGCACTGCTTCAGTCTACGCCTCCGTCGGTGGCCAGGAGACCGCCACTTCGACTGTCTCGACCATCACGGATACAGCCGAATTCACCTACGCTCAAATCCCGATCACTGCTGGCGCAAGCAACCTTCCATCTGCAGGCGCGACCTGCGACGCTGCCGAGTCGTCAGACAGTGCCGCTGCGCCAACTGGCACGGTGGAGCTGTACAAGATCTTGGTACCAGTTGGTGCTGCAGTCGTTGCTGGTGCCGGTGCCATGCTCTAATTTGCGCTTCATTGGGAGGATAATTTAATGAGGACTGAGATGGGTTTGATTCGACTTTTCCAGCACTTGTACTTTTTGCACGATACCACTACATAACGACAGATGAAACGGACGACTTTACGGGCAGTTGAGATTAATAGCATAGAGCTTGTATACCAGTTACGGCTTATCCCAATATTGATTGCAATACCCGTTCGACAGTATTATCACAGCAGAATTCCAGCCACTGCTACGCCAACAGGCACAACCACCTTGACAACCTCGATAATACTGGTTGGCTTTGCAGCGCCTTCGCTGACTCCCGTCCTGCTTGGGAATGCAGTGGCTGTGCTGCATTCTTCCGTCGCCTCGGCCAATCTCTCCAAGCCACCAGTGATTCCCACGTTGGCATAGACCAGATCGTCGCCCGACAGGGTGGTCTGCCTCCGGATCGTCGAGCTCCTGCCTCCAAATGATATGGATTCGTACTGGTTACACACTGCTGTTTTGGCATTCTGCAAAGAGCAAGACTGAGATGCCGTGACTGTGCCTTCGCCTTTCGAATCGCTGACAGAGTTTTCGAAGTTGTAAATGTAATGTTGTGGACCTTGAGTTGCAGTGAGCTGGAGTAGGTTAGTGGAATACATAAAATATGGGCACAGTGAGGGCAGTACAGTGACCGGATCGGAGCATATTGGTTGACCAGAACAGGTCAGCAAGTAAACTGTCTCGCAAGGCGCTGCTGTTTGGACTGAGCCAGAGAAGCCTGATGTCAACGTTCCCAGGAGAAGATCTACTGTCGTGGATGTGACGCTGGCTTCTGTGGTGCTTTGGGCTAGGGTGATGCCTGCCAAGGCTGTGAGTATAAGGAGTGTCGAAGACATGCTGAAAAGACTGTCGGTTCGCTTGGAAGAAGAGGTATAACGAGAGTTCAGCACAACGTGCTTAAGCACCTATCATGGTGGAGTTAATGTTGAGAGGGATAGAGCGTAGTTATCCCGTGACGAATATGCCGGACCACGGCTGTGTCAAAGCTCGGGCTGCTGAGATTGGTATTGGCATCTTGATATCTTGGCTGCGAATCGTTTCTTGGCTGATTCAACGTATCAATTGTGGAAAGAGACAGCGATCCATCATGATTGGCAGTGTGAGCGAGAGGTGATGGTATGTTTTGCTGCTCTTCGCATCTGGCAGAGTTGTGGCGATACGGATTCTGTGGAAGCACGATGTCGGACGGGGAAATCGTGGACGAGCTCGGGATTAAGGAATTGAATGTATTGCATCGCACAAGTCCCAAGCTTATCACATGGAGACCGCGTATGACGCGTTGGCGGTGACAGTGAGAAGCAGGTGAGGGATATGCAAGAGGAGCGTGAGCAAGTGAGGGGTCGGAAAAACACTTCCTCCGAAACGACATCACAGCTTCGTCGAAGCGGTGCGCCTCCACATCGAGAAGCTTCTAGCCTAGCTGTGCTGCTATGAATATTGTCGTAGCTCCCAAACACACTTTTCTGTCACATTTTCACGCGATACCCCAATTCACCTCGCATAACTCGACAGGAAGCCGCAATCAACAACAGTGACACGAACATGGCATCAGCAGACGAGCTGAAGGCCGAGGGCAACAAGCTCTTTGCTGCGAAGGACTTCACTGGCGCAGCTGAGAAGTTCTCTGCCGCCATTGCCGCCGACCCATCGAACCACGTTCTTTACTCGAATCTGTCAGGCGCCTATGCATCGTTAAAAGACTGGGAGAAGGCACTCGAAGCGGCCAAGAAGACGACTGAGATCAAGCCTGACTGGTCGAAAGGATGGGGCCGGAAAGGAACAGCAGAGCACGGAGTAGGTGACTTGATGGGCGCCGTGCAGTCGTACGAGGAAGCTCTCAAGCTAGACCCCAACAATGCTCAAGCAAAATCTGGGCTGGAGTCAGTGAAGAGGGCGATCGATGCAGAGGCACGAGCAGATGGTGTCGACCCAAGCGGAGGGTTGGGCAACATGTTCAACGACCCCCAGCTCTTCCAGAAGCTGGCGGCCAATCCCAAGACGGCGCCATTGCTTGCAGATGGTGCCTTCATGGCCAAGCTTCAGAACATGCAGAAGAACCCACAAGGCATGCAACAAGAGATGTTCTCCGACCCACGCTTCCTCCAAGTCATGAGCGTATTGCTCGGCATCGATATGTCCTTCAACCCCACCGATAACGCCGATCGCGATGCTGCCAAGTTCCAGCAGGGCGGCGCGGAGGAGGATGTGGAAATGCCAGACCTCAAGCCAGCGCCAAAGAAGGAAGAGCCGAAGAAAGAACCTGAGCCTGAGCCAGAACCTGAGGACGAGGAGGCGAAAGAGAAGAAGGCAAAGAAGGCTGAGGCTGATAAGGAGAAAGCTACTGGTACAGAGGCATACAAAAAGAGGCAGTTCGATGAAGCCATCGCTCACTACACAAAAGCTTGGGAAACCTACCAAGACATCACATACTTGACCAACCTGGGTGCCGCACAGTTTGAGAAGGGCGACTATGACGCCGCGATCGAGGCATGCAAGAAGGCTGTGGAGCACGGCCGAGAAGTTTATGCGGACTGGAAGATCATCGCCAAGGCATTCGGACGTATTGGTTCATCATATGAGAAGAAGGGCGACCTTGCGAACGCGATCGAGTTCTACAACAAATCGCTCACTGAGCACCGCACTCCTGACATTCTGACCAAGCTCCGTGCAGCGGAAAAGGCCAAGAAGCAGGCAGATATCAACGCATACATCGATCCACAAAAGGCCGAAGAGGCACGCGAAGTTGGAAACCAGAAATTTAAGGAAAGCGACTGGCCAGCTGCTGTGGAAGCCTACTCCGAAATGATCAAGCGCGCACCCGAGGATCCCCGCGGCTACTCAAACCGTGCAGCATGTCTCATCAAGCTCCTCACATTCCCATCCGCTGTGACCGACTGCGACGAAGCGATCAAGCGTGACCCGAAGTTCATTCGAGCATATCTTCGCAAGGCGCAGGCTCTCTTCGCGATGAAGGAATACAACAAGTGTATCGACGTCTGTGCAGAGGCTCTCGAGCACGATACCGAGGGCAAGAACACCCGCGAGATCGAACAGCAGAGTCAGAAGGCACTCGAGGCACAATTCGCGGCACGCGAGGGCGAGACGGAGCAGCAGGCACAGGAGCGTATCCAGCGTGATCCAGACATCATGGCGATTCTGCAAGATCCCGTCATGCAGAGCATTCTGCAACAAGCCAAGGGCGACCCAGCTGCCCTGCAGAACCACATGCAGAATCCGGCCATCAGGATGAAGGTGCAAAAGCTGGTCGCTGCTGGTGTGATCAGGTTGGGCCGGTAGACTGGAGTCATGTCTAAAGTATAGTCAAAAACGCAATGAGTGAATGATGCTGATATGTATATTCTATAAAGCATAGCGCAGGCGGTCTCGGTAATCTGCAAAGAAAGTGATAACCTGAAGTTTTCTTGCCAACACCTCTCAGTCTGCTGTACTGCTGAGATCGATATACATGTGTACATTACCCGGTACGCCATTCTCCCGACCGAAGCCAGCATCGTGCATATGACGGTTCGAGTTACAAGAATTTTGCATGCAAATGCGGATTGTCGAGAGAAAGTAGTCACAGTAATCATTCCAGTCGTCTGTACAACGTGCTGCCTTGCTGCCTCGTCGCATTGTGCTGCAGCCCGTCGGCAAGAGAGCTTCCGTGATGAGTGAGCAGGAGTGGGGCAGACGGCAAACAGCATTGGCCGACAACCTTGACATCTCCTGCTCGACTCAATCACTCGGCATACCACAGCAGGTAGCTTCCTTGGTAAGTTGAAGTCGTTTCCGGTGATCACGTCGTGCCCCGCGTGACCGACGACACAACATGAACCTTTGAGGTCCAAGCACATAACCACGATATTGACAACGAAACTGGAGGCAGGAGCACAATGGGTTCGATCAGCGCCAGTGAAGGATACTCAGTGCCAAAGGAAACGCAGCGCATCTTTCAAGAAGGGATTCTCAACAACCCTCTGATTCCCGCATTGCCCGAAGAAGCCAAAGCCGCGGGCAAACATGTTCAGTTCACAGGCAATGACTTGCCCAGCATCCCCATCAACTGGCGCTTCGCTGAGAGTGCCGCCGCGCTGAAAGGATTCGAAGCAACGATGTTGAACGTCCTTCGATCGAGAAAGTATGGAAGTTCAATGTCCGACGTCACAATCAACACCGACCACGCTTCATTGTTCGTCATGTCGCCGTTCCTGGTGAAAACCATCGAGGGGGGACAGCCACAGACATTCAACCTTCATGATGTTGCCGAGCTGGAGAAGAAAGGTATCAAGAACTGCGATTTGCATCGTTCCGGAGCCTCGACGCAGAGACTCTTGGCGACAAACATCTACAAAACCAAGGATGGAAGGAGCTACCATGTGCACGGATCGATGAACCCGGAACCGACGCTCACTGCTTTGGGGATGGATCTCGAAGGCACGGCCGGCGAGGACTATGATGCCGTTGCTAAGAGGTTCCAAGAAGTAGTTGGCAAGCATGACTCGAAAGAGCTCGATGCCCTAATGAACGACAAGTACAAGCAGGCTGGTACGATCTGCCATTCAACTAAGGAATTTTGGAAGACCGAACACGGCAAAGCCAATGCTCATGTCGGTCTGTACGAGCTGAAGAGGTCCTCCGAATACAATCAGCCAGCAGGTTGGTGGCCGGAACACGATTCCCTGCCGTCATCTGCATCTCGTCCTCTGGCTGGTCTGAAAGTCGTTGATCTCACTCGCGTCATTGCCGCCCCAGCTCTAACACGAGGACTCGCAGAAATGGGCGCAAGTGTCATGAGGGTAACAAGTCCTCTTGTCACAGATCTCTCCTTGGTGCATCAAGATCTGAACTGGGGCAAATGGACCTCAGAACTGCATCTCAAAAACGAAGAAGACCGAGCAAAACTAATCGAGCTCATCAAAGACGCCGACATCGTCGTCGAAGGCTACCGTCCAGGTGTCATGGAGAAATACGGCCTCAGCCGCAAAGACATATTCGAATTGGTCAAAGATCGCAACCGAGGTATCATTCACGTGAAAGAGAATTGCTACGGCTGGAACGGTCCCTGGCAGGGAAGAAGTGGCTGGCAACAAATCAGCGATGCATGCTGCGGAGTATCACTAGGTTTTGCGAAAGCCATGGGGTTGGAAGACAACGAAGCCGTGACCCCAGTTTTCCCCAACTCGGATTATTGGTAGGTGATTCTCCGGTGATTACTTTTTTATGATTTATTGAACTTTCTGGGCTGACGTGAGCCAAAGTACCGGAATCGCAGGCGCGACTGCTACCCTTCACGCTCTGATCAGACGTGCAGAAGAGGGCGGTTCTTTTGGCGTTGATGTTGCGTTGAATTACTATTCGCAATGGCTTGTTCGATCTGTTGGTGAGTATCCGAAGCCGGTCTGGCAGGATGTCTGGCAGCGACATGGATCCTTCGTATATCGGAATTACCACAACATGGGGTACACCGTGGCCAATCTGCTGGGTCTGCTGATGCAATACGACGCGAAGACGCTGTTCAAGCCGGAGTTCTTCGAGCCTCGGGCATCGAAAGCGATGGGCCTCCAGTTCTTGCAACTGAAACCGGTTGCTCAGTTCAAGGACGATGTCAAGCTGGAATACAACGTCGGCACTCGAGGCAATGGCTACGACAAGCCGTACTGGCCGCAGGACTTGAAGACTGAAATTGTGAAATAAGCGAGTGAGGGGCGATCGTTTGCCCATTAAGATTGTGTGCGTTGTTATTATCGAAGAAGTCGTGATCGTCGTCAATGAGCTGTACATATATCTGCAGCCGCCGCAAAGCAGAATGCAGGGATCGAGCAAAGAGCTGCCTACGATCGTGGTGTCAGAATCACTTTGGTGCCGTTGAAACTTGTGCATGTTAGAGTGAGGCCTTCGGTCCAGGGCTCTGGATCTCGTCCTTCGAGGCTGGAGAAGGCTTGACAGAGCCGTACAGTCGTGTAGCTGGCTTCTGTCAATGCGAATTGTTGTCCGAGACCTGGGGTTTGAGAGCAGTTAGTGAACGGGACGAGGTCGTTGTCCACCGACTAGACTTACAAATTCGTGCTCCGCCATTGAAAGCTGTCGTCATCACTCGTTAGTTTATATGTCCACGTGGCAGTGCATCTCAGTTTGAAACTGAAACGGGAACACTTACGCAAGTACTCCCATCCGGGCCGCAGACCTTTCCTGCCTGTCTCGGGGTCATCGAGCCATCGCTCAGGTTTGAACTCTTCGGCATCCTGGCCGTAGTAGTCTTTTCTTCGGTGCATGGCGTAGACGTTCCACGCCACGACTTCACCTTTCGGGATGAAGAGCGGCGCAGAACCATCGGGACCTCCGCCTACGGGAAGAGTTGTGTCCTCGATAGCTTCACGGCTGTTCATGGGTACCACGGGATGAAGTCGAAGTGATTCGTTGAGCAATGCTTTGAGGTATTTCAACTCTTTGAGTTGCTCGAATGACGGCTGAGCACCGTTGAGTTGAGCGACTTCCGCTTGCAGCTTGGCCCACATGTCTGGTCTTTTGCCGAGCATGAACCAGGTATTGGATAGAAGGCTGGCAGTAGTGTCGCGGCCTGCAAGTAGAATGTTCAGAAGTTCACTCCGGATCCTGATAGGATCAGTTGTTTGTCGGACTAGCTCATCGATGAAGACGTATCGGCCATTGTTTTCGGCCTTGTCTTTCTCGGCTAGCAGCTCGTTCCGCTTGGCGAGACCTTTCTGCACATAATAGTCGACAAAGTTGTGGACGAACTCCTTGTCCTTCTGGAAACGCTTGTTCGCGGGGAATAGCTTCGCCCATGAACCCCAGCGGGACAGATTAGCTATGAAATCTTGTGACAGGGTGAAAGCCTCGGCGAAACCGTCATTGGTATTTTTGGAGAGCGAATCCGTCGATTCGCCGAACAAAAACTCCGTTGCGCTGTCGATTGTAAGACGAAAGAAAAGTTCAGACAAGTCCACTTCTTGCGTTGGATTGATTGTCGCAATGAGTTTCGAGACGTGCTTCTCGAAGGTTGCCACATCGCCAACCTGAGATCTGACGAAGCTTGGTCGGAGCATTTCGCGGGAGTGCTTCCAATCAGCGCCATCGGTTGTGAAGATGCCTGCAGAAAACGTTAAGTACCAGATCAGAGAGTGAGAAGCAGTTGCTAATCATACCATCGCCTAGCAGAGGACGAAATCCGATCTTGCGGCGGGTGCCCAGACTCCATTTCTTGTGGTCTATGGCTTGGATGACTTTGAGGTTCTCAGGCTCGATCGTCGTATGGATGCGCCGACCAAGAGCTATGATCTGGAATGTATTTGCTCCAGCTTGCCGGAAGCGATCGGTGCTTATTTCCAGGATCTTATGGGCCTTGAGCGCGGCGATGTTCTCGAAGAAGGCGTCCAGCCCAAAGATGGGATCTTTTTGTGGCCACTTGGGAGCTTCCAAGCAGCCTTTCTCGCGCTTCAATGCTCGTCGCTTGCTCCATAAGTCGACTGAGGTGGCGATTTGGTAGAGGACGTACAATACGGCCAAGCCTGCGACGGCCTTGGTCGTAGAGTTCAGCTCCGCGAAGTTCATGCTGGACGATGCCACCAACTACGAGCGAGGAGTGAAAGAGCTGGCACACAATCAACAAGAGCAGAGTCAGCAGAAAGGAAGGTCATATGCGGAGGCGGAGAAGCAGTTCTGCCTGTAATTGTTGGTACTGCCAGGCTGGACCATCGCTGATGTCCGTGAGGGCGCTCCACCCCCAACGAAGTGGCCTATGAGCGGCACGATCGACGCAGGCTTGGCGAGGGTACGGACGCACGCTCACCCTCAGCTCCCTCAGCCCCGGAGCAGAGCGAGTCTTAAGAGCGGTTTCGCGGCGCATGGCTTCAGGTGTGCGGCTGCACCTGTCACACGCGCGTCGTGCTCCTTCTCCCTCGGCTGCTCTGGACCGCGCCTGCACCTGCACCTGCACGGTTGGTCCGACGCCAAGCCGGCCATGCTCGCCTTCCACAACAGGAGCGTGCATTTTCCTGGCTGACCACGACATCGCCGTCCTCAGCTCCCATGCTTGCCACGACATCCCCGCTTCCACGAGATGATCCCCACGAGCTGCTTCGGAGACTCCGACAGTCATCAATGCCAGCGTGGCCCCAGATCAACGCTCCGATGGATCCGCAGCATGGAACGCGTCGAGACGCGCCTAGCAGACACAGAAACAGACACTGAGCACACCGAGAAAAGACTGGAAACGATCGACTTTTGTTCATTGGACATATGAAATATTAACATTAAATTACGCCACCCGGTCACTTCTGTGCGCTGAGTGCGCGCCGGACCTCTGTTTGGATGGCCTCACTCATGATTGCGGTGGTCGCCTTGCCACCCAGGTCGCCCGTCCTGATCTCTTGCCCGCCGTCTTTCTTCGAGTCGAGCACCTTCGCGATTGCCTCTTCGATGGCATCCGCCTCGCGGTGCATGTTGAACGAATACCGCAACATCATCGCCAGACTCAGCACCTGAGCCACAGGATTCGCAAGACCTTTTCCTGAAATGTCTGGTGCGGACCCATGCACAGGCTCGTAAAGACCGACCACTCCGCCGACACTATTCTGCCCTACGTTGGTGCCTGGGGCGCCCGCAAGACTTGCACTGGGTAGCAAGCCGAGACTTCCCGTCAAGCCTCCCGATTCATCTGACAGGATGTCGCCAAATGTGTTGTCGGTCACAATCACTCCATTGAAGGCGGTTGGCTTGGTAATGAACAACATCGCTAGGGAATCGGCCAACTGGTGTTGCAGCTTCACTGTGGGAAACTCTTTTTCGAACACCTCGGTCACGACTCGGCGCCATACTCGCGAGCTGGCGAGCACGTTGGCCTTGTCAGCGCTGAAGACTGGCCTGGGCGGATCCGTCTGCAGTGCGAGTGCGCCTGCGACACGAGCAACACGCTCGATTTCCGGTCTTGAGTACTCCCACGGATCGCATCCATAATCGGACTCCTCGATCTTGTTCCCGTAATACGCCCCGCCGCAGTTCTCTCGGATCAACATGAAATCTACGCCCTCAATGACCTCGCGCTTGATAGGCGACCAGTCGACCATGGTTTTTGAAGCAAATTTGCAGGGTCGAAGATTGGCGAAAATCTGCATCCTCTTTCGAATCCGAAGCAGCCCACTTTCTGGGTTCGGCTGAGCTGTCCCCCATTCGGGACCTCCTGCGGAACCGAAGAACACGGCATCGACACTCTCGCACTTTCGAAGTACTTCTTCCGTCACGGAATCTTTGTGCTTATCGAGTGAGCAGCCACCGCAGAGATCGAAATCTCGCTCGAATCGAGCTCCCGTGGCCTCTTCAACAATATCGAGAACTTTCAATGCTTCAGTGACGACTTCGGGGCCGACATGGTCACCTGGTAGGACCAATATCTTGCCATGCGTGGCCGGAGGGTTCACCGTAGAACCATTCACATTGTTTGCAGGCATTGTTGTTTTGCTGGAATTAGAATATGACTCCAATGACGACCAATCGAGCTTGGTCTGTGTGATACAGTGGCTGAAGAGGAACTGAATTGCTGAAGATGCAATCCAACCAGAACACCCCGCCTCCGTCTTCGGCGACCGGCTACGCAACTTTCGCAGCAATTATTGCCGAGGTCGGTACAATTATACGCATGAGCAACTTGACGTGTTTGCCATGCCTCTTTATCATGCGACCATCGCTTGGGCAGCGGGTTTCTGCTCCACAGGCTGGAATGCGTGGCTTGGTGGGTCTCCGAATGTTACCGACCGCGACAGCTCCTGGAGTCCAGCAACGACCTCCGCACGTCCATTGAACGAGTATTGCGAGCCGCGACCAATAGCCTCGTCCATGTGATCGTAACCTTGTCGCAGCCAGTGCAGGACCAAGGCATCCAAGTGGAGCGTTTGTTGCATCCAATCGAAGACGGCTGCAAACTTGTCCCATGGACCGATGGAGAGATGGCGCAGGGTCAATGCTCTCAGAGAGTCCTGATGCCTCGCCAAGAAAGCGCAGAGATCCTGCTGTCTCAAGATGGCTCCAGTCAAGTGAATCTCTTCCAGTGCACTAGCAGTGAAGACGCCCAGAATGCTCGGTGGTAGGAAAGATTTTTGAACTCTGCAGCAGTTTTCACTGAACTCCAGGCTCAACTTCCGCAGCAAAGGCATCGAACGTGTGATTTCTGCCATTGTGATGATATCCTGCAGCGTCAAATTGTGCACGCATCCCAGGCTCACGGCGAGCGATTCCAGTTGTGACAAGGCTGAGCTGAGCGATTTGACGCTTCTCGCAATACGAGTCATTGAACCGTGGCTCAGGGGAGCTTTCTTGTCGGACAGGCAGAGTGTGCGTACTGGGAATTGCGCTTCAGCGATGGCAGACAAGAGCAACGAAGCGGTCTCGCCATTGTCGTCTGGAGAACGGCCAAGCAACAGGAATTCGTTCTTAATGCTTGACTTTCCGGTGCTGCTCAGATGCTCCACGAGCTGACGGAAGCCGTAAGATACGGGCGAGAAGTGAGAGTGTGTGCAAACTTTGAGTTCTGGAATGACTCCAACATGGGCGAGGTTGGCAAGCGATCCTGCAAGCATCGCCACGTCCGACCGGCCACTGAACTCTCCTTCATATTCTGAGTCCCATGAGCTCCAGATTGATCGCTGGCAGTCATCCTGGATACAAGCGGCCACACCATGGCCAGTTGAACCGACGATCGAAGGCGACACGTTGGTGACCACGAACTCGATCGTTTTCAGCTTGCGGCACAATCTTTGACTATCGGTAATGTTGAGTAACGCTTCAAAGGATGCCTTCGTGACCAGATGCCTTCGATGGGTGAAATATCGTTGGACGAAGATCTTGTCCACATTCTTGGCGACTTCGGTTGATGTGAGGCGCAGCGCCAGCAAGTCCGATCCCTCGGTGGCCGCAGCAATGGCCTCAATCAGCTCTGGTGGCAGTTGCAGGAATGTTGAGCCCATGTTATCCATGACTGTTGATAGAACTTGCGTTTCTCTTGTCAGGATTCGGGGTTGGCAATGAATGAGGAGCGTAAAATATCCAAACAGCAGGCAGCAAGCAAAAATATCTGAGCAGACTCAGCAGAGCGAGATCAACAATGTCACCCCTGGAAAAGCGCGTCGCGCAAGCGCTCGGATTAGTGCTTACTAGGCGCTGCCCCCGGGACCCGTCGCTTGCACAACCGGCTACAGCGCTGCTAGTCACTCGAGGAGAAGGACGCTTGATCCCTAACTGGGCTCTTCTAGACTCGTCAGGGAAGCAGATCCGCGTAACCTCCAGTCCGCGACATTTCCTACAATTATCGTGCTCGCAGGAGAAGGTCACCAGCTTGGCTGCTTCCCGTAATAACCGACCCCGTCGCTCCACAATTCGGGTACGCACCGCCACTTCGATCGATGATGCTGGCGAATGCCTGAGAACTGAATGCCGCAGCAACGCTGTCAGCCGGATGCCACTCCGAGACAGGCACTGCACAGTCGAGACGTGGACGAGTGTTCGCATGAACTTTGCTGTACGAACAGCTGGGATTCTTCGTCGCTGATCACACAGCGCGTAATCTCGTGCATCCAACCACGACACGCACCGCAGAATCGTCTGAAATCGCTGTCGCAGTGTCGTCAATCCTGGACTCACATCTTCCGCTTCGCCCGAGACAAGCGCTAGTCGGCATATGAAGAAGTCCAACCAGGCACCCCAGTGAACCCAAAGATCCTCACATCAGTGGCAGGGCGACAAGAGTACATTCCTCGGCGACCTTACGCGTGAGGCTGCCTCGTCACCCTATGTGGTCGCTCTACGAGCACCTCGTGGTTACCGATTCGAGGGCTCTTCTCTGGTCATCATCGGCAGACGATACGTTTTTCGACGCCCGTCTGCTCGCCAGCTTTCGGCATCTGACGGTTCTCCTTTTCACGGAGTATTTGCCAACAGATTGAATGAAAATTTGACCTGTCCAACGGGAGCTTCTCTTCACGCGTCTGGAGAATTCGACCTTAGGTTAAAGCTGCACCGTCTACGATGAAGTGGGCGATCATGAAGGGTAGTCAATCGAAAATGCCGAAAGCCACTCAGAGCCAATACAACCATGACTGATCCTTGCTAGTTGCGGGGGGCACGCGGCACAACGCGTGTAGTGCCATACCGGCCAGAGATTTCAGTGGCTTGCGTTCTTTCCTGAAGCACTCGACGATTTGCCATTTGTTGGTGTGGCGGAATTCGAATTGCGCGGAGCTAGTCTTTGACGGTCTGCGCAAATCACCCTACCATGCACCATTCCTGGTATCAAAGCCTGAGTGAAGTGGCTGAGGACGATTGGTGACAAGGCTTTTGTCGGACTTCGGTACGCGCGCATCTGCTGGGAAGCGCGAGCTTGTGCGGAATGCGAACACAACTAACAACGAGTAACACCGTCGACCCCCAATGTTCGCATTATTAACCAGATTCGAAGAAGGTGCGACCAAGTGGTCCCGGGTTTGACGTGAACATCCTCAACGCGAAGGCATGCCACGTACTACGCTCGATGTACCTTGCAAGATGCCTGATCATCGTGAAGGAAGGTGATACTGACCGCTTTGTCGCTGTGATCAGCTTCACAACCCTCGACTCTCTCCGTAGGACGCCACAACGGACTCTTGGCCAAACTACCGTCCAGGTTTCAGGGCCTGGCTCAGCAACACCCGAAGAATCGGCGTCCTGGTGCCGATTGCTGTAGTCAAAGATCTTGTACAATATCGCGATCGCGCGCTACCGCGGACATTCTGCCGATTTCAGCAGTTGGAGTGTCTGAGGACGGAAATTGTTCATATCGAGATGCACCTAAGAGATTAGCAGAAGACAGCCAGAGCTTGTCTCATCTGCTTCGCGCTTCACGTTCGCAGGAGGCGGCAATGCAATCTCGTCTGAAGATTTCACCGCCACTTGTGGCAAGTTGCCCGCTCGGCCGGAGCACTCATCCAACGCAAAGGCTGAATCATTTACTCACGGCTATCTTCCAAGGGTTGCTGCAGAACCAAGGACTTATTCGCCCAACTGGCCTATCGGCCATACAACGAGGTTTCAATGTCCGCCATAGGCATCAAAATGATCCCGCTGTTGCCGTGTTTCGAACCAGCGCATAATCTGGAGTAACTTCCATTCTGCGGCACAACGATCGACTCCACATCGTGTAACAACGGCACAACGTGTGGCTGAGCGTTTTCGTATGGGACAAAAAATAGCGCAACCTGCATACACGGCATGTGGCTATGCCCAAGATGGCATTTGAAAGAGAGCGTGTGTCCTTTTCAATCAGCTCAAGGTCGACCGAGATATGGGACCCGCCAGGCCGAGACATATGACGACGTCTTCGAAGAACAGGCTACGATGTTTGTCCACGTGTCTCGAGTGGGCAAATCCCGGTACACGCCCCCAGCCATGCGAACCAACCGAAGTGTGGCTTTCGAGAGCCCAACTTTGTCTCTCACCCACAAAGGTCTGCAGCAGTCTTCTGCAAACGTTACATGGCATGCATAGGGTAGTCCGCCCACTCATCACCCGGAAGCCGACCGATTTCCCCGCGATCCAATACACATTCTGGAAATGTCTTGGAACAGTCAGCGGTCTCCTTGCCTAGCAGCAACATTCTTCAAGCGGGCATGGGTTTTGGAACGACCCCCGGCGACGGTTGCTTTTAGACTATACCTAGGAAAGCCAAGCACGTGTAAAATTCCCGCCATAGTCTTGGACGGCGCGGCTCCAGTACGATGTTACGGTTGAACGGAGGCCTCAAGTTTAGAATCTGCCCCTCGGCACTACACTATACTCTGTGTAGTGATTGCAACACCGCGAAGATGGCCTTCGGCGAACTCGGGCTTTGCTTGCAACGGCCGTAGAAACGACCGATACGAGCCACTACGAGCTGTGGCTGCCATCTCTAAGCAGTACAGTTGTAGCCCGAGAGCATGTGAAAATTTCGCCGCTTGCTCCCGGTTTCTGGGCATCGGGTCAGACGACTATGCCTCCCATGAGACCATCATCTGGCCAGAGCGCTTACACCCGTGCTGACTTGGCTGTCATCAGGTTGTGCCGTGCCGCAGGACAACGCCGCATTGTTTTCGTACGTCTACAACTCGGAACAAACCCCGACGTGGCGTATGGGAAAGGGCGGCAAGGACGGAGACACGAATGTGAGGCGCTGTCACATCGTACAGTAGCCTGACTGACATCTTCTCGTGATTGGTCTTACGAGGGTCCATACATACTGATCTGTTTCATAGGTTGTACAGCTCACCATGCTCGAAATGCTCACCAAGGGTTCTGCACACAGGCAAAATCAAGCCCTGGGGGTGCGCGAGTGCACACGTCGAACATCACGATAAGGCTGAAGCATTGCAGAAGTTTGCGCAAGAGTGAGAAGTAAGAATTGCGCAAGCGTCAGGAGCCCGAGACCACGCAAGAGCAAGCAAGAAGTCGAGGTCGTCCAGGAATGTCGACATGGCTGGCCCTGCCGTTCGTGGCTGGTGATACTAGGGCAATGAGCCTGACATTCGCGACTGTGGCTCCTATGCCAACAATTGTCTCGACATCTGTGGCAATGAAGCGAGAACGAAAGCATACTCGCGGTGATGCCCAAGGACGAGAAAATTTCCGTTGTCGAAAACACTTCTGCGGAACATGCGGAAGTGATCGCACTTCCGCAGCCAGGCGTCTTGGATACTCAGGCCATACAACGTGTGCTGTACTTTTGTCTCACAAAAGTGAAAGTTTGCAAGCCAGGGCTCAGATAATAGCTGCTGGTTTGCGGTTCTCATCACAAACATGCGTGAACTTCGCAACGCAACCCCGTCAGCACGACAACAAGAAGCGGCCGCACCTAAAAAGCTCATCCTATTCTTACCCACCCGGCAGTTCGTGAGCGGCGAGCGGATGGGGCGGGTGTCAAATTCTGCAGGTGGCACAGTGCGTGATGCTGACTTTTCTTTCTTCAGCACCAGAGACAAGGTGTTTCAACGGCGTGGTGGCACTACGAAGGCGCAGTTACTCGGTGAGCGTTACGCTTGCCGGGAATGCGGGCATTCGGGACATCGACGATGCGATGATTCAGACAGATCCTGGGTTTTCCAGTGAACCACCAAGTCCCAGAGGATCGGGTGAACTGAGACTTCTGCAGCACCCACTTCACCCGTATGAAGAGGCCAAGAAATCCATCACGGTGTGGGTTCGGGGCATTTGTTGGAGAAATCCTCCGCAATGCTGCTGCCTGATCCCATGCGTCAACAACAGCTGCCGTTCCGCAAGTCGCAATCTGCGAGGTCTAGTGATCGATGCGAACTCTGGCCAATGGTAGGCGAATGTTGGCCCATTCTCACAGGAATGGCAATGTGAGCGGCTTGCTTTTCTTCTGCGCAGCAAGTTCATCCTGCAACACGAATTTCTACCCAGGCGAATTGACGAAACTATAGGCTTCACATTGGACTCTGTGGTCTCAGTGTAAAGTCGTCTTCGAGCTCTCAATTGACTCCACTCCGGTATCCGACAAGTCTAGCAATTCTCATAGGAGGAGAGGGAAATTCCATCTCCTTCGTAGAGGAGTCCAGAGTAGACGGATGACGGCCCTCTGTCTGTCGCGCTCGAGACACAGTTCTGCTGCTCCTGGCATTGTTTTCCTGCATCGTCCTTCATAATATGCGAAGTCGCACAAAACATGCACGTGCGAAGCATCAAGCTTGACGTGAGGTTAGTCCAAGTCGATCTACGCTTCACTTCAGATCGCCTCACCACGCAGTTTCTGGGCATATGGAGGCGAGGTGAAGGATTCCGGATAGCGTCCTGATGAGCCATGCGAAACGCCTTTTGTCACATTTGACCTGCGATTCGCTTTCGCATCTACCAGAATGGAAGGTCACAGCGCGTCTCGTTGTGATCGTCAAGGGAATTTCATGCCTCGGGAACTGGCCGGTAGGTGAGAGCAGATGTCACGGTGAGTCCCCATGTCATGATCTTTGCACTTCCGGCGCAGCAACAAATCAGTTCTGCAGGGGATCCCGCATCGTGGTCGCTGTGCCATTTTCGCCGCATCCTCTTCGTTCTAGAAGACTTGAATCGTGGGTCTCGGGAATTCCACAGCTCTTGCAAGAATGACGATGTTGACCCCTCCACGACCCTCTCTGTTTTTGCGCGTAAGCTATCAACCGAGCTTCATGCTCTTTCTCAGACAGCGAGATCTGTCGTCACTCGCCCCAGTTCCAGCATTCATTGACTTTAGATCAGCGCCACCGTAGACGCATCTCGCTCATTGTCATTGGTAAGAGCCTGCACTATCGTAGACGGAGAGGAGTATTTGTCAATGACTACATCTCGACCCCGCGTTTGCCCAATTAAGCGGAAACCGTTTCGTTGACAGAAGAAGGCGAGATGCAGAGGTATAAGTATTCACTCGAGAACAGCGCTGTGTCCATCAAGGTCCTCATATCATTAATCAAGCAGCCAATCAACTACACTCACGATATATTAACTTTATTGCACCATGTCTACTGGAAGCTGTGCCTGCGGTGCCATTGGCATTAAGACGACTGGAGATGTCCAAGTGAAGGCTCTTTGTCATTGTGCGGACTGCAAGAAGGTAGGTCGTCCCCAAAGCGTTGCAGACTCTCGCTGACGGAGTCTTGTAGATCACTGGTTCCACATACTCGACCAACATTGTTATTCCAGGCGTGGAGGTGACCAAAGGTTCCACCAAGAAATGGACCAAGACAGCCGATTCTGGTAACCCCATCACCTCTCACATTTGCGCCGAGTGTGGTACAACACTCTACCGCGAGGGCCCAACTTTTGGAGATGCCAAGGTGATCAAGGTTGGAGTATTGGATGGTAATGCTCTTGAGCAAGCCACACCAGGCGTTGAGCTGTACACTAAGGACAGAGTCAGCTGGGTGTCTGCCGTCAACGGTGCGGGACAGAAGGTCGGTATGCCTGATAGCGCGGATGCATAGACGGAAGCGCGAATCCATAGACCGGAGACGATCAGATATGGAACAGGAAATTTGATAGACAATTATGATGAAGATACCATTCCAGCAAAGATTCCATTGCTATGACCCGACTCGTTCTTCTTTGTTTCGAAGAAGTGAGGCGTCTACCGGACCGACCTATTGTGCATCATGTTTTCACTGCAGCATTCGCTTAGTTGCGTGCGCACATACGGATGGGCAGCACATTTTCCTTCTTACTTGCTTGTATTGCTCACTTGGCAGATAGTACAGTGTCGCCGGTGCTCCAGCATCGAATGGCGCACGTCTAGCAACCAACGAAGGATATTGAGTGCGCTGAACAAGCCGTGGCTCACAGAGCTATACATCGAGATAAAGCCGCTGCCGATAGTGCGGCTCGCAGAGAACTGGAACAAAGTTCTTTTGATCCGGAATCAAGCCAGGTGGCGATATCGACATGCTGTGCCTTATCGCATGGCGCGATTTTCCAGAGCGGTCTGCGATCAGTCTTCTTCGGAGCTTTCTTCGGGTTCGCGGACGGTGTCCTTGAGCGTCTGGAAGACAGTAAGTAACAGTGTAGCAAACAACCGATAGCGGGGCGGCGCACGTCTTTGAGTCTCATCTTCAACTCGTCGTGCTTCTTCGCGTGCACGAGTATATGCTCGTCGTCAATTTCTTCGATGACGAAGCTGTGTTGATTCTGCTGGTCGATTCTCATGACGATGGCTTTGATGGACGGATCGCACTGGACGAGCACTCCTAGACGGTTTGTTGGCACCACGGCGGTAACTTCTTGGCAGTGTTGCAGCTTCTCTCACCTGCCATAGCACGAGGCATTGTGGAAGTTGCGTATCTGACGTTGTTGATGGTACAGACGTGCTGGATTGGTGATCGACGCAAGACAGACCCCGGCGGTAGATGGCGCAAAGCTTGGACGCGTATCAAACTCAAATGTTCCAACTGCGCCTGCGAGATGTGTGAGATTCTACGGACAACTCACCTGCCACGTTCTTCACTTGCCCTCACCCCGCATGCAAAATCACATCATCGCCGCCCACGCAACGATGGACACTCACCTTGGCAGCGTTTCGCAGACTTGACAAGAATCGATATCCTGACCGGATGACGCGGCAAGCACACGCGACTCGGGGCTGAGGGCGACGACTTCCGTCAAAGCGACCTCATTTGCCAAACCACAGAGAGAGGCCTAGAACTTGCTCCTTTCATCCACACCGCCAACAGGACTTACACATACCACGAGACTGCTCGACGCCCACGGCGATACTTCTCTGTTCAACCCTCGCCATGGATCCAACTTCCAGGCTACTCCTGGCAACATGCTTACTGCCATTCGTCGTTGGACAATCGAATAACGATGGCGAAGACCTGTCGGAAAGCATATACGGTACCTCCACATCAACGCCAGCCGGTACGGCATCATCAACGTCGACAGCCCAGCCGACTGAAACCAACGACGGCCAACGAGAAAGCGACATGGACAGCCTCGTGAACTATTATTTCGTCTTCCTGGCTCTGATCGTCATCCTCGTGGGTATCGGCGCCTTCTTCGTCTACAGGCGCAAGCGCAAAATCGCACTGCTCTACCAAAACGGCCAAGCAGGTGCCTTACAGCAAGACGTCGGTGCTTGGGACCCGTCGCGCGCAAGAAGGAGGTACTGGCAAGGGAGGTGGAGATCAACAGATGTCACGCATAGAGAAGAAGGGTTAAATGAGCATGGAGAGGCACCACCACCGTACATGCCCAAGGAGACGCGAGATGAGGAGCAAGGTCTTCCGATGCGGAATTACAACGATGATAACAACCTTGCGGTACCACTTCAGACTCTGTCGAGGGAGCAAGCGGGGCTTAAGCCGCCCGAGTACGACTATGCTGTGACAGAGCATTATGCGCGACCAGATGCTACAGGGTCGACTAGCTCATCACAGCAACCGACTACGGAGCCATGGAGTCAACAGCAGCATCAACGATGATCGTAGGTGGCATTGGGGGGCATTTCGACATAAAATTGGAGAAGAATGTTTTGTGATTGTTTTAACAGCGAGCGAGCGAGACAGCGTTCATTGCAGCGAGGAGTTGGTGGGGAAACATCGTTTATGGGATCCATTTTAGGATAGCGAGACACCGCTCGCCTGAAGGCACTGTGGTAGAAGGCAGATGCTACCATGAGATTGAAATTACGGTCGTTGCTGGCCTGTGCAAGACTTGATACGAACATCCGAAAGCACATCGAAGGAGTGACTGTATAGCTCCAATGTCAGATTTTCATGGCGCATCTTTTTCGTTTCTCTTGCTGAGCATCGTGACCACGTCACAACTCTGACTTCACTAGTCTGATCATCCATCTCAGTAAACGTCCCACTCTCGCCATCCTTGCCCAGCAAAGACAAACGCACGGCATTGTTTGCCCCATCTTCAATCTTTCCCGGCGCAAAACTTCCTCCTTGGCCGAAATTGTTCAAAGCGGTTGCCTGCATGAAGGGGAGAACAATCAGCATAAACTGCATTCTGGAGAAGGGGACAAGGACGATGGCTTACCCTATATCCCGGCGCACAAGCATTAATTTTCATCTCAGGATGTTGGTGATAATAAACCAACATGATCATATTCAACGCAGCTTTACTTGCCGCATAAGCTGGTCAATTCCGAGGATCACGCGTCGTCTGCAGTGTCAAACTGCCCAGGCCTGTAGACATGATTACGATCCTCGGGTTGTCGGATTCCCGTAACAGTGGAATAAATGTCTCGATGGATTGAGCTGTTCCAGCGACATTTGTGTCGCATGCAGTCTTGATCAGGTCACTGATAGGAGTTTTATCGACAGGCATGTAGGATTCTGGCGCGATGCCGGCATTGGCATGGAGGATATCGAGTTTGCCATGCTTTTCTTTGATTGTTTCGAAGGCTGACGTGAGGGAGGAGAGGGAGGTAATGTCGAGGGGGATGGTTGAGCAGTCTGTGAGGTTGAGGTTGTGGAGTTTTTCGACTGCGGCTGCGCCTTTTTTCGCATCCCGGGAGCCGATTATGATGTGGAAGCGGTTGAGGAGGAGGAGGGCTTTGGCGATTTCGAAGCCTAGGCCTGTGTTGCCGCCTGTGATGAGGACGATTTCTTTGGTGTTTGGCGTGGTCATTGCGAGAGCCTGCTGTTGCTTGTCTCGGTGCGTGTTACTGGTTTGCGAGTAGGATATTATGAGCGAATCTTGTGATCTACAGGATCACGGTACATAGATATATAGACCTACGTGGAGTTACATGTGACGGCAGCAAGTGGTATGGGGTTTAAGCAGCAGTAAGTCCGTGAACAGCGCTTCTAAGACTCACTTCGAGAGAGCACACTTCTAGTTCTCGGACATAGAGTCTCCGATCTCCATTGCGTACATGTCGATCTTGGGATGCTCGGTGTAACATCAGAGCAGTTCGAGATCAGGATTCTGGAGATGGTTTGTCTTGATTGTCAAGAATTGATTGTCAGCTTGATTCTTGACGCATGGCGCAAATTATGTAGCTTTTGGCTCCTTGTCACGACGGGCGGCGCTCGATAGCAGTTGGAGGCGTTGGATGTAAGCGAGGAGTTGTCCTGGGAAGAGCCAGAACCCAGGCGCCAGTCATCCCAAATGGACGGTCCGAGGGCCCGTGCAGTGGGTCGTGGGTCAAATAATTGATTAAATTGTGGCTGTACCTCCACAGCTCTTTGGCATCAAGCCACAGGTGACGAATTTCGGGATTGCACTGAAAAGTGGGCGTGAGGCATGCACGTGTGAAGACGGGGCAAGTGCTGCTGGTCGTGGTATAGGGCTACGGCCCTGCAGATACGGCGACCATGGGCGTGGGAGGGCAATATGCGTGCGATCGTCGTGGTGGGCCGCGTAAGTGATGGAGGTCAATGCCGTTGCAGTGATGAACGCGGCCCTGTTTCTGGCTCGTTTGGAGGTGGGAAGCTCTCGACAGCACAGCCTCTTGTATCGCCAGCCGGCCAGCCAAGCTCACGTCTAGTTAGCTTGCTGCCACCAGCTTGTGCTGCAACTCTCAACGCTCTTTTAATCTACCAACTCCTCCTCCCGCCTCTCCCTCTTCTCCCCACGCCGTGACTGCATTTCTACTCCAAACCTCCAACCAGGGCCATTGCGCCGACAACAAGCTGGCCCTGACAGCTGCCAGCCAACATCCCTCACAGCCAAGCTTCCGAGGACAGCGAAGCTCGGCGAGTTCAGCGTGCATTGCCTGTTCACCCGCCGCCATTACTGATCCGCTGCTATTCCGCCGCAATGGAGGGCACTGCGAAAGGCAACGAGGATCTCAAGGCGCAAGGCGTCGTGGAAGCAGCTCGAGATCCTAACAGCAGCGTAAACGCTGCAGACGCGGAGAAGGCCCTCAAGGACCACGCGCAGGCTGGAGGCGCCGCTGCTTTCGAATTCAATCCCGATGCGAGCCCGGAGGAGAAGGCTGCTCAGGCCAAGGCAGTGAGTGAATGTCAGTGGTGCGGTATTGGGGAAGCGGAACTGACCGCCCACGTCACAGCGAGCAGGACCACGTATACATCGAAAGCACCAAAGTGCTGCCTTAGTGACCGACACCGATGATGGCTACGAGAACCCCGACCTTCCACCGCCGAGCAAAGAAGGCGCCATCTCAACAATACAGGATCCCGCTGTCGATGCTCCCAATGGGCAGGTGAATGGAGAGGATGATCAATATGCTAAAGTGGGATGGGCGCCGCGTTTTGGCAACCCGGGAGACAACGAGGATGAAGATGATACGCGAGATCACCAGACATTCTTGGAAGGCAAAATTGACGACAAGTTCTTTGGCGATTGGTATCACAATGCCGGGTTGATCATCTTTGCATGCCTCAGCTCGTGGACAATTGCAGTGCTGGGTGGAGGTCTCGGCTGGATCTTCATTCTCATGACAGTCTGCGCTACTTACTACAGAACTTCACTGCGGAGGGTGCGACGGAACTTCAGAGACGACATGGTCCGACAATTGGCGAAGAACAGGCTGGAGACAGACGTGGAATCGCTGGAATGGATCAATAATTTCATGTCCAAGTTCTGGCCCATCTACGCGCCGATCCTCTGTGCAAGCATTGTCGCATCCGTCGATCAGGTCCTCAGCACATCGACTCCCGCTTTCTTGGACAGCATGCGAATGAAGTTCTTCACACTCGGAACGAAGCCTCCTAGGCTTGAGCACGTCAAGACATATCCACGCGAGGAGGACGACGTTGTCATTATGGACTGGAAGTTCAGCTTCACACCAAACGACATCTCTGATTTGACGACGCGTCAAGTCAAGAACAAGGTCAACCCCAAAGTTGTCCTGGAAGTGCGAGTTGGCAAGGCCATGATCTCAAAGGGCCTGGACGTGATTGTGGAAGACATGGCATGTGCAGGTATCATGCGTGTGAAGATGAAGCTGATGTTGTCTTTCCCGTTTGTCGAGAAGGTTGAGATTTGCTTCCTGGAAAGGCCCATGATCGACTATGTGTGCAAGCCGCTCGGCGGCGACATGCTTGGATTCGACATCAACTTCGTACCAGGCTTGGAAAGCTTTATTCAGGAACAGATTCATGCCAATTTGGGGCCAATGATGTACGCACCGAACGTGTTCCCCATTGAACTCGCCAAAATGCTCGCTGGAACACCTGTCGATCAAGCCATTGGTGTTCTTCAGGTCACTTTCCACGGCGCTCAGGGCCTCAAGAATCCCGACAAGTTCTCTGGCACGCCAGATCCATATGCTACTGTATCGATCGACAACCGAGAAGTTCTCAGCAAGACCAAGACCGTGGAAAGCAATGCTAGCCCAAGATGGAATGAGACTGTGAACATTATCTTGACGAGCCTTAGAGAGCCTCTCACACTCGGAATCTTCGACTACAACGAATTCCGCAAGGACAAGGAATTGGGTATTGCAACATTTGACCTGGAACAACTCAATAACGAAACCGAATTCATCAATCAAGACCTCGAGGTCATCGCGAACGGCAGGCCGCGTGGACGCGTGCAATGTGACATCAAGTTCTTCCCAGTCATGGAAGGACAGAAGCTTGATGACGGCACCGAACTCCCACCGCCAGAGAGCCTCACTGGCATTGCCAAATTCACCGTCGAACAAGCAAAGGATCTCGATGGCAGCAAGTCACTTATCGGTCAGCTCAACCCATACGCCGTACTCCTTCTTAACGGCAAGGAAGTGCAGATTTCGCAGAAGTTGAAGCGCACTAACAATCCCATCTGGCCAAACGCGACCAAGGAAATGCTCATCACTGACCGTAAGAAGGCCAAGTTAGGGCTGATCATCAAAGATGACCGTGATCTGGCCGCTGATCCAATCCTTGCAACCTACCAAATCAAGCTTGATGACATGCTCACCCTCACCAACAAAGGTCAAGAGTGGTACAATTTGGCTGGAGCCAAGACGGGTCGCGCGAAGATGAGATTGCAGTGGAAGCCAGTGGCCTTGAAGGGCGGCTCTGCTGGTGGCAACGGCTACATTGATCCCATCGGTGTGATGCGCTTCCACTTCCAGAACGCGCAAGGTCTCAAGAACCTCGACACAGTCGGCAAATCTGATCCGTACGCGCGAGTTCTGCTGTCTGGCATCCAGAAGGGTCGGACTGTCACGTTCAAGAACAACCTCAACCCTGAGTGGGACGAGGTGTTCTACGTGCCGGTCCACTCCACTCGCGAGAAACTCGTCGTCGAAGTCATGGACGAAGAGAATGTCGGGAAAGACCAGACCATGGGACAGATGGAGATTGAGACCTCTGACTACATCCGCCAAACTGAAACTGGCGAGTACGCCGTCCATGACAGCAAGAACGAAGTCATATCTGCACCACTCCGCATCGGCCACAGTCAACCAAAGGGCACTTTGAACTTCACTGTTGCATTCTATCCAACACTGAATGTGGCTGACCCAGAAGAAGAAGAGCCAGTTGATGGAGAGAACGGCGTCAACGGCGAACGAAAGAGCACCGACGCGGGCAGCACCGACGGCAGCGCTACGAAGGTCAAATCAGGAGCGAGCTCCGAAATGCGCGAGGCCCTTGCACAAAACGAGAATGAGCAAACTGAAACTGAAGAAGTTAAGCAGATAGAAGTGCCGAAGATCAAGATTGGCGTTGACGATCTTGTCAACTATGGTAAGACTGATCACTCATACGTTTTGAGCGAAGTTGTGCTGACGATGCTGCAGAATCTGGACTTGTCGTGTTCACCATCCACGAGAGCGAGCTTGCACACACCGGTTGCTATCTTCAAGTCTTGATGGACGACATGAAGTACCCTGCATGGCAGAGCCACAAAGTGAAGACCAAACACCACTCGTTCAATGAGACTGGAGATGCCATGGTCCGAGAGCTAGATCTCTCTCGCATCACGCTACGGCTTGTTCAGGACCTTGACATCAAGCACGACAAGGACGATGATATCAAGGCAAAGGTATCAGGACCCACGATTGATACTCTCAAGAGAAGTCTGTACACACCTCAGATCATCGCTTTGAAGGACGAGCACGGCCATGAAAGCAGGATCAAGGTCTCGATGAGATATCTGCCCGTCAAGATGCAGCTCGACCCTAGCGAGTCGTTCAACAATCAAGGCAACCTTCGCGTTGAAGTCCTCGACGCTGCCGACCTTCCGGCCGCTGACCGCAACGGCCTATCGGATCCGTTCTGCAAATTCGTACTCAATGGCAAGGAAGTCTACAAGACGGAGAAGCAGAAGAAGACACTACACCCGGCTTGGAACGAATACTTCGAGGTTCCTGTCATCAGCAGAACAGCGGCAAAATTCCAGGTCGACGTTTACGACTGGGACTTCGGTGACAAGGACGACTTCCTCGGCGCCGCGAAGATCGATCTGAATGTGCTCCAGCCATTCCAGGCGCAAGAAGTGTCCCTCCCACTCGACGGGAAGAGCGGTGCGATCAGATTGAAGATGCTCTTCAAACCTGATTATATCACAAGGTCACGACAAGGATCTTCTACGTTTAGCGGTACTTTCGCTGCACCCGGGAAAATCATTGGCGCGCCCGTCAAAGGCGTTGGCAAAGTTGGTAGTGCAGTCGGCGGAGGTATATTCCGTGGCGCAACGTTCGTGGGTCGCGGATTCAAGCGCAGAACCGTCAGCGGGGAGAAGGATGTGTCGGAAGAGCCAACAGGTGAGCTCCGCCCGACCAGCATGGAGTCACAACCCGACGCTGCCAGCAGACCGACCACTGCTGCAAACGGCGGCTACGCCAACGGTAGTGCAATTGATGCCGCTTCTGGTAAAGATTCGCTGCAAGCACCACGCACACCCGCTAGTCATCAGCGACAGGCAAGCTTCGGAGCTCAGTCCATCAGCCCAGCTAATGGGGAGGTTGGAACTGCCAAGATCAGCATCGTCAGTGCTTCTGGTTTCCCTGAGGACACCAAGCTTGAGGTGCATGTCTACCAAGGAAGCAAAGAGATCATCAAGACCAAGGCCATCAAGGCGAAGACTGGTGAGGCTTCGTGGGAAGACAAGGAAAAGACGATCGAATGCAACGCCGCGTCTCCTTTCAAGATCGAAGTGAAGAATGATAAGGTTTTCAACGACGAGAAGCTCGGTGAGAACACATTCTTCATCAATGACTCAGCCAGCGGTGGCGAGCGCGAAGTGAGATGTGGTGCAGGCGTCGTGGTCATCCGAACATCATTCATCCCGGCCGATGCTGGTTCAGTGGCGTACAGCCACCTGTCGCCAACGGGCAAAAAGGGTCTTGGCAAACTCCTCGGTCGTTCGTCGACACGCGAGCGTAGCGTCACGCCTTCGGGATAGTTTTCCGAAGGTCCAGCGGCTCTGCGACAGGACACTTTCGCCAAGATTGATGAGCCTGACGCAGGACGCAGATCGAGCTTGAAGCGCAACTTGACAACGCGAGGCCACAAGATGAAAGCGAAGACAATGACGTTGTTGCCTAAGAGCGGTTCGAAGCATTCGCTGCATGCGTTCCGGCATGACAGCATGTCTCCGTCAGTGAGGAATGCCAGTACGTGGAGTATCAATGAAGATGGACCTAGTCCGAGGTCGTTGTCTCCATCTTCGACTTCAAATATCAGCGATGGGTCTACGATCAAGGGAAAGACGGCGGTGTGAAGGAGGGAATTGTTTGTTGTCAATGTTCTGGTTTCTCTTTTTCTTCACTTCACCTAGGTAGGGAAGCAGCAGACCTACGTGTGCAAGAGAGGCTGCTTATGAGAGCAGGTTCTCTCTCCTGTTTTCTGAACTTTCCTGCTTTTTTTGATAATGTGTTTCTTGTCGATGGATGGATGGGTACATTGGTGGTGACGAGTGAGTGTATCATGGACAAATTTATACAGTGGCAGAAACAAAAGTGGTTTTGTTCATTTCTGTTAAATGCAAGCTACTGCTGGGTATCTTTTCATGGCTCATGTCTCTCGTGCTCTCGCATGTCCTGCATGTCTCGTAGCTCTCTCACATGTCATCTCTCGTAACTCTGTCATGTCTTGCATCTCGTGCATCTCGTAACCATGTCATGTCTCGCATCTCGCTCATGCATCTCGTAACCATGTCAATACTCTCACACAATCATCATCTCATTCATCACCTGGCAATCAGCGCTTTGCGGAAGCGTAGACTTTGCCACCTGCCATGATTGGGCCTCTCGTCTCGCTGTCACCATCGTCCTCATCGTCAGTCTCGTCAATCTCAACCTCCTCATCATCGTCTGTCATATCTGCATCATCGTCGAAATCTGTCGTGCTCTCGTCTGCTCGCTCTGCGCCTGTAACCGCATCTCTTATGTTTGAAGAAACCTCTGGCTTATCGTCTTTCTCGATGGATGGCAAGATGACCGCTGGGACGAAAAGTGGTAGGCCTGCAGCGCCAGTCTTGGGCTTCGGAAGTGGTGGTGAGTTGACAAAGAGCGGCAAGCGGGCGACGGCATCTTCTCGCTTCTTGAGGCTGCGATCTGCTGGTGGAGTGGGAAGCGATGGCTCAGTAGGTGCTGGATTGAGGAGAGACGCAATCGTGATCTTGCTGCTGCCGCGGCGGGATGGTTTTGGTGTGATAGGGCCATGGCGGAGCAAGAGGAGGGCATCGGCGGCATCGGTCTCGGCGGTCGTGTACTGGCGAGGAAGGGGGGAGAATGGTGTGGTGTCTCTGCCAGATGCGAAAATGTTGCGGCGACCGGAGGGCGAAGCTGTTGGCTTGGGTGGCCGTGGGCCGTGGAGAGCCTTGAGACGTGGCAGCTTCTTTGGTGGTGCCGGGGTGGTGATGTCGTCCTCGTCGTCGCTTGCTCTGCGCTTTCTGCTTGGCCGAGGCGCCGCGCCGGTTGGAGCCTGGTTGGCCTGCGATGCCGCCCACGCCGCGAAGTTGCCCCCAGCATCGTTCACCGTCTCACCCTGCCGTGGATCGTTGATGAGGAATTCAACGGGCGGCATTTGCGACATGCTGCCATTGTTGAACTCACCGTTGATCCACGGCAGGATGTTGTCGATTACGAAGTCGACAGAGCGAGCAGGGCCGACAAAGTGGGTGTCGATGTGGTCGGCGTGGGCGGGCTTCACGGCGTTGGCGAGGGTGAGGAGGAGGTTCTTCTCGGCGCGGCCGACTTTGGCCGGTTGGGCGATTGCGGCGAGCGCGGCGGCAGGGTCGTTGCCAGAATGGCGGAGAGCGGTGTGGTACCTCGCCAGTCTCTCCTGAGCCGGCTGGCTGAGCTGCACCACGAAGGTGCACTCTGGCCGCCAAAGTTTGATGCGGAGCATCTGGTGGTGGAGGTGGCTCAGAAAAAACCGGCGATGGCCCTCCGCGCCATTCTTGTCGGCATTGTACTTTGCTCGCTGTCATATAATGGGTCAGTAACATATCAATTGATTGGAGAAACAGCATAGGTGAGGGAATATTGGTGAGAAACAAGGGGGGTGAGTGGCTTACCTGGTAGCCCTTCCGGCACTGCCAGCGCCAGACATCGTCTGGGATGGCCTTTGTGGCCGCTTTGTTGCGGCCAAAAAAATCGGAGATGACCTTTCGGCCATGTGTGGCGCGGGGGAGGGAGGTCTGCTCACTGGTGCAGTCGAGGTCGGAGCAAGACCAGAGCTTCTGGGCGGCGGTGGTGGCGGCCATGGTGCTGGATGGAGAGATGGTCGGTGGTTGGATGATCGAGGTATACTGGAGAAAGGTCGGAGAAGAGAGAAGAGAGAAGATCTTGCCTGGCAGAATCGTGCTCTCTGTCGAGTGACAAAAAGGCGAAACCGGAGCGGAGCGAGATCAGACGGCTGGCAGTAGTGAAGTGAGATCGGAGAGTGACTGGATCGAAGTAGAAGGCTGGAGAAGGGCAGTGCGTGCAGTGAAGTCAGGTAAGTCGTCTGGTATGGAAGTGGAAGGAAGAAGAGAGGAAGTAACGAGGAAACTCGAAAATACTTATCCTCAGCGCGTGCAATTGTCAGATGGTATACCATTGTCAGTCCAGAGGTGCACTGTTGTAGACAGTTAGCTATTGTACACTCGTGAATGAGTCCTATTGTTAATGGTCATGCATACGTGGTATGGCCCCATTAGCAAACGCTTGGACCTCGTGCCACAATAGCATGCATTGGGCGCGACATTGTAGCTCAGGTAACACAATCGAAAGCTCCACATGCGCCAAAATAGAAGGTTATTGTGCCCATTGCCATGCGCAGCCCTCCATTGTGCGGAACTGAAGGTTGGTGGCTGGTCATTGGCCGTCTCGTCTGTGCGCGACAATGGCTCCATGTGCACGTTGATGGCGACATGATCGAGCACAAGCAACTCGGTAGCAGCCGCCGCAAAAGTGGGCTGTTCAGATGGGCGCCCTAGTGAACGACTGCCTTGCTGGCTCGGGCGTGACTGGTGATGTCAGATGAGACATCAGCAAATAGCGCAAAATCTTGTTCGGGCATGGAGGTGTCGATATGATATCGACGCGCTCGCACTCGACTTTGGTAGACACTCGCTCCAGCATGAGATTGCGCGCGTCAGGCATCTTGCGAGATTGTCCGGCCGTTTTGAGTGCGGGGACTTGTGCAGACAACATTCGGCGCATCGAGTTGCCACGAGGCGGCGAAGTCTGACGATCCCGAAAATACCAGCTTGGTGCCTGCAAAGAGTGTTGAATGAACTCTCAGTATCAGTGCCATTCGACTCGATCATGACTCCTGTTGGTCAGTCAAAGTGGTGGTGTTTGCGCGAGCTTCACTTCGACCTGCATGTGAAGTCTAGACGAACAGCTGCTAAGCGAGCCAATCAGAACAGTCAACGTCAACACTCACCAGTATACCTCCCAGAAAGTAGCCATTGAACTTTCACAGGGCTGAAGTACTCCAAAAGCGTTCATTTTCGACTGACATACATATGAACATGTTGTCTCTCATCAATGCTGTACTGTCGCCATCCATGCTTCCCAAAGTGCAAATGGGTATATCGCCAGCCTTTGCCCGCTTTTCCCTCACATGAAACGCCGTCGCTGTGTACCCATAAGCAGAACCCATAAGAAATTGAGAGCCGCCGGTATATAGATAAAGTCTCTATTCAGCCTTGTTTCCATCACCCAAAAGCCTGGTCAATCCAGTTCTTGGGCTTCCGCATTTCCACCATAAACTTCCTCACACTGTCAGGTGTCTTCGCGGCCTCTCTATCAATCGGCGACCCCACGCGCTGGTCCTTTTTCTCTCCGCTGTCGTATTGGTCGCCGTCTAGACCTGCTAGTCAGCTTGCGCGCTGTTTGCGCCGTGCTCATCTCCATGCTCACTGAGAGAGTTATCAATCGCGATCGGTTCGACAATTTGCACACTGCGTCGCTGGCCCTTGTGCTTCGATCCTGTAGCCCGAGAGATCAGTTGTGCATCAACTGCATCGCGAGCCTCCTCGGCTTCGGCTTCGATCTCTTCGGCGACGCCATCAAGAGCGACCGCGGGTGATCTGCCTTTGCCTTTGGAAGCGTTTGTGTTTTGTGACGATTTATCGCCATCGGGCGGATTTTCTGGTGCGGTCACGAAGCGATCGGGTTCTGTAGTATCCCCACTGCTTTCTTTACCCTTTGAGCTCCTCGTGAGCCTCGATGAAGTTTCGAACCACACATCTTTGTGCTGGCTGGGCGTGGCAGAGTCCAGATCATCGTAGGAGATCGAGTTGCTGCTCACAGTACGTGACGGTAATTTTGGAGCGCCCTCGCTTGCTCGCTGCTTGTTTTTAAAACGCGGCTCATCGTGTGCTTCCTCTTTTGCATCGGTGTTGGTAAAGTTCTTGATGTCGCTCCAGTATTCTAGCTTCTTCACTTGTTGCTCAGCAGCATGTATGGCTTTATGTAGATTCGCAGCATGCCTCGATTTGCGATCGTGTTCCTGCTGCTTCTCATCTTCGTCATGGTGGTCATGAGACTCAAGTTCCTGCTGCTCATTTCGCAGCTGGTCATGTCGCGCGATCAGGTCATCTAGCAACTGTCGGCGGGATGATTGGAAGAACAGACTCTTCATGATGTCCTCCATTGACTCGCTCAAGTAGTACAGCTCATCACCGCCCCCATCTGTGAATCTCTTGATAGCACCAATCTTCTCCCGATCTACAGTCGACTTGCGAAGAGCAAGGAATAGATCTGCGATTGTGAATACTTCCATCTTGTCGACATCGAGAACGGGCTCGAGCTTTGCCCTGGTCTGTACAAGAGTGCTTGTCCGATCCCGATCATCACGCACAGTCTTTGGGTGGATGGTGAAGTAGTCCGATGTGAACTCGTGAGCTCTTTCCTGCGTACGGTGCACGGTGTCCTTTCGCCTCCTCATCCTCAGCCAGCGCCTTCGACGCACGAAACTGTGAAACCAAGGATGGTTGCCGTGCCATGCAAACTTTTGTCCCTTCTTGCCGACGAACGCGAAGCTGTACTCCCACCCCTCTTCGTCCACGTCACGGCTCATGTCCACGTACCAGCTCTTCCACGTCCACTCCCAGCTCGGATCCGGCACTTGAGCATTGCGAATATCGACAGCCGCAGTACGGAACTGTCCGTTTTGCCATGGCTTTGGATCACTAGGCAGCAGTGAAGCCGAAGAGTACTTTGGTATGCCGAAAAGAAACATGCCGCGCTGGTTCTCGTACAGAACATCAATGACCGTGTCCTGCTCATCCCTCTTTCCGAGTGTCTTCTTGCGCTTCAGCAGCTGATCTCTCTTCGCCTGCAAGGTAGACTGAGCGCGATCCAGGTAACTCCGCTGCCTCGCGCTCGCTTGTTGAACGGATTCGGGCACGACTGGGGCATTTGTTTCATCGATCGGCTCGTGCGCGGGTTCCTCGACATGATACCGGTCCTGTCCATACTTTGCGTATTTCTGCTTGTTGTATGTATTGCGAGCTGTCTGTCGGAGGCCGGTCGAGGTATTGGTCATGCGTTTGTACAGGGAGCCTGGGTTCGGTGTGGCATTGGAGCCCTCACTATCACTGACTTCAGCATCTGAGGGTTGATTTGAGGATTGTCGAGCGATAGTGCGGTCCACGAGGACAATGTGGTGTTCAGCCTTGATCCGCGTCGGACTGGGCAGGCGGGCGAGGGAGGAATGAGAAGTTTCGGACATTATGCTATAGGATTAAATATACAAGAGAATGTAGAGAAGGATGTATGCATCGAACAAGAAGGTGGTCACCTGTTAATGAGCGTGATGGGCTGGTGGGTGCTGGCGTCGTCCCCGGTCGTTCGTGTGTGGCCGTGCAGGACTTCCGCCAGCGAGGTAAGGCGGTGCGTCGTCGATGGAGGAGCCGGTATGGGGTTTGCGGACGAGCTGCCTGCCGACGCCGACGAGCTCATGTTCGACCTCGATCGTGCAGTGATATGTTCATGGCGCAGACATGCGGTGATTTGTTGGTAGAGAAGGCTCGCATCTCGTCTCACGGACCTCGAACAGGTTCGCGCCTCCTGCTCCATGGGACTAGCGCGGCTTGGCGTGCATGCGATTACAGACTGGGAAGTGACGTAGCTACGACGCGTGAAGGCTGCACGAAGCATCATTGGGCGCAGCGGCAAGCTCGACTGGTTGCTTTGTTGCTCCTTCTCCTCATCCAGTGCCGACAAAACAGTAACAACCGCTCGACTTCATTGACCTGTCTACCTATTCACGTCCTCACCTGCCCTCCGTACCCCATCATCCAGCTCTAGGCAACCATGTCCAACCGCGCTGTCACCATCCTCGGAGGCACTGTCCTCGCAGGAGCTGGCTACTACCTGTACACCGCTGGCGGTGACCCAAAGGTTGCACAGAAGCAAGTCGAAGGTAAGCTTCATCTGACCTCACTGCTCGATCTTCAAACCCTGATCACACGCAGCCGACGCCGCAAAGGCTTCTCGCGAAGTAAAGTCGCATCTGCCTGGCTCGCCCAAGGAAGCGAAGAAGGATGCAGAGCTCTACGGTGAGCAAGCCCAGAGCAAGTTCAACCAGCTCGTCCGAGACGGCAAGCAAGAGGCGTCAAAGGTGGACGCGAAGCTGGAAGAATACCGCAAAGATGCCCAGAGCACGCTGAACAGCGCAGCCAAGGACGCGCAGGCGAACGCGAACAAGGCGATCGACCAGTTCGATCAGAAGGTTACCGAGGTGAGTGATAACTTGTTCTGCAAGCCCGGCCACGACGGCCACAGATGGGCGGGAGGTGACGACGATGCCGGATGAGGTGCTGTCGGTGGCTTCTCAACTCGAATATGCGCTGACAAGTTTGTAGGGCGCCAGCAAGGCCAAGAGCGGTATCTCGAGCTGGTTCGGTGGCAAGTAAATGCCTGCGAAGATGACGGATTTACGACGACGACGAAGTCAATGTACCAGCACATACGATTAATACCAGCTTCTTGATCTTCTTACATCGTATTCTCTCATGTTCCGCACATTACTGCTGCCGACCGGCATATCTCCCTCGACAACACCCAGTCTGTGCACGAGATGTGACGGGACCGAGATATCTATGACCCTCGCCGCAGACATCAAGTTGCAGGAATCGGGCAGCACTCACGCCGAAGTCCTTCACTTGATGCGTGTCTTGGTCATATTAGTGGCTTTCAACGATATGATGCTGTCTTCATCGTCACACGTGTACGGTACAGTCGGCGCTCTCCTAATCGCCTGAGTTGCGTTAGCAGTTGTCTCCTCAAACTGAAAGGTCAGAAGCAGTTGCTAATCGAATCGTGCTCTCAGATATATACATGTAATCAAGCCCGCAAATGCGAGTCAGACTCTTCCTATCATGTTTTTGTTGTATTCTTATCTCATCTTGGTACGTTGGGTGCTGCTGTGTGGGAAATGCTCTGGATCTGGAGAGAACTTACTTTGGCTGTAGGAAATGTTGCAGCGCGACACGTCGTCCGGACTGACCTCGCCCGCAGGTACTGGCGTGTCGCGAACTTTGGCGTTGATGTCTTCGATTTGGTACTCAGGTAACACTGAGACGGTAGAGCCTGGGATCTTGGAAAAAGCTTGTTCTCATCTGGAATCGTGCGTACGTTGGCAGAGGCTATTGCCTTTTGGCAATGTTAGAATGGCTGCACGATGCCTGTGAGATGTGCAACGCAGTAAGAGGTAATGAGCTGAGTTGCTGCAACGAGGATGCGGAAAAAATTGCTCGCCGAAAATCTTCGCCGCAAAGACGCGGAGGCTGTACTGTACCGTATTTGTCTGTGTTCCCGGTTACTCTCAAAGCTATCGCAGTGGGAACAGCCAATTTTTGAAGAAATTGTAATGACGAGCTGGTCGTGCACCACGAAAAATTTTAATGTGTCGCTGGCTGGCTTGCTTGCTATGCTTGGCAATGAAGTGCATGCCTTGGGCAAAATTGCGGTGGGTCTACAGGGGTGGCTTGTTGACAGATTGAGTTCGGACGTTGTGGCAGTTGTGGCGTCGTAATTGTCTACTTGAAACATCACGCTCGAACTAACATGGTAGAGCTTGGACTGGACACGACTCGCATTCAATCTTTGGACGACGTGCGTGTGGTTGGTCGTTCATGGGTGACCAGGAAGATAGAATTTCTACAACTTGCAGTCTCCTCGAGGATGTTCGCATACAAGACGAGGTGTCCGATGCTGATGTTACGACAGGACCTGTGGCTCATGCAGTGTGGTTGTTGCCAATGTAGCCCAACACTGTCTAGTGCTGGGTAGAGTTTCGAGACTCGCAGCGTCGTCGCTAGGTGTGATACATTGCTGATAGTTCCGTCGTATGTTAGCCAGATCACACGCCTCAATTGGTGCTATTTGTCAATGATCGAGAATATGGGTGCCATCTGCGCGTTGGGGAATTTGAATATCAGATCTGGGCATAAGCCCGGCTGTATCAATGCTCAGAAGATGTCGTGGTTCGATAGTGCTGGTGACGTGGTGCGTTGAATGCTGAGCTCGAGCTGACCCAGGAGCTTGGACGCAGCAGATGCTACGACACTCACTGCAGGCTTATACTTGCCTGGCTGTGATATCTTGGGAGGACAGGCTCATGGCCCGAGCCAGCCACAAAGGCTTGAGATGTGTACCGAGTGCCTGGTCGCTCCACAGTGAAGGACTAAAGATCACATGCAGTCTTGAATTGGTCTAGGATGCAAGTCACTTCCACCCGGGAGGTGACCATCAAGTAGTTCGAGACCACTGACTTCAGTTTTAATATACGAGATTTGCAGACATCCGCTGGTTTCCGTCGTGGCTTGTCCTCTGAGGGGGCTCTTGACGTCTAGTCTTGCCCATTTGTGTGCGGGCCAATGTGCCGTGTGGTGTGGCTGCTAGGGTCTAGGTGCGCAAGCACTCGATCCGATCACTCGGGCCCTGTTCGTACCAGTGGGCACTGACTTCTGGTGAATATAGACTCAAGCTCGGAGAGTCCGCTTGGTAATCGAAGAGGTCAAATAGATGAAGGCATGCGGCCGCCCGCTGGCGTTCAGAGTACTTGCTCCAATCTCGGAGGAGTATGGGACGATAAGGCTGAGGTATAGGTCAATGCAGAAGCATCGCCGTCGCAGAGAATACTGCACAGGGCGAGGATCTACTCGTGCCTCGTTTGAAGATCTGATCGAGCCAGTCTAGCTTAGCACCTTCGGTGCAGTCGAACGAGTCGTATAGAAGCCGTGCCGCGGCGGATGCAACATCACAGTCCTTGCACTGGCCACGAGAGGGTAAGATTTGCACGCGCTGGGCCATTCAGCGCCTTGGAGCCAACACATCCATACGAAGGCATGCGGTCTGCCGCTGGCGGCCGTGATGGCATGGCCAATGTCTTGCGAAAATGCTGTACCGGGGTATTGCTATAGCGAGGATGGGGCGGTGCCGCCAAACGTCAGCGCTGAGGATGCCGTATCGAGGAGAACATGGGCGCTGATCCTCGAGGCGACTGGAGGGGAGGGACGGGCTGTCGCGGGGACAAGCTCGAGGGAAACGTGAGGTTCGGATCCATGTCATCACAGCGGCGATGTTTGATGAGGTGCACCGCGGCGAATGGCCGGCGGCCGCTCGGTGGAATCGATTTGCCTTTGCCTGCCGTCCGTCCTGTTCGCTGGCCGTTAAAGCAACGCCTCGCCCACGCCACAACCAGCCGAATTGCAAGCCTCATACAATTGTAGTCGTCCAGCCGCATTTCCTGGCAGAAGCAGCCGCTCCAGATGATCAGTGATTCAGTTCCAAGGCAGAAACAGGGTCGGGGAAGCGCTGTGCGACGGGCGCGGACGCGGAAAGCAGCAGCACACAACTCTATTTCCTCGCGCCATTGCCGCCCACACCGATCACCACCTCGACCATGAAAAACAATTGAGACAAGTCGCACGGTGCCCTCTCGCGGCCAGAAGTATATTGCAGTCGATATGACACTCTGCGTCCGAATACAGCCATGAACGCTGCCGACCTGGCGCCTTCCCGCCAGGCGTGGCATTGAAATGCCTCAACAGCAGAAGCGATGGCATGATCAAGGGGCCGCGTGTGAAGCTCCGATGATGATGTGGCTACAGCCATCTGCACAGCTCGTTGGCTGGTCTGCCGTTTTGCTGAGTACTTGAGGACACTAATTTCCTCTCAACAAGGAGCCGCGAACCTGCCTTGCGTGAGGTCCGTTTGTGCAAGGGTCGAGCAAGGGAAGCAAGGAGAGCTGTTCACAGGACGCAAGAGATGCGGTAGGCGGGACTATGGAGTGAGAGTCCCTGGCCAAGACGTCACAGCCTGCAACAGTCGCCGAAGCATATTTGTTTCTGAAGTTGACGAGATATCGCACCTCTACGTCAGCTGAGATTACGGAGCGTGGGTGAGCGTTCATCGTCTTTCTGTTGTACGGCGCGCGCCTCAAGATTGCCGCGAAGGGCGCAACACCCGTCCTGCCTGCAATATGGCACGCGCGATCCGCTTTACTCTGGCTGCGACGGCGGCGTCCATGCTCTTACTGATAGGGTGGATCGCAACTGGACGACGGGCGCCGGCACTGGATTTCAACGCTTTCAATCAAGTCGAGAATACAACTGATTGCGCGTTCCTCGACGATGTGCGCGAAGCACTGAGCCTTCCTCCCACGATTCAATATGCGCGGCGCGTGATTCGATCTCGATCTGTCAACAACCCTATCAACAGCCAAGGATCACCTATCAAAGTCGATACGAGGCTGATCCCAGCCTTTGGATCTGTTCGATTTGATCATGAAGACTGCCACTTGAAAAAAGCTGCTTCGGAGAGCGGAGGCGAGCCGGCAATGGTGGAGTACAACGAACCCTCCTTCGGAGACATCGATACTTCACGCTTGCTTCTCGGAGCGTCGACATCACTACATCGATTTGAGAAAGTTATACCGCAGTTGGCTCGTTGGCTAGCCAATACCAAGGCGTCTTTGGTTGTCAACATCAGAGACCATAAAGACCCAGCGAAGATGGAAAGGGTTCAGATGCTTGCTGAAGCGGCTGGGATCGACGCTGTGCTGCTGCATGAAAAGGTGGGCAGCGCAGGAAATGGTGACGATCATGCGCAACAAAATTTCGCCGTCATAAAATGTCTTCACCGGCGTCGAGAGTTGCATCACAAGTGGTTCGCAGTCATCGATGAGGACACATTTTTCCCATCCTTGCCCGCAGTCCTCCACGCTTTGCAGCCCTACGATTCCTCGAAACCCTGGTATATTGGATCGATGTCAGAAGACTGGTCTCAGATTGCGCAGAAACACGGCTACATGGCTTACGGTGGTGCTGGTATCTTCTTCTCCGGACCGTTACTCGATGTACTTCACGAGAACTTCGATGCTTGCGTCAAGAATGGCTTTGGAGGAGACGAGCTCTACAAATTCTGTATATACAGCCACACCTCGCCTCCTGTTCAGCTGACTCTCCTCTCCGGATTGCATCAACTGGACTTCCATATGGATGCAAGTGGGTGGTACGAGGCCGTACCAAGACCCTTACTCAGCTTGCACCACTACAATAGCTGGCACCTCTACCCGGTTGAGTATGGACACCTCGTGGCGGACATTTGTGGATCCGAATGCTTTCTTCAGCGTTACCGTTTTGAGGAGAATGTTGTCCTTACAAATGGGTACAGCGTCGCACAGTATCCCGCAGGTGCCGATCATCTTGACCTCGCTCGCGTCGAAGGCACTTTCGAACACGATGATGAGCAGTTCTTGTTCAGTCTAGGCGCAGTCCGACCGAAACTCTCCATCAAAGAAAAGATCAGCTGGCGACTTGAATACGCTCAGAAAACGGCGTCTGGCGACGTCCGTCAATTTTACATCAGACGCAAAGGCCACAATATGACCGATCATGACAGACTGAAGACTGATGTCGAGAGTGTTCTGGAGCTGGAATGGAAGCGATGAAGAATCTCTTGTCTCGACTGCCAGCGCTTCGCCGTTAGACGTATTTAGTGGCAATTATGCTGGAGACAGAGCACCATTGCCCTCGGCACTGTCCACTACGTCAGCTTTGTGCGACCTCTTCGACTTGAGGATGCTGCCACCGGTCCAGATAGCCGTTGGCAGTGCGGTGACGATGCTCACACACCCGAGGATCAATACCGCAGTACCCCAGCCTCGAGCCTCGACCACCAGTCCTGCCAACAGAGGTCCTATCATTGAGCCAGCAGCCCAGGCCTGTACATTGAAGTCAGTACAGCGACACCAAAACACGCCAAGTAGTTGTCTTACCATGTTGAACAGACCGTAAGCTTGAGCGTAAGCACCATTCTTGCCGAAGAACCCGGGCGGCCGCCTTTTCGCTTTGGCATCGACAGCATACGACATTTCTGCCATGAGAGGCACCAATGCTAGCGTCAGTCCTATACCGATGAATGCAAGAAAGGCACATAGCATCACCTTGTGGTTGATGGAGCTCTCTTCCACCAATCTCAGCAAAATCAAGAAAGGGCACGAGAGGATAAATCCAGCTGTTGCCAACCATCGCGGACCATACTTGTCTGCCAGTGTTCCGACTACAGGACCAAGGAAGGACGCCAAGACGACGGGCAAGAAAACGAGACCGGCTCCGATCGAGTCCCACTGGAATGTGTTCTTTACGAACAGCGGCAAGATAGCGTCGAAGGAAGTGAGCAGCGATGACTGCATTGTTGTGGCGAAGAGCGCAGCAAGAATTCGTCGAGATCCGAAGAGGAAAACCATTGGAGGCAGCTTGGCGACAATGCTTTGAATTGCGGTCGGCGCATTGAGGGGAACTGCTGCTTCTGCCGCATTGCTTGGTTGCCGTTCCATGAGGGACGGCGGCCCAGAGTCGGCTCTCGCAACGCACTGCGCCTCCAGCCCATCAACAGCTTTTGCGCAGCTTTGTCCTTCCTGGGCCCCGTTTACTTGATTCGACTCGGTTTTCTCCAGACTTTCCGGCACATCAAGATCTGGCAACCATTGCTTCGCTACTTTGCGTTCAATCATGGCCAACCTAAGCACTAGGTCCATTACAATCAGGCCAAATGCCATGGCATAGACGGCGTAGTATCCGGCCTCGGCAAACACAACGCCGCCAAGCAGAGGCGCCAACAACACAGCCAAACTCATAGCCAGGCCAACATACCCCATCGCAGCGCCAATCTCCTCTGGGCCAACCGCATCTACGAGTAATGCTAATCCCGTGACCCAGACGACTGCGGCACTGACGCCCTGCAATACTCTTCCCGCCGCAAATTCTCCAATGCTTCGACCCGCACACAATAGCGCCGTCGATCCTCCGAGCGCCAAGAGACCGAGCAAGAATGACATTTGTCTCGACTTCATGCGATCAGCCATCCAGCCACATAGTGGAGAGGCGACCAGCAGCGCGGCGCCATAGACAGCGAGAAATATCGAGATCCATGGTTGAACTTGATCTTCTGGTATGTCTGCTCGTTCGGTGAGAGCGAAAGGGAACACGGGAACGACGATTCCATAGGCAAAGACGTCAGTGAAGACGGCCGAGGCTACAACGACGATGATGAAGGTCTTGGAGCTGCGGAGTCGTAGGAAAATGGGCGGCCTGGTAGGAGAGCCATAGAGCCATGCGAGCATTGTAGCCTTGCTCCGGCTTTTCTTTTGGACTCTTTGGAATTGTTGACTGCAAGGAGCGGCGACAGCGCGTTCATAAGGCTCCACTTGCTGTGGCCTCCAGTATTTCCAGCCTTTCTCTAGTCACCAAGCGACCCAGTCGCCAGATCTCGCAGAATTGGTGAAAGAGTCTGGCCAGACACAGAAACCCGAATGATAGTAGAATATGTACTCACTTGCAAGGATTGCGACAGCACATCAATAGTATTAGAACACTCGAAGTGCGGAGAGAGAGAAGAACGCCCCGAAGCTAGTGAAGTCACAGTGACCGCCACATCGTACTTTGACACCTCGTTCGAAGAGTGGAGACGCAAAAGTACGATTCTTTCTCTGCACAGTGCTGCAAAGCCACGCGATGAACTGCCGAATCGAGATTGCATGCTTTGTGCGGCGAGGAATGTGATTCGTCGGAGTCGATCTTTGGTTTCTGCCACGTGCTGTGCGCCATTCTGGCGCTAAAAAGTCCCCGCGCTTTCCACGGAGAGGCTTCGAGATTTTAGATGTGGTTCAATTCATTATCATTGATGTCGTTTGCTATGTAAAATTGTATACTCGTGTAGACAAATTCATGTTGCGATTCGTTCCTGCGAAAAATGGACTGCAGAATACGTGAGATCATTTGTCTGCGTGGCACATTGATGCGACAACTTGCAGAGAGCAGACAACCCTTCACTCCTTGCTAGGCGCTCTGGCATTACCCCTCCAAGACAGTCGGCGCGGGTGGATTCAGAACACTCCTTGCAGTACGAGTCAGAAGAGTCGAGACTGCTGATGAGCCGCGGCTCGAAGTATACGGCATTGTCCAGTTCGCAGAATTTATGATTGAACCACTTGGCAAGCCACGGGGAGCTTCCGATGAAGTGCTTGTTGTTGTTGGCTCCGGTACTGTAAGCGTCTGAATCCGTGTAGATGTCACTCTTGATGTGTGGGTTGTGGTGTTCCATGCAGATTGTATAGACACCACTGGTATGATTCCTGGAAGAGACGAGCTGGGCGAGGAATAGAACGCTGGGCTTGAGTCGGTCGAGGTTGGTATAGTTGTAGGTGATTCGAGACTTGCAGGTGTGCTTGCAGCAGGCGTGCCTGTTGGTATTGCCGGCGTTGTGGGTAGCATTGTTTGCTCTGCACTCGTGCTGCCCATCATTTGTAGCAGCATGCTCTCCATATCTTCTAGTCGAGCCTCGACGGCCTGGACGAATGATAACAGGTTGGCAGGCAAGTCAGATAGGCCGTTTTGGATTTGTTGTATATTCTCGATGGCAGCATCGCCTGCGGTGATGGAGGCTGGTGCAAGTTCTGTGGTCGATGGCTCAATTTCACTTGTCGCTGTCGCCGACGGTATTTGGCGACGGTGTTCGTGGTGCATGTGGAAGCGGTGCATGTGTCGCGCATTGCATCGAGCTGTCAGAACTGCGCAGGACAGGGCCAGGAATGAAAGTGAGAGCATATTTGCAGCTAAGGTGAGTGGTTGTTAGGTCGGAAGCTTTTCGTTTAGGGCCTCCTGCGCACGCAGACATATTTTGTACAGCGGAAGTGAGGAGGCTGTCGACAGAATGCAGGCGCATGGTATGGTGTGGCGAGAGCATGAATGTTTCAGCCGACGTCAGGCGGGATTTTTGCATTCCAGGAGAGCCACCTTGGGTTCAACACTCAGCGACAGATTTAGATCACCACAAAAGACACATCTCTTTGAAGATGAAGAGACTCCACAGCTCACGAGCTCAGCTACTGCCATAATTGAGCCGTAGGGATACCTGAGATGGGGTCAGCAATCGACAGAAGACAAGCCTGTCTACGAGAATGCTAGGCGTTCACTGCTTCTCGCCTGAGAGAGAGTTGTATTAGCGCAGTAGGAACTGTGTGAGACACGAATACGAGCTGCTGACAATGTTGATCAGCGCCGCAGACGATATGTTCCACTGATATGAAAGTCTCGTCGTCAAGTCTTCTATCGCTTGGTTTACATCTTCAGATGCAAGCAACCAGTCGTTACCTCTGCGAAGAGTCCTGTAGCAGCCTCTGGACTGAGTTTCTGGGGCACGTTGTGCCGTCTGCCGGGAGCTCTCTAGGCGTCCGTGATCTCAAATTTCACCAGCAAAGCACATTTGGTTTCCCTTCCCTTGAGATCCAGCATTCTTATAAACACCCATTGATTGTTGCTGACGTAGCTTAGCCTGACCGCTGCAACGCACTGCTTAGGGTTGACTGCGAATTTGTCGTCTGACTTGATAAGGATTCGCAAGAACACGAGTTCGTTTTCCTCGTAGTCCCAGTCCAGCTGCTCGTTCCACAACGGGTCGGTCGGAGGTGGTTGCTCCCCACGATGCAGAATGCCGAGTGTGTGCTGCTTATACGCTGACGTCTTCCGCTTCGTTGGTGGTTTGTCGACTGAGTCTGGATGCTCGAGTGTGCAAGTCACGTACGGCTTGATAGGATCATCTGCATCGCGATCCTTTGGGACAGGCACATCTGTGGCACCAGCAACGTGCAAACGAAGATGCTTCTTCCTGCCGGTGCTGAGCTTTCCAGATCCACCTGATCGCAGAGCAGCAGGCTTGAGGACATAGCCATCGGAGCCGCTGAACAGCGCCTCGTTTAATTGCATGCTGGCGTCGAATGTCTGCCAGTTCAAAGCGCATATTTGCGCACCAACTCCCCAGAATGGCACAGGGTTCAAATTCTTGGATGAAATGCGAGTACCTTTGGGATAGACTCGCATAAGATGTTGTGCGTTGTGCTGACTGATCTTAGGCCCGTTCAGATGTAAATCCAGCTTCATCAGGCCAGATTCTGAGACGTTGATCAGGTGGTGAGAAGGTCCGTCTTGAAGCACGCTCTCAAACCACGAATTGTTCGCAGGCTTCACAGACTGTGCATACACGCCAAGTTCTGCCAGCTCCGGAATGATGATGCCTTGGGCGCACTCTCGTTTCTCTTTGCGCCACTTCTCGTGGTCGATTCTGGCTTGCTCGTCTTCGTCCTCGTCATCACTGTCATCGGATTCTGCTTCGTCTGGAAGATGGTATTCGACGATGACCGCAATCTTCGAGCCCAGTTCGATAAGATCAACATGCTCACCGGAGTTGTTTTGCTCTCTGGTGCCTTCAGCCCGCACTTCGCTGCTAAGTAGACGATCGCCCCATACTTCGCGCATGATGTCCACCTAAGTGAGTCAGCGTCAGCCGAGATCACGCAGTTCGATACTAGGAAGGAGATACTCACAAGCCGCTTTTGGCCATGGTCACCGCAATGGTTCTCAAGCGATATCAGGATCGGAGCTGAAGCGTAAGATGTTTCCTGTGGCATCTTCGCTTCCTTGTCAACCACGTCTCTGATGGTCTCGCAAACAGCACGGAAGGGTACTCGAGAAGCTAGAGTCCAGCCATGAGTTACCTTAGGCTCATCTTCGTCGTCGCTGTTGTCCCAAGCATCGATCTCCACACATCTCGAGCCGGCTACCAGTGCTGTCTCGTACGCCACAGCAGAAGATGAACCATAGAGCTGATGGGCTAGCAGGTAGGTATTGTGGCTGGAACTGATGAAGTATTCCGTAAGAGGGTGACTGCGGTCTGTGACCTCTCTTGGCACATGAATATGTGGGTTGTCCAGCATTTCCTTGAGAGCTCCCGAATTCTCGGCCCCGTGAACATTCAAATTCACGTCCTGCGGAGTGAGGATCTTTTCATTGATGAGGAACATCTTGAGAGCGTGGCTGACCCGCAATTGCTCTTTCGTGATCTTGGAGACTCTAGATGCATGACCGCCGCCAGCGACAGAGTCAACTTCAACTGCTTCTCCATGGTCGTCATCGTCTCGCTCACGCTTGGCGAATGGATTGAGCTTCTCGACCGCAGAAGTCAGGAAAGATGCCATATTTGTTATTGCGAACTCTCAGACTGGACAATCTGGTTCTTATATTGCTTTGAGACCAATGCTCTCGGCCCAGGTGCTACGTCAGCGGAAGCTTGGCCCGCGGTGGCTTCGTATAGAGAGTGCGCGGGCAGCAGCTTCTACCTCAGGTGGTGTCGCAGGAATGAAGTTCTTGTAGTCAATAAATGGTGTGCCCGCCTGTGCCTCAGGTAGCAAGAGCTAGGATGTGCTCAATGGTGTTTCTCGACCAGGAAGTGACTTTCAGCTGGAACCACTACTTCTGGCAAGCAACATCGCCCGTGTCTCCACTTGCCGACTCAACTGTTTGACGACCTTCCTTTCCTGGGCATTGTGCAAACAACATCGACAGAAACTTGTCATTTGGCAGTCGCTTAGAAGACAAGATGTCTGACGAGGCTGTCAAGGACGCACAGGCGGCAATGGACCAGCTGCATGTCAGCAATGGCGATTCAGAGACAGAAGATGAGCGTGAACGGAGAGAGTTCGCCGAGTGGGCAGAGAAGGAGGGAGTGCCAACCATGGACCAGCCCTTTATCCAGAAGTATCTCGATGGCAGAGACGCGCTCATTGCCCAGGAGAAGCAGCGGCGCAGCGATCACATTTTCCGAGAAGGCATGACCCCCATGCAAAACGAAGCCGCTGCAATCGTGGCTGCGATCCGTTTCTCAGAGCAGAATACGCTGTGGCAGCCAGGCTTTGAAGACGACCTCGCCAAGACGACGGACCAGCCTATCTATCCTGGTATGATGTTCTCTCTGGCCAAGGAGCGCATGGAGTCCAGTAAACTATGGCAAATTGTGAGGAAGATGCCGAAAGGCGCGCTACTTCACTGCCATTTGGACGCCATGGGCGATCTCGACTGGCTAGCAGAAACCGCTCTCACAACACCAGGGATCTGTATAACGGCTTCGCACTCCATGCACACTGCACAAATCCGCACAGATCACATGCTACCTTTCATATTCAAATTCGCCAGGAAGGAATCTCAATCAGAAGGGCCTCCTATTTGGTCCGAGTCGTACAAGCCAGATGATCTGATACCTATCACTGTCGCTGCGGAGAGCTTTCCCGACGGCGGCGTTGAGGGCTTCAAGCAGTGGCTTAAGTCAAGAGTGTCACTGTCGCAAAAGGATGCTATCTCGCACCACTTGGGACCTGGCGACATTTGGGACCGATTCAAGGCCTGCTTTCCAATTCTTGTCAGCTTACATCACTACGAGCCTATATTCAGGAAATTTATTCGCCTTATGTTAAAGGGGCTGCACGACGATGGCGTGAGGTGGGTTGACATCAGGCACGTTTTCCGTTATCCATTCTACAGAGATGGCTCAGAGACGCCTGAAGAGGACTATATGTACTGGTTTGAGGTACTTGAAGATGAGATTGAGGCATTCAAAAATTCATCAGAGGGCAGAGGATTCTGGGGTGCAAGCGTGATCTGGACTACAATTCGACAATTTGGAACCAAAGATGTTATTGACGACATGAAGCAGTGCATCGAGCACAAGCTCGCGTTCCCGGATAGCATCCTGGGCTACGATTTAGTTGGGCAAGAGGACGCTGGACGGCCATTGCAAGACCTCTTGCCTGAGTTGTTCTGGTTCAAGAAACGGTGCGCTGAAGAAGGCGTAGACATTCCATTCTTCTTCCACGCTGGAGAAACGTTGGGTGATGGCGACGAAGTAGACGAGAATTTGTTTGATGCAGTGATTTTGGGAACTCGGAGAATTGGTCATGGTGTGTCATTGCAGAAACATCCGTTACTGATTGACATGGTCAAGGAGAAGAAGATTCTTGTCGAGAGCTGTCCAGTCAGCAACGAAGTTCTGCGGTATACTGGCAGCATCATGTCACATCACCTGCCCAGCCTTTTGGCACGAGGTGTGCCATGTGCCCTGGCAAATGACGATCCAGCAATCCTCGGACATGGCACGAACGGCATGACGCACGACTTCTGGCAGGCTCTACAAGGCTGGGAGAACTTGGGACTTGCTGGACTGGGCAGCTTGGCAGAGAACAGCGTGCGATGGGCAAACTACGAAGAGTGTTCGGCCAAGCAATGGCAGCAAGAAGTCAAGGAGGGCAGTTTCGGCAAGAGCCTACGAGCGAAACGACTGAAGGAGTGGCAGGAAGAATTCGAAAAGTACTGTCAGTGGATCGTGTTGGAGTACGGGGCTGAGACAGATATGGATACGTTGGACTAGACGAAGACATACGATCAATGGATGATTGGATGAGAGACGAGATATGCAAGACAGGGCATGGCAGAATAGAAACGGAACTGTAAAACGTGAATGCCTATATCGTACAGAGGCCACACTGTCGGAATGGCGGCTCGAGCTGACTTCCTGCCTGCATGATTTCTCAGCCCGTTTTGGACAGCTGGACTGTTCACAGCCGCCGCGCAGTCGTATTCTGAGCGTCCAAGCGTCCTCAATAATCCTTCGACTCCACAAGGCAGTGAGTGGCGTGAATTGACGCTGCTCACCGGTCGCGTTTCATTGGAGATTTGATTAGGACCAACCACGAAGCGCGTCAAAAGTGAGTGGTCTAGACAGCCGCGCCAGCGCCCGGCACAAAGGATCCGACACTTCGTCATCCGGACTGCGCCTCGTGCGCCTGTTGCCTGCCTGCTCCAACACCACCTCACTACTCCTCGCCTCTCCCTTCTCTACCACTGCGCACCCGTGCGGCCTCTCCTTGTTCTTCATTTCTCACCTGCAACTGCGCACTCGACTGACCACAACTACCACCACCATGTCCGGCATTCACGGACAAGTTGTCGGCCATCTGGCCAAGCGCGGCTACGAGGCGGTGCAGGAGCACATGTCCCAGCTGCAGCACGATGCCACGCTCTACGACCAGGCCGGACCGGAGATGGAGGTGCAGCCATGGGAGATGTTGCCCGTCATCGTCACTGGCTTCCTCACGCTTCTCCTGATCGCAGCGGTACGCCCATACGCCCTGAACCCCTCATGCGCCACGCACTGACCAGTAACGAGTAGATCAGGTACACTGTCGGCGAGGTGGTTGCCAGCCTTGCTATGATCGAGTCGCCCACCACCACTGCCATCGTCCAGGACAACCCTCCCGCCTACGCCGACGAGCCAGATGCGCCGATTGAGAAAGAGCCGCTGATGCCCTCCGAGGCGGAGGCCGACGTCGAGGTCACACTGATCAACAATAAGCCTGTCACTTCGAGTATCCGCGCGTCTGTGAGGCATCTTACGAACATTGGCGGCTTCCGTGGGAGATTCAGAGGCGCCGCTGTGTCAGTCGTGTACCACTTCGCACACAGTCTGCTCACCAACTTCCTATCTGGACTGCTGGGTATGGGTTTGTTTGGCAGCGCGATCATGTACATTGTCGCATCGCTCGGACTGGCACGCCTGCACATGGTCTGGACCCACACCATGATCGGTCAACCCGTGGCCCAGCCTTTCTACCGCCGCTTTGTTCCACGCAAGCAATGCAAGGCTATTCTCCTACCATCTCTGGTCTTCGCTATGGCGCAGCAAGCGACTCTACTCCTACCTCTCATCGTCGCTGTCGCCTTAGGCTTGCCTGACATCGACCACAGCCAGGTCACAAATGCCGCCAAGCATGACTGCAGCAAGCTGGTGTGGATGGCCTTGCGCTTTTTGGCTGTCCCAGCTACCGGCCTCTTTGTCGCTTTCGCCATTTTGCTGCCTGCGACAGTCACTCTCACCCGGATCGAAGCTCTGCTTCTTCCTGAGGACCAAGACACCATTGTTCCTTTCGACCGCAGTGCGATTGTCGGCAACGTGGACATCACTGCTAAGGGCAGCTCTCGCGCCATCTTCATCCAGGCATGGAGGTCCTTTGACAGCTCTGCACGATGGAGGCTGATCAAGCTCTACGTTAAGATGGCTGCCATGCAGATCGGCGTTATCTTTGTGAGCGTCCACTTGATGGTCGCCGAGATCTATGTTATCGGTGGCGAGAGGCTTGGTCTCCTCATCAAGAGCGCTCTCGCGCAGATGCAACTTGCGGCCATCGAGGCCAACGGCGAGAACTAGATGGGCGTTTCCTACAAAACTCACACTCTGTTATCTTGATCAATGCAGCGGTTGACACAGATTACTTGAACGGCTCTTGAGAACGATTTCTTGGACTGAGTGAAACTGAAATTGGAATAGGTCATTTGTAAAATATTTCTTCTAAGCGTTTATGTATCAGTCTCAAAAGAAGTTTCTGAACCAGCCACTCTGGCAAAGCACAAAATTTGGTAGTGTGAGTGTACTTCATTGCAGCGAGGCTCATCTACTATAGACATTTACACAGCAGCAAGGGTATCACGAAAATTCGCACAAAAGCAAGTCGCACGCAGAGTCCTCAGGCAAGCTCAGCTTCAATCAAGGCCTGTTCGGACAGCGGCGAAAAGTACCACTTTGTGATACGAAAACCGGAGCTCTCGAGCAGCGACTGCCATTCCTCCTTGGTTCCTGATCTCACATCAGTGTTTAATCTTCGGCATAACTCAAATGGGATCAGTATTTACTCTCTTGTGCGCCATTCATGATCATATGCAGATCACTAGCAGAGACCATGGTGTCCATGCTAGCCGAAAGCACAATATCGTTAATCAGCAATCGACTGTATCCGCGTCTGAACGCAGGCTTGAGATTTGCGAGGATCTTCTTCGCTTCGTCATCCGGCCAGTCATGCAGGACCAGGTGCATGAAATATACGGCTGCTTCGAGGACTGGTTGTGGTTCGAAGAAGTTGTGACTCGTTCGGACGATGGACTCGCCTGCCGCTTCGGCGCGATCGACGACTTCTGTGAGGTCCTGGAGGACGATGCTGCCAGCTGGAAAGTTTTGAGGGGCTTTGCAGCGCAAGGCTTCTGAGTCTTGACCAACGCCTCCTCCGATGTCGACGAATGCCACTGTGCCTGGTTCTAAGCGGTCCACGATATTTTCTTTCCAAGGATAGAATTCGGTCCACTTTGCACTGTGGTTACCGCGAAGTCGCATGACGTGATGCAGGCTGACGAAGGCTTCAGAATTCTGCTGGAACCATGGCACTAGCTCTGATCCGGAGTGGTAACGCCAAAGTGCATGTTCTGGATCTGCTGGGTTGGCATACTGCGTTGCAGCGAGAAATTCCGGCATTTTGGTAGCCGCAGGAGATACGACGTGGCTGTGGAAGGTCATTGCGGCTGCGAGCGATTTGTCTTGAAGTGCTTGCGTGAAGCGCGTAAGCTTGAAGGTATGGGTTTCTGAGCAGTATTCGAGCCAGTGATGTGGGACCATGGTGAGGAGGAGACGATCTGGAGATTGTCAGTGCCTGTCATTGGAATGGCTCGAAGCATCACGTACAGAGCAGTCGGGAGTCACAGCCGGTGATCTGTGCAAGCTCGTTCAACGATTTTGCGCTTCCGACTGGCTGCCATTTCTCGAAGAGTTGCAAGTTGATCAACGTCTTCAACGCTGCAATCGCAAACGGATCGATCATCAACATTCGAGAGATTGTTTCCCATGGAGTTTCAATCTTGGAAAGCAGCTTATACGCCAGCTGCACAGCATTTCGGCGCTCGCATTCATCTTGAAAACTGGTGTTGGTTGCTGTATCAGCCAGCAACTGGAGGCTTGCAAAAGTCTCTGATGAAGTAGCCATAGTGAAGGACGTTGCAATCGATCGTCAGACCCTGAAAACCGAGTGCTTTGAGTCAAGCGACAATAAGGCTCGGGAAAATGGGCACTTTGTATTGACGTTGAAAGCCGCAGGCAAACGTCTCCACTTCCAAGACAAACGCCCCGAATAGTATAATGGTGGCAGTGAACACTTTCTGAAGGATGGGCGTCCTGGGCCGGCAATACGAAGGGGTCCAGGCTGCAGTGTCACATGAAGGATTGCCGTGTTGGTTTAAACTTCGGAAAATGTTATGCAGGAACCGGGCGCCCTCTCAGCCCTACGACTATGACGGATAATCCAACCAACTTGTTGCTCAGTTTCCAATCAACTGGTCGAATCCTTCTCGAGTACTGCGCAGCTACGCAGGCTGCGCAGTGTCTTCAGCGCTGATGACTCGACTCTTCTTGTTGGTACTACTGGACTGCGGTCTATTGCCTGCTGAAGATAGCAAACTCGCGTGTTTTTCTTGTCTTCTCTCTCCCCACTTGGATCAAAGGGTTCTGGGCTTTTTTGTTTATGGCCATACGAAGGTGGCGTGCGTTGGTCCACGTGCGCAGGACAAAGGAAGGCCGCCATGTGGCAGCCACTGGCCAGTCGATGCGATGCCTTCTCGGAATCACGGCTTCGTGGGCGGCGCGTAGGCCGCAATGGAGGGCGTAGGTGATGTGAGTCGAAAAATAGGCCGCTGCTGACGAGCTGGTGTTTCCTTGTCGTTGTTGTTGGAATGGTATATATCCTGCAGACAAGCGGCGCGGTTTAGATTTGTTCATCTACTATTCAATTTATTGAATTTCTACATGATTAAGATGGCTTCTACAGTACAAACTCTTTTGGATTTGCTTCGACAGAGTGCTGAGAGTGGCACGGATGCAGGCATCGTCGCATATCCTCTTCACAATACCGTCGAAGCACGACGCATCACATATTCACAGCTGTTATCAGAATGCAGGAGGAGGGCTTCGTTGCTAGCAAGACAACGAGGTTTCACAAGAGGAGGCATCATTCTGTTACAATTCAACGACCATCTTGACAACATCGTCTGGTTTTGGACCGTTCTCCTAGCAGGATGTATACCAGCTCTCTCATCACCACTACCCAACGACCTTGATCAACGACGACAACATCTGGACCACTTGAACAAGCTGTTCGATGCTCCGATATGTTTGACAAGGCAGACAAGCTTCGCAGACTTCGCCGTCTGTCCAAGCCTATCACTTCTCGCAATCGATGCCATCGAAGCCCAGACATCCAACAACGACAAGCATATCGACTATCTCCCCATCCCAACACCAACCCCCTCCGACCTAGCGGCTCTAATGCTCACATCCGGAAGCACAGGCAACGCAAAAGCCGTCGAACTCACCCACCAACAAATCCTCTCCTCGATATCCGGAAAAGACAGCGTCACAAAACTCCACAACAACTCGCCTCCCATCTCCTTACTAAACTGGATCGGCCTCGACCACGTCGCAGCTCTAACCGAAACCCATCTCCTCGCCATGTATCGCAACCTCAATCAAATCCACATCCAACCACCCGACATCGTATCCGATCCTCTACTTCTGCTTCGAATGATAACAAAACATCGCGTAGCGAGGACTGTGGCGCCGAATTTCTTGCTTGCGGCACTACTCAAATCCATTGAGCAAGCTGATGAAAAGGAATTGGACAGCATCGATTTATCAACTCTCACACAATTCGTTTCAGGAGGAGAGGCGAATCCTGTGAAACTTTGTGCGAAACTTGATGAGGTTCTTCAGAAGTTTGGGGCACCGGCGGGAGTTTTGCAGCCTGCTTTCGGGATGACGGAGACTTGTGCTGGTTGTACGTATAATGTTGAGTCTCCCGAGATGGACGTGGAGAGTGGGATGGATTTTGCTTCGTTGGGAAAGCCGGTTGGGGGGTTTGAGGTTAGGGTTATTGGTAGAGGAGAGGTGAGTGGTGGTCGCTAGAATGCTGTGTGAGAGTATGGGCTAACCTATTGAGCAGGAAGAGGACTCGACTGAGCAGCTCGGACAGCGCGGCATTCTGCAGATCCGAGGGCCTATGGTTTTCTCAAGATACTACAATAACCCGATCGCGACAGCAGAAGCTTTCACCGAGGATGGCTGGTTCGACACCGGCGACGAAGCTATCATCGATAGTGCTGGACGATTGCATCTCGTTGGACGCATCAAAGATCAGATTCGGATTAATGGCGTGAGCATCGTAGCATCAGATCTGGAAAGTCAACTCAATGCTCTGTCGCTCAGTGGCGCACAAGATGGCTTCTTCGCTGCTTTCGGATATCGATCGACTCCTACAAGCGATGAGAGTCTAGCAATCCTTTACTTACCGACTTGGACTGAGGACGACATCCAGAGACAGACGACACACAGCGCTATTGTGCAGAGTGTCATGCGAAGCCATGGCATCGCTCCGTACGTTCTGCCCGTTGACAACACCATCCTGCAGAAATCGACATTGGGCAAGCTTTCCCGAGGAAAACTGAGACGAGCTCTGGAGCAGGGGAAGTTGAGGTCATATGAGCAGGCCAATGCTGCGAAGAGTGCCTCTGTTGCCGTCGAGCCGAGGAACGAGCTGGAGGCACGACTACTCCGGATCTTTCGAGAGGCTTTGGAGCACAGCCTCGATCTTTCGACACTGGACATTGTGACTCCTTGGTTCAATCTGGGTATCACTTCGATTCAGCTGATCCGACTAAAACGGAAAATCGAGCTTGGTCTGGAATTGGCCGAAGTCCCCTTGGTCAAGCTTTTGAAGTGTTCGACGATCGAGGAGTTGGCAGTAGAGCTTCAGCCAAGGAGGCGAAGAGACAGTGTTACAGATTTGGATGTGGAGATTGAAGAAGAGGCACCATCGGCTGCGTATGATCCTGTCGTGAAGCTGCGAACACAAGGCAGCAAGGCACCTCTCTGGCTCTTCCATCCAGGAGTCGGTGAGGTCTTGGTCTTCATCGACATGGCTAAGGAAGTTACAGACCGGCCAGTGTATGCTCTGCGAGCTCGAGGCTTCGATCCCGGAGAAGGGTTTTTCAACAGCATCGAGGAGGCAGTGGACACCTATTACCGCGCCATCAAAAAGCAACAGCCACATGGTCCGTATGCACTCGCGGGCTACAGCTATGGCGCGATGCTGGCATTCGAGACAGCGAAGAGGTTGAACAATGATGGCAATGGCAATCAGGTTCAATTTCTCGCCAGCTTCAACTTGCCTCCGCATATCAAGTTCCGCATGCGGCAGCTGGACTGGCGAGCGTGCGCTTTGCATCTTGGACATTTCCTGGGGCTACTCCATGATCCGGACCTGGATGACAATCCGGGAGGGACAGGTCCAGCAGATCATGCATCGACTGTCAAGGCCATCTTCGACAATGCGCCTCAACAGCGTCTCAGTGAGCTTTCACTGACTCCGGCAAATTTCCAACATTGGGCAAATCTAGCGCACGAGATGCAGTCCATGGCTCGAGACTACGAACCCGGTGGCAGAGTGTCCAAAATGGATGTCTTCTATTGCCATCCTTTGGCTGTGGTCGCACAGAGCAAGCAGGAGTGGCTGGACAACCATTTGAGCCGGTGGAACGACTTCGCATCGGATGTCCGCTGCCATGAGGTTGGAGGTGAGCATTATACCATGATCGACACGAATCATGTCCAGTCCTTCATGGAAACGTTCACGAAAGCGCTTTCCGATCGTGGAGTGTGAAGGCAGTCCGGTGGCTGGTGGTTCAAAACCACCTTGCAGAGATATGTCTCAGAATAACGACGTCCCGGTTCGCGGCGAGGTCCGAAATGGAAATGTTTGGCTGGATGCTCAAGGCGGTCAACGATGACTGCACCTTCTTTGCAGGTCTCAATATGGACTGCGTCTTTCAGTAACGGCCTTTTGCGATCACGAGCCATCATGCTTCGCGGCGTTGCGGAAGGTGCAAGTCAAGTCTGGTTCAACTTTCTGCCGAAAGCGCGGCAGTGCTTCCTACTCCGACTCCCTGGCGTGAGAGCAGCGGCATCGTGATTACAGCATTCGCATCGGCATTCGCATCGGCTGTGAATCACAGTTTTCGGAGGCGCGAGACGGCGGCGAGGGTCCTGGCAGGCCGGCGGGAGGAGCATGGTGATTTGGAGCTCAGCATTGGTGGAGGACCGGCGTTCTTGGAGTTGGACACGTGTGACGAGGCTACGTGGACGTGTATTCTTCGATGCTTTGGCGATGCGATGCCTGGTGATAGACGAGATGACGGTTAGCAGAATTTAGTGACATGTGACAAGAGACTGCTTCAATTTGTTGTCAATTCCACCTGTCTCGATGACGAGGCCTTGGCGCGGTGTTCAAGCCGTTGATCCCGACCAGGCAGATGTATGCTGTGTGTACCACGATCGCTCTGTCCCCCACGCATCGTATCGATGCAGCAGCTGTCATTTCCAGGAGAGACATGCACGCACCCGCACTGCATCGCCGCAGGTTCATGCGATGCAATGTGCTCTTCCTTTCCCATCGAAGGAAGGAAGGTGCGCCCGGGTCGGCCCAGTGGGGGGCAGCAGCGACGACGGCTCCTCCCTTGCTCTGCTCTCGTTGCGCCACGTCACGGACTTGTCGACTTCACTCGTGAACCACCACACGCCCCAGCGCCCACGCCCGCCCGCCATTGGATGCCCGTCGTGTCACAGGCCAGTCGTCCGGCCCGCGCAATGCGTCGCACCAGCCATTGGACAGCGCTTCCGTGTTCGGACATGTCTGCAGCTGTCTGGGAGCCTCCAGAAATCCCAAGGCAAGCACCAGCATTGGCTCCATGGGGCACGAAGCGAATCGGAAATGCCAACGATGCTTGTCCGCTGCACGTCCGCCCAACGCACTTTCCTTCTGGTCTGCACTTGCATCGCTAGCCACCATGCTGTCTCGTCAGCAGATACCCGACGGGCAGCGACGCCTGCCCTGTCGTGAAGCGTGGTTCCAGTCGGACCGCTGCTGCCCGCTGAATGGTTCATGCTCACATCTTCGCTTTCTGCTCCCGACACGCTGCGTGGAGGCAGGCGACCTGTCCGTCGAGGTCAATGTGCGCCTCAGTGGTGAGGAAACATTCGCACGCGCGCCGCCCAAGTCGAATCGGCGGTTTGTGTTGCCCCAACCCTGCTGCATCGCACATGTCTGATTTCAGAGATACATGGTGAGCAGTGGAGTCTGCCCAAACTAATTCTCGCAACGTCATCCCACCCTCTCGTGAGCAAAAATCACAACACAACACCCGCCTACTCATCACTTGTCATGTTACCGTACGGAGCGAGACCCTCTGCACACCACGAATTGATGCCTCGGAGAAGCCGATAGCCCGACTGATAGTCCAGCAACGTTGCCAAAGCAGCCATGTCTCTGGACGCAGTGAGAGACAAATATGGCTACAAGAACATCTCGTTTGCAACATGGCGCGACCCCAGACTCAGCGTGCATCCAGCGCGAGGCGGGCCCAAGACACCCACTGTCGACCCAGAGAGCGTCTCGCAGCCATTCATCCCCAAGTACAAAGTGAGGTATCCCGTACCACCACCTACAGATGACGAGAGTTCAGAGGAGGATGCAGCCGAAAGTGGGGAAGAAGAACAACCGACAGCAGATGCGCCTTCATCCGCAGGTAAGCTCGCGGAGGTGTGGATTAGCTAACTAATCGCGACTCACGCTATATCAGAAACCCCTTCTGCTGATGCCCCTCCGAGCGCAGATGACAAGCCAGCTGGCGAAACTGACGAGCCGGCACCATCTGTAGCAGAGCCTAGCGCCGAACCAGAAGCCGAGCAAAAGGCAGACGAAGCCGATGCTGTTGTCGACCCGCCATCCGCTGAAGATCCTGAAGTAGCTCAGGGTGACGAACCACCTGCCGACGTCACGGCAGAGGAATCTCCTGAGGCAACACCAGAAGCTCCCGCAGAAGCTACTCCAGAGCCCGCTGCCGAAAGCACTGAGCCTGCGCAAGATCCTCCCGAAGAGGGTGGCGAGGCGGCAGGACCCGAGCCAACCCCAGCGGAGGATGAAGCTATGAAAGAAGATGCTACTCCGCCTGCAGCACCCGAACCTCCAGCCGACGAAGCACCCGAGCAAGTCGATGACAGCAAGGACGATCAAGCTGAAGACGAAGCTGGTGGCGAATTCTCACCTCGATCGGAAGACGATGTGTTCGTGGACTTGCCTCCTGAAGCGCCCGAGCCTCCATCTGCTGAGCAAGAAGTTGCTGAACCACCCGTAGAGGAGAAAACAGAAGCTTCCAACGATGACGATAACGACGATCCCGAGAAGAAAAGCGTACAGTGGGCTCCTGGTACTCCGGATCCAAAGCCAACAAAACGGCCGAAAAAGGCTGCCAAAGGGGGGAAAGGCAAGAAGAAAAAATCAATGCCTGTCAACGACGGCGAAGATCCCGATGAGATAGTGGCCATCGTCGAGGGCCCCGGTGCAGATCCTCAGCTTGTAGAGGCTCCAAGTGAGAGTGTCCTAGACCCTGCTTCGACTGACGTGCCTGCACCAGAGGACACTGTGAGCCCTGTCGAGGAAGTAGCCGCTGCTGAAGAAGCAAAGCCCGAAGTCGTTGAAGAAGTAGCTATCAAGAGCGACCAAGGGAGCGACAAACCGAAGAAAAAGGATAAGAAGTCGTCGAAGAGCAAGAGCAAATCGAAAAGCAAAGAGCCTGAGCCGGCAGTAGAGGCCCCCAAGTCTGGCAAGAAGTCAAAAAAGTCCAAAGCAAAGTCGAAGGATTCAAGTGGGCCACCTCTAGGGCTTGGCATTGACTTTAGCGATGTTACTCCACCTCCACCGCCTGCGCCCGTTGAAGAAGCTCCTGTAGAGGAGATAAGCCCTGCATCTAAAGAAGCAGTTGCTGCTAATGAGGAGTCAAGCCCTGCACGGGAAGAAGCAGCTGCTGCTCCGGAGGACCCAAGCCCAGCTTCCGAGGACACCGCTGCTGCCGCTGAAGAACCACAGTCGGGCCTCGAAGAGTCTAGTCCTGCGCCTGATAAAGAAAATGCTGCCGCTGAAGAGTCAAGTCCTGCCTCCGGGGATATAGATCCAGCAGAAGGGGAAGAGCCTGCTGCCGAATCCGAAGCGCAAGTACCAGATGAATCAACGGAACAGGCTGCCACGAGTCAGCCAGCCGACACGGAAACAGAAGCGAATGCAGTTGAAGACAACAAAGAGGCGACTGCAGAAGCGCCAACAGAACCATCCTTGACGGACGAGACAGAAGTCGAAGTCGCCACAGAAGCTCAAGAAGAGGACGAGAAAGAGAGTACATCTCAACCTGCTGAGGCACCAAAGGAAGACGATGAGCAGCACGACGGCGAGGAGTCGCTGGGAGAAGGAGCCGCTAGTGCAGATATTGAGCCAGCAAAGGTAGTTGATCAGCAAGCAGATGATGCGAACGAGAAGGAAGAGAGCTTGGAAGCCGTGAGCCCAGTAGACAGTGCTGTTGACATGGAAGACAACAAAGAAGCCACGAGCGATGACGAGTCAGAAGCAACATCTGAAGCGGCCGACCAGGACGGGGATCCCGAGACGACGTCCGCGGGCGATGCTTCCGTGGAGGGGATCAAGACAGTCGACGAACACAGAGCTCCTTCGCCTGCACCAGCTAGCGATGAAACCGACACAGAAGACGAAGATGACGGTGATGAGGCAGAGTCCAAAACTGATTCAAACGTGGAAGCTGGAGCAACGGATGGACCTGCAGCAGATGATGGCGAAACACCAGCCGAGGCCGAAGTCGATCCTGTGGCAGAGTCTGCAACTGCAGAATCAGCGCCTGAAGTCGAGGTGCAAGGTGAAGATTCTTCTGCACCTTCCGCAACAGAGGTCGAGGACGACAGCGAGCAAGCGGCCGCCGGCCAAACGGAGGAGTCTCATATTGAGGACGAGGCGGAGACAGCAGACGCCCAATATGCGGAGCCTGCAGCAGAAGAGGGGACCGCCGAAGCAAAGCCTGCAGACGAATCGACTGAAGAACAGAAGCCTGGCGATGACGCGACGCAAGAAGTTGCAACGGATGGGCAACAAGATAAAGAATCAGACGAGCCGGCCAAGGACGAGGAGCCACCTGCAGCGAGTGTGGAAGAGCAAGCGGACAAACCCGCCGACGAAGCCGAATTGAACGAGCAGCCTGTCGAGGAATCAAACCAGGATCAGGAACATCCTCCAGACGAAGCCAGCCAACCCGCCGAGGTCGCTGAAGCGGGTGCCGCAGAGGAGTCAGCCGCAGAGGAGCCAGCCGCAGAGGAGCCAGCAGCGAAGGAACCGGCTACGGAGGAAGCGCCCGCGGACGAGGCACCTGCGGAAGAGCAGAAAGAAGAAGATCCAGAACCTCCATCCGAAGGACCCGCCCCTGAGTCCGCACAGGAGCCTGATGTGGAACCTTCACTCGAACCTGTAGCGGAGCCAGAAGCGACCACGGAGAAGACTGAGGACTCTGCGGAGGCTACTGACGACCCTGTAGAGGAGGCAAAGGCCACGGAAGCCGATGATGGTGATAAGGAAGCTGCGCCAGCTGAAGAGGAAGTTCCCGGTCCTGCATCAGAAGCTGTGCAAGACGAACCAGCTCCGCAAGCAGCTGATGATGACCAAGCCGGCGAGGCGAAGACTGAGGAGCCGGTCGAAGACTCTGTCGCGCCCGAAGACAGCCCTTTGGTCATAGAAGTTCCAGCAGCAGCCGAGAAGGAAGAAGCGAGCCCTACCAGTCGTGAAGCTCCTCCTTCACCAACGCAAAGCAGACGAAGCAAGCCAGATCATTGGGAACGGCCACCGAAGAAGCACTCTTCCAGCGATAAGAAATCCTCCGAGAAGCCGCGCTCGAGCAAACACAGCAGTCGTAGATCTCGGTCGGACAAGCCTAGGACACCAGAAGAAGAGGCTGAGCATCAACGCCGCAAGCATGCACGGAGAGCGCTCGAAGCAGCTCGAATCTACGAGGAAGAACGGAGAGTGGCCGAAGAGGAAGAATTACAACGTATCCGACACGAAGCTCGCCGAGCTGCAAGAAAGGCGGCTGCTGCGGAGGCTTCTCGCATCGCAAAAGAAGAAGCTGAGGCGATTGCTCGAGAGGAAGCCGAGCGTAGGCGACGTCGACGCGAGTCTTATTCTGAGCGGCCTCGGTCTCAACGCGAAAGTAAGAGCAGTTCTACTGTGCCGAAGTTGTTCGGCTTTGCCAGAGGTTCGATGGCTCGCACGGATAGTGCTCCAATCCGCGCGAGTAACTACAGATCAGGCAGTCGGCAAGATTCCTACGACGGCGAACGGCGCAGAAGTCACAGGCATGCGATCGCCCCCAAAGAAGAGATTGTGGTTGTCGATGACGTTGTCATAGAAGCGAAAGAGGAGCCTGCTCCCACAAGCTCGCAAGACAGCTCATCGCATCGAAGACATCGTCATCACCGGCATAGGTCCGAGGAAGAGCGAGGTTCGCATCGACGACGAGAAGGTGAGCGACCTCGAAGCGACCGGAGGGAAGGAGAGCGGCGAGAAGGAGATCGAAAGGAAGGCGAGCGACGAGACGGCGAGCGCAGAAGCAAGAGGTCCGCACCCCCTGAGCAGAAATCGAAGGGCTTCTTTGCATCACTGTTCCGATGAGCTCTGTTATACGATGTACGAGGATCATGGACGACTGGAGTACAATCAGCGCCGAGTGCGCTCTTGCCGGAAGCATATGATGGTTGTTTTGCAAGCGTTTAGCGGCACAGCGTGGCGCAATATGGGTCCTGGGCAACGGAAGCATCGCGCATTGCTTGGCAGCATTTTGACACGATACTTTCGGATCTGTATTTTCATACTAGACTTTAACATCTAGCATAGCGCCTTTGTAACTGTATCATCGAAGCATACATGTCTCTTGTGCTGTGGACTGATCGATGAGTGGAAGCGGCATGAGCGGGAGCTAGCTCGTGTTGGTCTTGGCAATAGTTTTATTTCATGGCGGCTCTGTGGTTCTCAAACGGGACGGCTTCTGGAAAGAGGTGCTCTCTTTCCTCCTTTCTTCAGCTCACTATCTTCTCGTCTTTCTCCGAGCTCTGTAACTGAACAAGCTCGAAATATCTCCCTCTCTGTGACATCAATGCCGCGTGTGTCCCGCTTTCCACGATGCGTCCACCATCAACAACGTAAATGGCATCAGCGTTACGCACGGTTGAAAGACGATGAGCGACTGCAATCGTCGTCCGGCCTTTTGCAGCAGCGTCCAAAGCCGCCTGTACCACACTCTCAGACTCACTATCCAA